AGGTTGGGGTGAGGGTTCCAGGATGTCGTGGTTAGCATGCCAAGATCTCGGGTGCTCGCTCTCTTTCCCGCTCACTAGCGCTCGTTGCGCCCGCCTTCAACTGCAAACTGCTTCGAGTCTTCAGAACCTTTCAAAGTCTCAGCAAACTAATGCCAGGTGGAGGCACAGTTCGAGCCTGAGCTGAGAGCCTGAGGGCGGCTTTGTGAGCAATAGTTCATGTTCTTCAGCGACGACACTTCTTGCATGTGTAGCGCAGCTGTCCAGCTGACACTACATGGTTTAGGAAATTTAGTGGCGCAACCGTTTGCCAGCTGGAGCTGTTAAGGCATGTTGTGGCTCGGCGCGTAATGCATCAATGGCCTCACCCAACTCCAAGCTGCAGGGCACTAACTTATAGAATGTGGATCTTAAGTGAAGTTCCCCAGTGCACGCCAAAGCCAAAGAAGACAAAGCCCCCAAGCCAACATGCTTCTAAGTAGATCCTGAAACATCCTTGAGCCCTTTAGATGCAGAACAAGCCATGGTCCGGGCGCCCTCCTGCCCATGCCTTCCCGTGGCTGGTGTCCGAGCTGCCCTGCGCCATTTCCTGCGCAGGCTGACTGCTCCGGCTGTGCCTTGGAAGCTGAAAGAGGCTCTGGTTGATCTGGTTCCGCGGAAGTTGCTGGGCGTTTCAGAGAAGAAGTTTCGTGTTGCGGGCATCTGGAAGAAGAAGTTGCAGGGTTCCCGATGTAGAGCACACATCCTCGGACGACGATCGCGACAGCTGCCACTGACATAGCCGTATGGGTTTGTGACAGGTTGTGTTTCTCGTTAATGTCACGCGATCTTCGAAGCACTGACCGCAATTCAGCATGGTTCCTGCGTGAAGTGGGGTGCTAAGTCAGCGTCAACATGGCCAAGTTAGCCTTCTGTTGTGCGCAGCGTTGCTGAAGGTGCAAGAGGGGAAGAATGGAGTGTTGGTGTGATGGTAGACCATGAGCAAAGTGAGTTCCTGTTGGCTCCATGCATAAAGCAATTCCACTGGTGATTGGCGTCGGCAGGTACATGACTATGCAGCGTCGCCTCTTGGGAATAATGGTGATTGGATGCCGGTGAAACGTGTTTCGGGAAGTTGCGGTCAGGTGCCAGAAAGTAGTCAAGCTTGCAGACTCGAATGCGCTTAACATGTCGTCGAGAGCACTGATCCAATTCAATTAGGTGGTTTCCCTCAGACAGAATATGCTTGATTTTTTCGAACCAGGGATGCTGCAGAGTCAGCTAGGCGGACGTCAGCAGCTTTAGCGTTTCAAAGTCGACCGCCGGCCGCCAGTGGTCACCGGTGGCTCAAGAGCTCAGGAGACCTTTGGCGCAATGCTCGGTGGAAATCTTAGATGTGCTGGGCTTAGGCAAACTCCCCCATCACCTAAGGCTAAGGTTGCAATGTTGCAGGCAGCAGGCAGCATGTAGAGCTGGGTTCTGATGCTAAAGTCCGGAAGCCCCAATCTCTGTCACACATGTCCATGCAATGTAATGATGCGTGCAGGCAGACCATGCAGCACAAGTCTCCTCTTGCTGCCGATCCGAGGCTGCCATTATGGGCCGGGACAAGTGGCTGGGTGGCGAGCTGGGTGATGATGGATGCGTCTATGGCGTGCCAGGCACCTCTCTACACAAGTGATAAAGAGGATAGGTCAAGCAGCGTGGGTGTGGGCTTTGAAGATTGGATCCTGAACTCAACTTGTGACCTGGGACACCTTCACAGCACATGTCTTCAACACGACCTTGAAAGCTGGAAGACGACATGTTCAACACCTCGCCCCGTCAGGCAGCGCGCTGAGAGTCCTGAAGGTGTCGCCGAGTGACGGGAATCTTGGCCGGTTGGCTTGCCTTGGTCAAAGTCCGGTTAGACGCTCAAACGAGAGAGAGAGAGAGAGAGAGAGAGACAGAGAGAGAGAGAGAGAGCGAGAGAGAGAGAGAGAGCGGGGGGGGGGGGCTAAGCGTGCATCGTGCGTGCCCCTCGGGGCGGCCCCCTCGTGGGGTCATACGCCTAGCAAGCAAGCAAGCAAGCAAGCAAGAGAGAAGAGAGAGAGAGAGAGAGAGCCAGAGACAAGCCAGAATCCGCTCTAACGCCAACACGTCCCAACAAGTGTTTGAGTGCACCGCATTGTACAGACTTCTTGCAAGAAATGCAGGCTGCTGAAGAACATCGAACCCTTATTCTGGTTGCTTTCAGGCACGTGTAGCTGAGGGTAACTTCAAAAAGCCTGGTAGTCAGATTAGAGAGTCCCAAGGGTGGTGGAGACGATCGGTCCGGAGCTTCCAGGCAAGTTCAAGCAGCTTGGCCCCTCTCACGTCATGCGCCCCTGGGCCATATGCTGGACCCTCTTAGTTGGTGCTCGGAAGCCTGTAGAGGGAGGATTCTTCGAATCCCCCGAATAGCTGCCGTCCTGCTGATGCCCCCGGAATCGCTGCCGTCCTGCTTATGCCGGCAGATGTTTTGACCCCCCGCCCCCTCTGCGCCACAGATGTTTTGTAGGGTCTTCGAGTGTTGCGTTTGTTGGTTTGCTGTTAAGTGTGGTGCGGTTTTCCCAGGCTCACATGCAGAAGTTTGGATGTAACAAACTTCACGTCGCGCCGGCTGAAGGTGGCTTCGTGGCATCCAGGTGGACGGTTTCATCTACGGGGTGCCGACCAACTCAGAACGGGCTCCGTAACTGCAGTTTTGACTTGGACGTCTTGAGTGGGGCAGGATGCAAAAGCAACATGCGCCTATCAGAAGATAGCAGCAGCGGGCCTCTTATGCCTGAAGGTGAAATCTCGGAGCATGATTCTGGACAATTGAAATTTGGAATGCATGGGATCACACGGAGGTTCTGCAGATTTCGCCAGCCTCCGGCACCGTCGAGCTCATCGGCGAGTCCTTCAAGGGGGCCTGGCGCCTGGGCTTTTTGCCAAACACTTCAGAGGACGCAGTTTTGTGCTCGTTATGCTCGTGTGTGCAAAGAAGACCCACTCCTTCAAGGGGAGTCCAGGACTCCAAGAATCATGTTCTGATGTCTGTACAACCGCAAAAACATTCTTTAATTGCTGCGCAACGTTGTGATCAGTTGTGATCAACCCATCCGCGCAGATGCACTTGCAAAGGAAGTGGCATGGCGGCGTGCTGTGCCCCGTCGATAGCTGTGTTTACGCCATCCCTTGCAATGCCGAGTCGGTGCTCAAGATTTTTCCAGATGGCCACTGGGATGCGCAGTTGGGCATGCCTCGTGAAGCCAGTTTTCCGCCAAGACCCCCCCTTCAGGCCCTCAAGCGGGAGTGAAGCCTGTGCTTGCATGCGTAATTTCGCAATGCCATCCCGATAAACGGCGACCAACTCGCACAACTCTCCAATGGGTTTGGTCTTACCTTCAGGGTTTACAAGGTTTTTTTCTGAAATTTATTTGTCCTGGAGACTGTGGTGGGCTCTCTGCTGCAGGCCGGATCGCAACCATCGCAGAAGGTTCGCCGGTGCTCAAGGGCAGAGCCACCTTCCACGCAAATTGGACAGTTCGGCTGAGGTTGCTTGAGGGTTTCAAATAGAGGCTTTGGGCTTGGAGAACAGAGTGTTTAGGGAGGCTCGCGGTTTTTTGAGAAATCCTCAATGCCGTTGTGTGGCTGCGTACGACTTGCCCTGAGTCGCCATGAGACCTTTCTGAGAAGACCTGGTTCATGATTTGATAACTGGGTCCATGCCTTTTTTCGAACTCGTCGTATGTTCAGCGAGTCTCTCACTCCCCAACAAACCGTGCTTACCATTGCACACATCGTGGGGGCAGGACCAAGCACTCCAAAAGTCTCTAAGAGGCTCTGGTTCCAACATCGGTCATGAGGTCAAAGAGGGCACCTCTCCTAAGCACTGGCTGTATCCTTCTTGTTGGCTTTGTGATTTCTTGTGGAGCGGAAGCCCCTCAGCCTCAGTGCAAATGGTATGGCGGACTTCTGGGCGGTGATGGCTGCATCTATGGGATTCCGAACTGCGCGGAATCGGTGCTGAAGATCGACCCAGCGAAGCAGGCAGGAGTTCTTGTTTCTGGGAAGCAGAGATGAGCTTCATCCCTGCCTCATTTCTCCCAGAAAGAATCCAAGAAGAACGTTGCTGTTTGTTTCTAATTCCCCACCCTCGGTGTGGGATTGTTAGAAGTTAAACTCAACTCTTCTGCAACCTCAGGGTGCCCAACCCCAGAGCGTCTCTGGAGTGCCCGAGTGTGCCTGGAGTGCCCAATGCCAGACTGTCCCTAGAGTCCTAGAGTGCCCACCCCAAAGTGTCCCTTGAGTGCCCAACCCCAAAGTAAAATAAATTTATCTCTGCAACAGGCAGTGTACAGCCCCTAAGCAGCACCAGGAGGTGTCGACAATTGGGCCAAAGTTCTTACAGGGTGGACAGAGACTTCGGCAGGCAGATCTTGGACACGGAAAACGAATGCCGCACTCGATTTCGTACGATTTTGTGCAAGGTTCATCTGGGGCATGATGGCGGGGGTCGCATTTCGAGTGCGCGCAGGGTTGAGATGGTTGTGGTTTCCAGGTGTCAGGTAAGAGAGTCCTGAGGCAACGTGCTGGCATTTGCACATGTCTCGCGGCTACTAGCGAACTGAATATTTGTCAAATGGTTGCTTAGCTAAGCGCACAGGCGCACACCTATTCGACCATGACATAATTCGAAGTGTGAAATCCGGGACTTGAGCAGCAGCTTTTTCGACTCATGTAGTCGGAGCATGTCCCGGTCTCGGAACCAAGGAAATGGCATGGAGGCGTTGTTGGCAAGGCCGGAATACCAAGCACAGTACATGAAAATAGCAAAACGTCCCTCCAAGAAACGCACCCTGCAAAGCATCACCATCATGCACTGCATCCGCCATCCCCCGCAGGATGGATGCATCTATGGCGTACCCTCGCATGCCGAGGCCTGGAGGAACCTTGCCCAGGGAAGTTGAGGGGTGGAAACGTATATTGGCAAGACGTATGGGGACCGCTATGAGCGCACATGCGCACACCCAGGCGGTTCTCAAGATCGACCCCATGGCGCAGAAGGTCTCCACCATTGGCGAGCCAATCGACAGCGGCCCTTTCGCCGGACTTGCGCAAAAAATTCGCCTGCTTCGTACTTAATGGGGACTTGAGCAGCTTTCCAGAGTAAGGTATTTGGGCATGTTTTGGAGGTTTCAGCTTGGATAAGATCAAACCCTCCAATCCTTTGGGCAGGAAAAGATGAAAATTTGATACAGCCAGAATTAAGAAGCTAGACAGTCAACCAAAAAAGGCCTTTGGCGCCCGAACGGCAAGTACAAGTATGGTGGTGGCATCGTGGCGCCAAGCGGGGCGGTGTACTGCTTCCCTAGTGATGTGACTTGCCTTTCAGACTCAGCCTGTTCCCTTTGAACCCCTCTTAAGACAAGCTGCTTGAGCCCCTTTTGGAACGAACTGACTGTCATGGCCGCAAGAGCAGACGGACGAGAAGCAGACGTTAAAGTCAGAAGTAATTCATCTGCACAATGGGTTCGCCAGGGATGCAGGGCTTGGCTCTGCACATGCTTTGCGCGCATCCAAGGCCGACTTTGTGCTCAAGATCGTCCCCGAAACGGAAACGGTCTCTTTGATTGGCCCCCGCTTCGCGACTCGTCTGCACAGGGGGTTCAGCATGGTTCAGAATGGTTCAAAACGGTTCAGGGGTCCAGGTTTGAGGGGTTGAGGGCGAGGCCAGGGAGGTATCTTGCAATTCCCCCCCTGTTCCGCCACCCTCATCATGCCCAGGATGTTCTGTTTCAAGCAAGCATCTTGCATGTTAGGGATCTCGGTGATTTAATATGTCTCGGAAGGTAGAGGCCTGGGCTCGGGTTGCCTTGTGGCTTTGGGTTTTTTCGCGCTCGCGGCATCTGCTTTGTCTGTTTCACACTTGCGGCATCTTGCGGGTATTGTGGAGCCAGCACTAGATTGCGCAAGTGGGATCTTTCAAATTAGAGGTCTCTTTGTTGTGCCGATTCCATGTTCTGATGCCAGAAGTTCAAGAAGGACAGAAGCCAGAGCTGGCCAGCTGGCCCTGCCTATCCGATCCCTGCCCTTACTTTTCCGCTGTGTACCTGGAACTATCCGGAGCATGTGCCAAGGAGGGCCACAACAAATGGCAAAACGGATTTGTGGGGCGAGATGGCAACGTGCACCTTGCAAAGCATATGCCGTGTTCAAACGGTATGGGCTCTCTGGAGTATAGATGTTTGGCCATGTGTGGGCACAAAGGGCTGGGTTCTTTGCAGAGTTTGCAGGCTTGCAGTAGCCTGATGGGCACGTGTCTTAGGACCTGAAAACAATGACGAAGACGGAACGCGGCGGAAGATTCAGACGCAACGACGATGCTTACAGTTTTTTGAGTGAATGTGTGTTGCTGCTTGGCCCGGCTGAAGGTATGCCATCCCATGCAATGCCCCTGGAGTGCTCCAAATCGTTTGCGCGACGGATGGGGTCACTACCATCCCTATTGACATGGCCACTGAGATGAATGTGTGTGCATGTGTAGCGTTGCTTTTCGGGAGTTTTAGCGTCAGAGATGCTGGTGTAAGTTTGCTGCCCATGTTTCTCGGCTATACTTTGCTACTTGTCCGACATGAAGGTGCTTCTGACCCCATGCAGCTCATCATGTATTTCCAGATGTTTATTTTTTGGGACTGAGGAGAACCCCAACCTCCAGGACAAGTGGGAGGGTGGCGTCGAGGCGAACGGCGACATGCACCATGGCTGCAATCGAAAGCCGCCTCTGACAGGTGCAGAAGCACAGCACGCCCTGTGCTAGCCCCTAGCTGCTCTAGCTTCCCGCAGCGATCACAGTTCTGAGGTACTGCATGCCCCAGAACGCCAAGAAGGTGCTCCGGATTGCTCCGATGCGGTAGTCTGTCGTGAAGCTGCTGGCGGCAAGGACTTTACAGGACCAGGTCGCACCAGGAGACCAACAAAGCAGGCGCAGCAAAAGGAAGCCAAGATCCGGCACGCGGTCGCTGGAAGCCAAGAAGACCGATCTCGAGCTATCCTCCATGCCGACCGGTGCACATCCCCAAGTCAAGTGACAATTGAAGCATGCGGATCGGATCAGATGCGCACGACACCGCTCAACCTGCTGTGGCCCGTTGCGAAAAGGCCGTGAGCTCACAGGAGTTGCCTGCTGCTACCTCTTGCACCACCCTAACGGGGTCCATGCCTCGTCACCTCGCCTAAGCGGACGGCTCTCCAAAAACCCGAAAGAACTCAATCTAAACAAGTGTCGCAGGGCCGAACTTGAAGCCCCTTCAACGGTAGCAACCAGCGGGAGTGGCACACCCAGCAGAACTCAACAAAACCCCTGGATAAAAAATGAAAGGTGTGGCAAAACAGGAGTGGGGATTCGCAAGCTCAGTAGACCCCGCTTCGTCCATGCTACAAAGTGTGCTGTAAGGGCTGGGAAATTCGCGCAAATGTGCAAACCCAACGCGGTGGGGGCGGCAAACCCTAAACAAACCCTGTTCCCTTTTGTCAGTTCCAAACCCTGCAAGCTGGCAAGGATCCCTAACCAAAGTTTCTGCACAAGTGAGTCCAAACGCCCGAGTTCAATTGAGCGTTTAAAGCGCTGAGCCCGAGCCCGAGACATTGTTGTGAGGTGGGTAGAAATTCAGAACGGATCGGTCTGAAGCCTCTTCCGAGGTCCTTCTTGAAAACCGGAGCCACGAGAAGCGGATTCTGGTGTCCGCACACTGCTCAGATGGATGTGTGTTGGGTGGTTATGGGGTGTCAGGGCGCGCCTTGCCGTGATCGTTCATTGCTATAGCAGTGTTGTTTTGCATCGACTAGCCTGGTGAAGAGACAGCTGCATTCTGAACAGCCATGCATGGCTCACGTTCCATCTGGTTTACCTGAGCACTTGAACAAATAATCAGTATAAATGTCTCAGACGTGTCCCGCGAAAGGCCGCACGAAAATTCCTCGGAAGGAGACCAGATCAATTCGCTTGTGAAGAAACCAAACCTGGCATGATTCTGCCCGCAGTCAATTAAAGGAGCTTGGAGTTTTTGCCATATACCCTAACCAAAATTCTTGAATCCCCGAACTGGAATTTCCGCAATGCTGCGATACGAATACCATATACTACAAGCGAGGCACTTGCAGAGCCAATCCGCCCAGCAGCACTGTCCTCAGAAAGGATGTCGTGTGTCCACGAGCATTCTTTGCGCAGTGGTGAATGAGGATGTGTCAAACGAACAAACCGTCAGCACGAGTGCAAGTAACCCGGCGCTGTCCCACAAACTCAGCTTCCACTGCTCCCTTGTGCTGCTGCAAGATTTGAGAGGCAGGCCCGGCGACAGATGGCTTCCTTCCCACAGCACCCGTGTTGCGGCGGGGCGAACAGGCTGGGGTGACAGGTGGCATGAATTGATTTGGACACATTGGTAGTCGTTCGCGCCTCACATGTTATGCTCGTCCGCGCAACTTCAGGTCTGACAGCCACGGCTTTCTAGTAGGCAATCGGTAGGCATCCTTAACAAGGAATAAGAAGGAATAACAAGGATCATGTTTTGAAGCTCAGCATCGCGCCCTCTTTTCAATCTGATGTGCCCCTTCGGTCCCCCCACAGCCTCGACAGCCTCGAGGCCTGGGTCGCAAACCTCGCGGAGGGCTCCCGCACTGCACCCAACAGCGGACCTGGCTTGAGGACATTTGAGGACTTCAATTTTATTTCGGTTGTTCAGGCGTGAGGGTAGACGTTTCAGGGCAAAGGGCCGCCAAGCGACTGGGGGCTTTTAGGTTAAGTTGGGTTGGAATTGGGCGATGTTGAGTCACACTGAAAAGACCATGCAAGGCGTCGCTCAAAAGGCCAGCCACCGGCACATGTGTTCCAGCATCATTGTGAGGTTTCATACGGGCACCTCTGCTAACATCTGAAAACGGGTGTGGCACGAGAATATTCGCAACTAGGGTTTGGCTTTTGCTTTGAGCGCGGGGTGTCCTGAGGTCATTACTCGTACCCTGTGCACCTGTCGGGCACCTTTGCCTTCGCCCCGACGCAAGCTGCGGGTCTATACCTGTTGTGGGGGCCCTAGCATGGCACAGCATGGCACAGCATGGCATGCCCGAGTCCGTGGTTGCGCTTTTTGTTGCCGCGTGCTCTTGAGTAGCTCTTGATGTGTGCGGTTTGGGTTTGGTGGCCTTGTTCTTTCTACTGCTTCTGCCGGCACGCACCAACCGTGCAGTCCAAGTGTGTTGAATTTGGGTTCTGTCCTGCCCGCCATTTTTCTGAAGATGTAAGTGCTGTAAGTAGAGATCGTCGGGCTTTGCAAGTCAGACTTTGTACAGAGTGGCATGAGAGTGTAAATGTTCCCAACTTGCCGACCATTCGGCTCCCTACATATAGCTGAGGGCTAGCGGGTCGGCTAAATCATGCAGTCCCTGTCAGAATCTGCCGACGCTAGCCTGGGCATCATTCCATTCCACGCACATGCCGCTTCGACTATTCTCGCCATTGTGTATGCATATCGTATGACGATACATATTCCCCAAGCCCCGGCAAACCCTGAAATCCCAAGCAACTGCTGCCACGGAAGCGACACAGCATGAGGCTATGCCGCTTCTTTACTTGGCACTTTGAAGAGGCCAATTGCAGGAACCACTAAGGGAGCAGGTTTTATCCGCAGCATGGCTCTGCAACGAGTTCGTGGGGCCTTTACACATTTTCCTGAGTTGGATACACTTAAGGGGTGTTGGCGGCACTCCTCTGCAGCCTCTCTGTGAGCACTTTTGCTTCGTTGCCAACACCCAAGAATCATGTCCCACGACCTCGGCCCTAAGCACTTGGTGAAGGGGGACTGCGCAGCACGGTGTGTGCAACCCTGCAGCCTCAGACCTTCAGCATGTTGATGAGTACAGCCTAACTATAGCCCGGAAGACCTCTTGTCTGTACCGTCTTTGCATGCTATGATTCTCTGCGCATGTCGCCTTCATGAGAGGTGTCAGAAGCTGCGTGCACAGTCTCCGAGATCTGCAGTAACGAGGTGCCTTGTGTTAGGGAACTTATGCCCCCCAAGCCCCGTCTACAACCCTTGCCTTCTACACCTTCATACACATGACGTCTGAAACGAGCTTCGGGCCTCGCAGGGCTGAAGGCTGAAGGGCTTGAGGTTAAGCTTTGGGTTCGTGGTGTGTGGTGTGCGTGTAGGGTGACTTTGTGCTAGTCAGACCTCGTGGGCTTGTCTTCTACGTACGTGGAGGACGTGGCAATTGGGGATTTTTTGACATCACACCAACTGTTTCATGCTACTACCCACCGGGTAGACTGTAGATTCCCGAAAAGAGATGTGGCTTCTTACCCCCAGATCTTTTGGCTACGTGCTGTTCGACGGTGAGATGTTAAGGTTTCGTTTCCACGAAACTGTCCTGCAAAAAGAATCTCGAGTGGCCATGGCCTGCGTGGAGCGCAGGATTTATGTGATTGATGAACTTCTTACTGGCGATGTGACTAAGTACGAGCTGACGTGACCTCCCCCGGACCTGGTCCGAGTTGTGAGAGGGTGCCCTGGGTTGGGGTTGGGGTTCCGGGGGTTCCGGTCCAGAGGGCCAGGCTGTCCGTAGAGCCCTGCCAGCTGCCAGTCGGCGTTCAGGTTCAGAGATGGAAACGAGAAGCTGGGCGAACAACTGTTTAAAGCCTGTAGCTGCATAGCCGTCCCAAAGAACCACAGTTCCAATGTCCTCCTCACATTCTTGGCACGCAGGAGTGGCAACTTTGGGAGCGACTCTGCCTCGTCGCTTCAGCATCAGCCTCAGGCCTTGCCTAGGCACAATGCTGGCTCTCGAGCTGAAATAGGAGCGCAACTCTGTCTATCATGGGGCGTGTGGGGTTCTTGCTGTGGAATCATTGGGCTGGATCGAAGGCATCGTTTCACGCTGACGGTGCCGCCAGCTGCCTGCGCCTGGCTCTGGCCACAGCGCCCTATGGCATTGGGCTCAGATGGGGACGTTGTTGAATGTTTCAGTCGAGTTCGGGATATCGTGCAGACATGCTCGCCGCAATGTGTGGAAAGATTTGGCACACACACACACACACACATGTCTCCCTTTGAAATTTGCTGCGTTTTGCTACCGTACATGATTTTCTGTGGAAAAGCCACTGTGCAGAATGTGGCCTACACCGCTTAAGTTTGGGATTTCTTTTCTTCTCATGATGGGCACATCAGGAGGCAGAGGAAACTGAACAAAGATGACGCGTACTGGCACCATGCTTTTCAGGTACGGCACCTTCTGCCGCATCGCAGAGCTCTCGCCGCAGCCTGTGCCCAGCAGGTTTCAGTTGTGCCCACAGCTCCATGACGATTGTCCTGCTTGCATTTGGCCAGTATGTAGAGCTCACAAAGGGGCTTCGTCTGGGGATATAGCAGGGGAGCATCATCCCGGAATTGTAGCTTGCAGGGCCTGTCGTGGCTTTCCAAGCCCCGAACCGATGAAATGTCCAACTTCTTCAACCCCAAAACAGCTGACTTCATTACGGCTTACTTTGGGACGCGAGCTTAGACGCTCTGAACCCTGCAATCCCTACAAACCTTATGGAGCATGACAATTGCGAGCGAGTGTCACACTAAGTATTGTAGCTATGCGTTACCAGTGGGTACTGGCAGGCCAAACGTGAACCCAATGCTAGAGTCTGATAGAGCAGCTAACCTGTGGTGGATTCCTCCAACATCAACGAACCCAACAAATCGGCGCTGCAGGCTGGGATGTGGGCCATGCCCTGCTGGAGTATGCCATTGCCTCGGAGAGTTCTGCCATGAATAGGTGAATATTGGGTTCAGAAGTTTGTGATTGAGGATTCAAGTTTCGGGGTCTATGCGTCCTCTGCTGAACTGCCTCGAGCCGTGGAGCATCTGAGCTGTTGTGCTTCTCGTGGTTTGGGGATGGCTCTTTAGGTGCGAAAGAGGCGCCTGGTTTCGGCGAGCTGCCGCCTCTCTTTACGAGAGGCACGACCGTACACAAGAGTATGTTTGGGGTGCAAATCTCAACCTCCCGTTGTTTTCCCTCAATTGCAGGTCAAGGTACGACTAACGACCAATCAGAAGGGGCCAAATGATGACCGCAATTTCTGTGCCGTCGGACCCAAACCCTCCTCCTCCTGAATGGAAGAGGATTTGCAGTTGGCAAAGGCTTCGAGTTTCTGAGAACACCTGGCCAAAAGCTGCGTGCTTCCAGTGGTAAGCCGTCACTTTGGTCTTCAAGCCCACCAATCCTTTCCAGGAGCTCGAGCTGCTGGCAGAACGGCACCCTCAAGCTCAGGCCACGCGCTCAAAGCTTGCCGTCAAAAAACACATTCTATCCATGCATGTGCATATATTCATGGCGAGGTATCCACGGTATTCAGTTCTTTCAAAGCTTGCATGGTGTTTCCCGCAAGTTAGATGTAGGGCTCGGAAACCCTGACAGTCCTGCTGGGAGGCACAGCATAGCAGGCCCTGAGTTGGAAGAAGAAAGAGAGATGCAATGCACCTCGGGAAGGCTTCAAAACAGTCAAAGCCCGCATGTCCAGCTGTCAGACCTCAGGGAGCTCACTGCGCAGTGGGCGAGTTGGCATCGCGGAGGGCCGCATTGGAGGCCGCACTGGGAAGTCGGGTTGCGGCTCAGGCAAAGTCTTCCAGCTTCGGGTTGGCGAATTACGGTGGGGTCTTTTACAGTCAAGGCAAAGGAGGCTTGTGGCGACATGACGACGAGAATCACACATGCACCCCATCCGGTTGAGCACGCCCGTGCATGCCTGAGAATGCCGGAGGTCTCGTTTGGATTGAGTTTCCAGAACACCATCAGCTCATTTTGAAGCATGTCTGGACATTGTCCGTTGCACCTTCTACTGGCAAGTGCCACTACAAAAGAGACATGACAAGACCTGATGCGTGAAGGTTCTGACGTCCAGCGCCGCAGACAGCAGGCAGGACATGTGCATGCATGCTTGTGTTTCTCAGAAGAGCACCAACCCCGCCCAGTATGCTTTGGGCAGTCCTTCCGCCGTCGATCCCTTCAAGGTATAGAGTTGGAAAGGATTAGAAGTGGCCTTGCTGTATACATCAGGAGCATGCCTTGTTGAGTGATGTCCACAGGCTCCAGCCGGTTCGGCTAGAAAGTGTACCATGCTCAACGCCTTAGATGTCCATGCCACCTACTCCGAGAGGTGGGAGCTGCCTTTGAGCCTTGGCTCTGTCACCAGTGATGATGGCTTCGACCGGGTCCGCCCCTTTGCCATGCTAGTGTACCAGTTTAGTCAGGGCAGGCACATACAGGCTATTCCGTAAAGGGATAACGGACGTGGGGGAAAACATGCTGCAGTACAAAAGGCTTCCGGCTCGCGCACTGCAGAAGGTCTCGACCGTGCTATTAGACTGTGCGTGAAGAGTTCATTCTTTGAGGTACTGGGGTGCAAGGACCATAAGCCCCAACCCTTGAGTGTACCCAGCAGTCTCAGACCCTGAACGAAGCCCAACTGCACACTGGGCAGGTGGTCGACAAGACTTTTACCGAGGATGTCGGGATCTTTGAGCGTATCTCCGCCACACTACGTCTGGCTCTGAGAATCACAGAGCCGAACCAAGGACGTTGTCAAGGCTCCGTCGTTGCACCTGAGCACCCTTTCGGGCTTGCTGGTCTGAGATGTGCTGTTGTGAGTATTTCAAGGCTGAAAGAGTAGAGAGGCTATGCGCTGAGAAGGGTGGGCTGCAATCAAGCAGCGCGTGGGCAGCCAGCAAGCAAAGAGGTGTCGTCGGACAAGCAAGGATGGAATCGACCAAGTGCCGTAAGTGGGCAAGTACTGCACTGGGCTACCTTTTGTCAAGCGACATCATGCATTCAATACACCGACCACCTCAACCACCGGCGAAGAAAGGCAAACCGGAACCAGCCCTTCCCTCCCTATTCTCCACACGGGCTGTTTTGAAGAAGTGCTCTCTTTCCCTCCCTGCCCCTCCCCCTCGCTCGCTCTCGCTCTCACTCGCTCTCTCAATCTCTCTCCCTCTCTCTATGTCCCTGTCTATGTTTCTTTCTCTCACTCTCTCTCTCTCTCCGGCTCTCTCTCCCAGCTCTCTCTTTGTCTGTTTTGTCTTTTCCTTTGGAACCAACATGTGTATTTCCCGGGCCTGCTTGTTGAAGCATGAGTTGTACATACTTCGGTGCTTAATCACGGAGGAGTTATGTTCGAGCTGTTCTCTTTCAACAAAATCCCCACAAGGACTGGATCAAAACTCACCACTCCAAACTGAAAGAGAAGCATGTGAAACCGCATTCCTTCTGCTACAATACATACAATAAATCATGTGTGTAAATATGATTAGAAATCTTTTCAGCATGCACTTACTTCTGTAGAGAATTGGCAACAACTAGATCCTTCTGCACATGGCTGGGCGGAATGCTCAGGTGATGTGACCTACAATCGGCCCGAATGCTCGCACCAGACGGGAGCAGAGGCAGGCCGCGCTCTAGGGCATCGTTCTTGCTAGGGCTTCGGGCACGTCGTGCCACAGGTTTGCATTGCAAACAGGCTCAAGCAATTGCAGTTGTGGGTTGATGAACCGAGGGGCAGGTCTTAAGCTTTTGCGCCCATGGCTCCGTGGCACTGCTACCAGTTGCCTACTTGTCAGATGTTTTCCAGGTGTTGGGTTCAACTTAGCGTGTTGGACACACCTGCAGCACGAGACTCAAGCCCAGGCCATCTCTTTCCTTGACAACCTCTTCTCCCTGTTTGGCGCAGTGCTGAGCGGATTTCATCGAGCTTTCTGCTTTCCGGTCACAGGTTCGTAGCCGACAAACATCTTCGGACTCAAGAGGAGTGGTGCGATGACTCAAACTAAAGCTTAGGCACGTCCCAATCTGATCTTGGAGGTCTTGTCTTACTGCGTGTAGGACGCAGAAGTTCGTTGAGGGGTTAGGGCTCGAAAGCCGGTTGTGGTAGTGTTTGACACCAGTATGAAAGCGGGGGGGGGGGGGGGGGGTGGGCGAAGGGGGGGTGAAGGGGGTGGGCGGGGGGCTCAGGCCTCTTGCGACAAAGGGCACGAGTTTCTTTTGCAACCAGGGTGGCTTGCTGGTAGACAACCGTTTAAAACAAAACAACTTTTAAGTGGGATGAAATGCATATACTTGTGCCAAATCCCCCTGACGTCGTCCGCGGCTGGACAGTGGTCGGCTCGGGCGGGGTACCCACTCCAACTGCCGCATGCTATCTAAACGCTGGTCTCGACAGATTAATGCAAAACAGCGCTATCGACACATGCAAATCACGACCTAGCAACTCTGTCTGCGAGGTCCGTCAGCAAGCGCTCCTTTCCCATTGCTGTACGAGCTGTTCACCTCCACGATGTCGCTTCAGGCGCATAGCTAGAGGTTTTCTAGTGGTTTAGGCTGTGACATCATCACCATACATCTCTGTGCCCATGCTTGCTCCAGACTCTTGCTGGCATGGCGAAAAGAAGTACCTCAGCGATTCTATGGGATACGGGATGGAGAACCTGAATTTCAAGCTACTGGCAGAAGTTTGGCAAAATTCTTGGAGCCATTGCAACAGCGACATGCTTGGCAACAGCAGATGCTGGTCTTCACATGTGCCAAGTGTGCATGGCTTGCATCGGACAGGCCAGGGCGCACAGCACCCTGAACAGAATCCAATCTTTGCAAACTAGGTCGTTCGTCAACATGTGGCCTGGGGCAAGAGTTGCTGCAGGAAGACCGAGGGTCCTTCAGAAGATGTCCGAGAGTGAGAAATAGACTAGACACCAAAGCCACAGCAAGAACCGACCTAGGTCCACTGGGGTCCAGGGTCCCCAGTTCGTTCTGATGTTTTCACAAGTTCGGGGTCGTTCGCCAGGTGGTGGCCGGAGACGACTTCCTCACTGTGGCATCCATCTTGTCACGCCCCAAGGGTGCAAGAACAGACTGCCACTGATGGCTAAGTCGTCTGGTTCTTGTGATAACGGGCTGACGTGATGCCCAAGTATAGCACAAGTCGTAGCGCCTTACAAGCTAACGAAGGCCTATGCCCTCAAGGCGAGCCCCTTTCCCCGCATCCACCAGATCTCGTCAGGGTGCACATTAGTCGATGTTCCTCCGAACCACTCTGTACCAAGAGTCTTGAATGAGAAGTGCTGAAGACTTGGACCATGCAAGGATCTGGTTAATGTGTGGATAGTGCTGACACAGCCTGAGCGAGCCGAGGCTCCGCCTTTGCTGCAGAGATGGCTCAAAGAGTGCTGGTGTCTCTGCAGCGGGCCAAGCTTGGACGAACTTGCGTGCTGCTTGCGGAGTGGTTCTTGAAGTTCTTGGACTTTGGCAACTGTGGGGTTGGGAAGCTTGATGCTTGCCTTCCCGGACTTACCAGGAAGTTTGCATTTGCACGTGGTTCTTCTGTTTGTCAAAAAGTCAAGTTGAGGCGTGTTGTTCGGGAGAGTGCTTTGAGAGCATTGCTCTGCGCCCCCCGAGGTGCTTCGAGCGATTGAGCTGAATCCAGAGGCTTGAGACAATGGCTTTGAGACACCTCATTCGGGCCGAACCATCTCTTCGTGCCAGCACTTCTAGAGCACTGACTTTTGATGCAATGTATACCATGTGTAGTCCATATACAGTCTTTACGCCCACCCCAAAAACTCAACAGTTGAACTGAACATGCTCTCAAGTTCATGTTCAAAGCTACAGGCTACTGGAGTGACGCTCTAGGCATGCATGCGTCTTGAAGGTTTGCTCAGCGCTCCCGCGGCAGTAGCCTTGGTGTTGCAGAGATCTCTTGTGCACAGTCAGCCTCTTCAAGCTCATTGGGCCACATTGGGCTTGTTCGTGCCTAACAGGCTGGCCAATTGCAATTGGAAGCGTATTCGAAGTAGTCCTCGGTGTGTCCACGAGTTTTAGCCTACGGGTTGACAGCAAATGCTGCGTTTGGTCGTACGTTGTCGGCTCTTGCTTGTGGCAAAGACCTTACCATGACTCGATTGTGATTTTTTGCTCTCAGAATTGCAATCACATGAGGTGGGGCTCAGCGGACCTTACCTGGAGCTTGAGCTTGGCAGGCTTCAAGTTCGACACGCAGCGGCGCCCTTGGAGAGGAAGCGCTAGCACGGATACGTCCACCAGTCTAATAGGTGCCGTACGATGCGTGGCTTATGTGTTTTTGGATATTACGACTCGCAGACTTAAGCCACGCTGGATCAACGAGGCCACGGCCGCCATGGCCTAGCTTGTTGAAGGGTAGCTCGTTTTTTGGAAGTGGGCACTGTCACGCATTCATGGTTGCGAATGCAGCAATGAGGTCGACATCGAAGCTGCTGGAAGCGGCCACGAAGAAACTGAAGAGCATGGAAAGGCCACATTCGCAGGATTTCAAGGGTAATCCCATTTCCCTGGTGAAAAACCACCCCCCTCCCCCACCCTTTGTCATCTAGAAATCCGGATCCGGGGCCAGAATTTCTGGAAGTAGGGGTTCCGGATTTAGGAAACTCAGCCGGGAAGGTTGAGTGCGGCAGCAATCGGATAATGCTAACTTCAATTGAATTTCAATGGACGTTGAACGAGTTTTAGTAACCCCCCGGTCCCATGTTGGGAGCCCCGGCCGACAGTTTCCGATGTTAAGCGGATTTGTATCAATTGTGAAAGGCTTCGAAGGCTTCAATTCAAGGGCTGTGCGCACTTTTCAGAGGCTTTTCAGAGAATTCACCCAAGTAACTCGGGGTTGGGTCTTCTGGGCCCCTTGGGCTTGAAGGCAGTAGCCTCAGTAGCCCAGCAGAGAGCAGCATGTGTTATGCGCTGTGTGTGGTTGCTTCACGGCTCGACCGCTCTTTGACATGCTGAGCCATCTTCAGCGCATCAGAAGCCACCAGAGAACTCCGACTCCGACCCTTACGTTGCCCAGCCTTAAAGCTTGTACATGCCAGAGCTGGGTGACGATCCTGAAGGCATCTTGTGGCACATGCTACGACTGCTACGACGGTAGAGGACGAAGATCATAGGGTGTGGGTGACTTGCAGCGGCGCTGCCATTGCTGCAGCTGATGGCCGACGACAAGTCCGACATTCGTGGCGTGGCAATGGACAACAAACAGGGAGAGAAAGTGGGAGAGTTTATGAGAGCGTGCAGAGTCGGGTTTGTGCCTAGCCCAGCAGGCCTACAGACATGTGCCAGTGCTATGCTGCAACAACATGGGACATAGGCTGCAACAATACATGACGACATCCTGATTTGCCAATTTGCCCGAGCTTGCCCCTGGCTGCTGAGGCGTGCTCTATATCTGCGGGCACCATGCCGGCACTTGTGCGTTTTTTTGGGGGGATTACTACGGCCATGAACAAGCTGCAGCATATAACTCCGCATGACTCCGCATGAACAACTCCAGTCAAATTGGAGGCGTGTGTCAGTGCAACCGAGTTCTGTCAAACTGAGATGCGAGATTGTTACTGTTGGACTCCCTTTAGGAAGGCCCCCCGACAAATTGCTGATCCTCTATGAACATCCGCTGCCAATGAAAACGCCCAAACAAATCCATATTAGGGGGGAAGGCGAGAGGGAGGGGATTCCTGATCATAAGCATTCAGGCCCTGAAGCTTTCTTGCCATCTTGGGCTGACTCCACGACCCTGAAGGCCGGAAACCTGCAGGCCTGAAGCTTGAAGGCAGAAGCCTTGAGGCCTCAAACTTTCCTGTCTTGGAGAAAGCCAGAAGCTTCTACTCCGCTTCAATTCGCGCTGAAGAGGACACCCGCGGACACTCCAAGGAGAGACCTATAGGCCCTCGGATGGGTGCAGAGTTACCAGTGGCTTGTATTAGGAGTTGCACCAGGAACCCCTACCAAGCGTGGAGGGCTGCCCCATTTTGGATGCAACATCTCTTGCGACTTAGGTTGGGAAGCAATGTCACCGGCTACTCGGCAAATCATAATCTTTGCTACCTGTTATCTATACTCTATCACAATGTTGCTATAACGCTCATTTTGCTGTTGGCGGGCCCCGGAGGAACTCCTCCCATAGGCTGACGGGCATTGAATCATAAGCGAAGTACTCTGAGGAGGTACAGCAGCAGGAGTTACTTCTTCGTCCCCCTACGGCCTCTTTTCGTGGTTCGGAGTATCCAGCTATGTGATGTATGTGTTCAGTGGCAACAGATGGCCTGTCAGATCTTTCACATGAAGCAGTCAGCTATTTCACGGGATGGCACGGTGGCCCAAGACCGGCTATAAATGCGGACCACCACAAAGCGCATCCTGACTCCATTGCTTGGTGGCCTGGGAACCCCCCAACCACACGGCAACTGGATCTCAAGCGTCACCTCGTGACTCTGCGTGGCGGAAAGTTGCCCTGCCTCCAGCTCAACCAGTGTTTGATATTACAACAATATGACATGCAACCAGTAGTAAGAATGGCAAGCCGCGGCTAGCCTGCCGCGGCAAGACTGTTCAGGATGGCACGAGTACATGATACATGTTTAGGGTGCAGAAATACAGGGTGTGTGCGTGTGAGGATGCATAGAGAGCTGCCCCTCGTGAGTACTGCAAAGGTGATCAGAGGTGCAAACTGTGAGAGCTGACTCATGCAGTCGTGAGCAATAGCTGTCAAGATATTTCTCCCATATGACCATATGTGCCAAGTATACCTACACATGTTAGAAGGGCGTCACAGCGGTGTCCATGTCGATTTGTTGATTCAGCTGGGAGGTGGCAAGCCAACATACGTGCGCCAGAACTTTCGCCACGTGACTGTCCCCTCTGTGAAGCATGCGAGTTACTCCGCAACGTTTCTAGGCAGCACGGTGCAGAGGATGCACTGCGGTAGGGTATACAGCATTCAGACCCTGTGGGAGCATCTGTTCTGGTATCCACTTGCAGAGAGTGTTGCAGCCAGACGCGCCAGCGAAAGAAGCTGTGCAGACTGCAGGAAGGAAGCGCTGGCCAAAGAATGCCAAAGCTTCAAGCCAGCCACTTGCCAAAATATTTGGGGGTTGTTGAACAATGTTTCCAGAACAGCATGCTGCTACACAAGCCAATTCTCGTCACTACGAAAACACTCCTGCGCTTCGTGCATCCGAAATAAGAAGCACTTTAAGAAAGAGCTTCGAAACGTCGGGCCCCAGGGAGACTGCGAACAGATTGACCGGCTGAAGCAGCAAAGCTGTCAGCAAACAATTGACACAAACGTGGTTTTGCAGCCTGGGAGGTTGTCACGAACATGAGAAGGCAACACGAACCTGCAGCCAAGGACATTGTTGTGGCTCATTCTGCCGGAGTGGGAAAGGCCTCGTACTGAGAGTCGCTGGCTGTCTGGCTCACAGAGCCTAATTTTTCGTTGGAACGCATCCCTATGGATTCCAGGAAAAGAGGGATGCCAAGCGTTGTTTTCTCGATCGTGGAAGGACACCCACGAAGCAAGTTGATGTTGCTCTCAACCCATCTTAGAGTCTCAGACACTCCCCGGCCTGGCTCAACATCGAAGTTGTTGAGACTATGCTCCAACATCGATTGCGTGTTCGGTTACATCCTGCCACTTGTGCATTGTAGGAATCGAGCGGCACCCTTCGGAACTCACGTTGGGCAGGCTTCTATGTAGCACGATGGTTCCCGGGTTCCCACTTCGAGTGTTGGGGCCACAATCATCGTGCTTGCGGTGGCAAGCGTCTTCATATGTTCATCTAGTCTGGTTAATTCTGGATACTGTGTATGGAAAAATTTGGACAAAAAAGAAACGACAGCATTTGTGGCAGGAATTGCGAAGCGAGCTGGCCCATAACGGTTACAGGACACTCCCGAACTCACGTTTGACATGCTCCTATTGCTGTTGGGTTGGCTTGGTTTTGGGGTTCCCGTCTCGAATGTGTTGGCAGACGCAGTTCAGCGAGTTTAGACGAGAGTACCGCCGGGCACCCTGGCTCAGGCAGTCACCCTCGCCACCACCGGTACCTTCTCGGGGCCTTTGGTTCTCCTTGCCGGTGGCAACGGCTGCGCGCCAGTCTCTGACATGACAGTTGCAAGGGCTTGGGATGTCCTCGCATTGAGGGCTATTGGCAAATAAATAGATTAAACATTGGGGCTGTTCTGAATGGTTGTTTGCTGTTGTAGCCTCGCTAAGGTGGCATCAAGACTCTTGCTTTGCTCGTGACCCCACTTGTGTTTGCGTCAGCTGGGACAGCAGCAAGAGATACGGCAATGACAGGCTTCAGGAATTTTCTGTAGTCTTTGAGGACCCCAATTGCCTGCCGCAAGCTGGCTGGAAAGCCACTAAACCCGAAAGAGGCCATGTTGTGAACACCGCTATAGCACAAAACCGTCTCCCCAATACCTGACCAACGTCCCTCAGTGCAAGGCGCACGTCATTTACAAACGTGGCACTTCAGCCAAAACGCCTCATCAATCATATCAAAGGGTGAGAGCTCACCAACTTTGACAGGACTGGGCGCGCAGTCGCCCTCGTGGTGCCAAGCGCCGACCCCGCTCGATCCCAAGTCTGTTGCGGTGCATCGGGTTCAGGGCCTCGGGTCATCAAGTGCCGGGAATTGCAGGGTTGTGCATGAAGCACCCAACTTGAAACAGATCAGTACATGCCTGGAGCCTGGAGAGTAGCTGGTCTTCAATCATCTCAAGCAGGGCTTACCATACTCGCTAGCATGGTTGAGCTTACTGCACTGTCGCGAAGGTCACAGAACTGCCTCGGGGCCAGCTGAACTGAAGCATATACTGAGCCCCGGTGGTGACTTGCGCTGGTTAGCTTGTGCCATCTTTCTCCTTGGCCGCAAGGATGCTGCTGGACAAAAGAGAGCGTTGCGGTCCGCGCTGGACATCCACCCAGAGGGATGGGAAGATCATTGTAAAGTGGAGGTCCAGTTGCCAGGAATGACAGCAAGGAATGACAGCAGGGGCAGCGCAAGGCGCGATTTTGATTTTGTGAGTGGAGAAATGCCTTTGTGACCAACTTTGGCTGCAGGACAAGTCGATGGTGATCGGTGTGGACGTTGACGACAAGCATGACCTGAATAAATCTATGGTGGAGCACCTCTGCTGCAAGCCTAGGTCCCGGTGCATGCTGAGCTCCTGAATGCTGATCGGATAGCCACAGGAGGTCTAGGTGGGCATACGGGACAAGCAAACAGTGCCGTTTTTGTAATTCGGTCAAAAAATGGATGAACTCGGATGTGCGCGGTATGCACCACACGCCAGGCCGAACACAGGATTACAGAAACTGGGTTGTGTCGTGTGTGTGCGTGAGTGCGTGCGTGCGCGTTCGTGTGCGTGCGTGTGGCGTGTGATCTGCGGGTGTTTGTAGCGATGCTGGGTCATGCTTTGTTTCATTGGCCTGGATCGCCTTCTGCACTGTAAAATCGTGCGGCCTGAGGGTAGGTACCGGAGTGGGTTGGCCCATACGAGTACCGAGCAGGGAGGTCCGCAGTCTCGTGGACGTCATGAGTCCTCGATTTGTCCCACACTCGGCTAGGCGGGTGGTACAATAGAGCTTACAGTGGTGTAAAATGGCGGTTCAGCGAGCAGCACCTTGAAGCACATGGTCACATAGTTCACACGGTTCGATCACATCTCAGACCGGATTTATGTCTTCATTTGCCTTCTCATCTGGGCGCAGGCAAGGGATGCTCCGCGGGATCATTGAGGACACTTACCGACGACACACCGGAGCAGGTAAGCTGCCCGCCTCTGACACCACTGTCAAGATAGAGACCCCAGTCAAAGAGCAAGTGAAGTGGATTTTTTCGGAGTGGGATTTGAATGACGACGGGCAAGTCACCAAAGCGGAGTTCAAAGACAGCCTCACAGCACTGTGCGACCAGATGTCGCCAGAGGACGTGGAGGCAGTCGTAGAGGTCGTGGACAAGAACAAAGACGGCAATGTGGATGTCGAGGAATTCTTGGAATGGGTTTTCTCTGGGGCTGATCACACGGAGAAAGTCCTCGCCGAGACAGCAGCGCCGTCTCCCCCTGAGGCAGCGCAGGTGCCAGTAGAGGATACTGCTGCATCTGCTGCGCCCTCTCCTGCACCCGACGCAGAGGCGCCCAAGGCTGGAGAGCCAGACGCAACGCCTTTGCCGACACCGCCCGCAGAGCAGCCTACAGAGCCGCCCGCAGAACCACCTACAGAACCTCCTGCACCAGCGACGGCGGAGACCGCGGCAACGCATGAGCCCACATCAATGTCTGCCGCCACGCCAAGTGAAACTGTTACAAAGGCGGATGCTCCTGGCGAGCCCCCTGTTCCTACAGCTGCGGTTCCGAGCCTGGGTTGCACCAGAAAGCTTTCAGTTCTTTCCGCATGGTCCGCACAGGCCTTCAGCATCATTATGCATCATTCATCACAAGACCATAATTAGATGCAATGTCGGGAGAAGTTTTATGGGCAGTGGTTCCCGGGATTTGTGAGGTGTCTCTACGCTGTGCAGCCGGGCCAGCTGTTCACCTGGGGACGCGGAAGTGATGGGCAACTGGGGCAAGACAAGATGCGATTTCCTTCTGTGAACTGTGCTCTACCCTACCCTGTGCCGCGGATGAGCCAGGCCGCTGCCTTTTGTTGCCGCATTGCTGATTCCAGTCGCATCATGTCGCATCCAACGTGCATTCTCATTCTTTAGCATTTTGCAATTCCTGGTATGTCGCTAGATGCTTGAATCGCACATACAGCACTTAACCGAATCAAATTCAGTTAAGACCCTACAGGTAGGGTTTGATAACGCATCGATCCTGACTGTGAAACGAATCTTTGACGGAACTGGTGACATTTACTTCCAGATCCCATTAATACAAACTGAGTGCATCTTAACGCAAGCCTTTTCATATGAATCAAATCAACTTTAGCTTTAAATAGGACACCACGGAATACGACTTGAACAGCAGTCACTTTTTTGGCTCATATGATGCGCGGTCTTTGTGCGTGATGAGCGTGTAAGCATGAGCAGCACGCGTTGGGTACCCTTCTCCCAAACCCACTAATTACGGCAGACCTTGTTAACGAGTGCCACGTGGCATGCGAAGAAATCTTACACCCTATGCATATCCTGGCTCCAAGTTGCGAGAGCCGAAAGCCCTGAGCACCTGCGACCTCCGAACCTCAACTCATCGAGATCTCCAACTCGGGCAGGTGGTTCACATCTCATGCGGCGGAGGTCAACAAGGTGGGCTGCCGGCTAAACCCAACATACAGCAAGCAAGAAATCCTCGAAAAAGGCCCTAAGCCCATCTTGGGTTTCAAGGTTTTGAGGCTTCGGGCTTGGCTCCTCAGGTTCCACGGTTCCACCAAAAAGCTCACATGACTTAGTCCTTTTGAAATCTTTGAAGATCTTTGAAGTGTAGACCCGCCAGGTGTGTCAAGCATGATCCAATGACGTCCCATGCAAGGTTGCACTGGTGCAGTGACAGCGGAGGGGATGCTCTACACTTTTGGCAACAACTGGAAGGGACGCTTTGAAGGATTTATGGCGATTTGGATTAGCGCTTTGCGCCATTCCTCCGCCTCACACTTCGACCCACTGTGACTCTTCATCAATCTTGGGTGCATTTTATGGGGGTGTGTCGTGTCCTGCATTCTGTGAGAGGGCAGATCAGGGGTTCTTCATTCCGATTCCGATGGGGCGAGAGCATGCCAGAAGCCGCCACGCCCACAAACCCGGCACGCCCCGTACGGCAAAAAGACAGAGTATGCAGCCGTCGAAGGAACTCTGAGACACCACAGGTAAACGAAGACAACAGCTCGAACCCTACAACCCAGCCCTTGCCTGCAAAATTCTGAACCACCTTCTTAGGACGCCTTGGTCATGGCGAAGGGCCGAACGTTGCTGAGCCACGAAGCGACTGGGCTGCGTGTCATGGGGCCAGTTGGCGCGCTTGCCGTTTGTCAATTGTTTCTTCGTGGCAGCTGCTGTAGGGGGGAAGCCTTGGTGCAAGAGGGTTTAGTTCGAGGGGTTCAAGGCGGACTACAGCTTGAAGCCTAGACACCGAGAGACAGCGAGCGAGAGAGCGAGAGGGAGAGAGGGGGAGAGAGGGAGAGAGAGTGCAGGGCAAGTCAAGCAGGATCCTCGGACGTGCACACCCTTCGGGGCAGCCCCGAGAGGGGGGGGCTATGCCGTCTAAGCGTGTGGAGAGAGAGACAGAGAGAGAGCGAGAGTGCAGAAGAAGAAGAAGAAGAAGAAGAAGAAGAAGAAGAAGAAGAAGAAGAAGAATAAGAGGAAGAGGAAGAAGAAGAAACGAAGAAGGAGAGAGCAAGCGAGCGAGCCTCGCATTCGGGCGGCTAGGGGGGGGGCGGGGGGTGTGGGGGGCATGAGCACTGGAAATAAGGAAGAGAGAGAGATAGAGAGGCGGGCCCCCGTGCCTGCAAGCCCCCCCCCAAGAAGGAAGGAAAGAAAGAAAGAGAGACATGAGGGGATGTCTTTTCATGCAGAGACACTGTTGTGGAAGCTCGCCCCGCAATTGACCACTGGATGCGCAGGGGTCGAAGCCCTGGCATCGGAGCGGGTGGTGATGGCAGCCCCTTGGTCTCCCTTGATTTTGTGCTCTTCCGGAACTCGGAGCCTAAAGCGGGCTGAGCATGGTTGAGGGCACTTGAGGAGGGTCTAGCTGGGTCCCGACTCAACTCCTGAGCCCTTCGTCCCTGAACTCAATGATCCCGTCTTAGCTGTTGGGTGCAGCCTGGGTCTGAGACCCGCAGGGCTTGGCTGGAGGAGGATGTAGGTCTGTAGAGTACACAGGCTTCGGCTTGTGTGGTCGGAAGTTGCACGGGCTTCCTGGCCGAGCTCCACCTTTACCTGCCTTTGTTTAGAGTACTGGTGCCAAGTGATTTGCAGATTATCGACCAAATTGCCCATGGCTTCGGCCGCAGCAGTGCTTTGGTCATGGCAACACTGAACTAAGCGTACCAGATCCCCGACAACCCTCCCGCCCTGGCCCGAAAGCACGGTAGCTTTCGGATGCGAGGCTTTCGGAAACGACCACGGGGCCGCCGTGCTCGGAGCCTTTTTTAAGACAACCTCTTAAGCCTAAAGCCCCGTGAACTTTGCAGGACGGTCGGGGATTGATTTCTAGCCGCCTTCCTGTGGGGCCTTTCGGGTGGCGTTAACCAGTCCGCGCCGGTTCGGGGAGCAGTTTGCACAGCACGTTTCCAGGTTTGGGGTATAGAGGGTCTGTTCAAGTTACTTGAGGAGATGGGCGAGTCTATCTCTGGGGCAGCAACCGCAACGGACAGCTGCTTGGAGCGCGGAAATTCGAAGTTGTTTGGTGGGTTGCGAAGCCAAGCGTGTCCAGAATGCTCCTATAGAATAGAAATTTAGCAAGTTTAGCATCACCCATTGGCTTTGATTTCTAGAACGCCAGTGGCCTCACCAAACGAATGTCAATGTTCGCAGAAGGTCTTGGTGTTCATGCAAACACTTCATCAGAATCACAGTTCTTCGGCCGGGAACATTGCGTGTGGAGAGGGGGTAAAATTAACGCTGTCGCCCGTAATTGTCCCATTTGCCCCACTTCACTTCTGTGTCAAAGCCGAACTCGACAAGGGGGGAAAGCCGGGAAGGCTGGAGCAAGCGGGGCCGCAGGGCAAGCGGGTCAAGTGGGGCAAGTGTGCGCGACGATTTACCGGCCCGCGCTAAAGAAACACACTCATCAGATCAAGTGAAGTCACTGCATCCAGTCCGCAGTCCACAAGGCCCTTTCGAACTCAAGATTGAAGAGCTCCAGTGCTCTTTTGTGCTCTTCAGCTTGCTCTGCCTCCAGCTCGTAAATCTACCTGGCCGGCGAGCAAAGGATACACCCCAAAACACAGCCAGAAGCTCTGCATTTCCGATCAATAGCTGAAGACAGCTTGCCGTGCAAGGCTTGGCCGAGGGCATGCCGACAAGGCTTCGAGGGTGAGCCAACGGACATCCCAAGTGAGAGCTCGTCAGGTCAAGATGCTCTGCAGGTTGCCACAAGCTACCAAAGCTAGCTTTTAAGCAAGTTTTGTGTATGTCTAGAATCTGAATGTCGAGGCCGATGCAAAGCCACAGCAAATTGTGCTGCCCGCGGCCGCGGTGCAGATTGACTGTGAGGACCAGCGCCTCGCCTGGATTCGTCGTGTCACCTTCCATCTTAAGACCATCAAAAACACCGCAGCTGCCTTTAAGGAGGCTTCTTTCCTGACTTTTTTTGTGCAAGGTACTCGGCTGCCGTGCTCGCGGATGGGAGGCTCTTCACCTGGGGCAGCAACGGCCATGGCAGGCAGTCATCGTGCGTGGAGATTTTGGGTGCTTCATACAAGGAGTGACCACTGAGCTCATGTTTAGGACCATAGGCCATAGGCTGGTGACCCAGACCGTCGACCGGTGCTCCATCTTCAGGCTGGGCCATGGAACAGCCGCGCCAGAGCCTCACAGGACCGTTCAGGTTTAATCCTTTGACTTGATGGCGTTTGCCGGCGCCTTCCGTAACACAAAAACGTTGTTGAAAATCCGACTGCCGCTCCCACCCTCGAGAATCAAGACGGCACGCACACATGCCCAGCATTGCCAACGAACTCAAGATAAACGGAATGTCAAATCCCCTATTAGACATGTTGCGCTCGACTAGCCACGTGCGGAAAGGAAACTAGTTGCATTTTCGAAGATGCCTGCAAAGCGGGCAGGGTCCCACAATCCTAGTGACACCTTGGATTTGAACCACACTCCGACTCGAAACTCGGCTCCAGATTCGAAAGTCCGGTATCCTTATAGCTACATGCCCATCCCTTGTGACCTCGAATAGCGCTTGAACCAGAGCTTTGAGAGACCCGGCGTGCTGTTCCTCCTTCATCTTTTCATATCTTTTCTCCACACTGCAAGGTCAACGCCCACGCCGACACCGACCGAAGTTGCTGCCAGCGGTGTGAGCTTTGTCTCGGCAACCAGGCGTAGGAAGGGGCCGCAGGTGTAGGAACCACGCTGTGAGCTTCCGAGTACATGGCTCGTAGGTTAATTGCCTTGAAATTCCAAGTACTCTTCCGCAGTCAGCAAAAACCCTGAGCCCTGAAGCCCTGAACCCTGAACTGACTTGAGCTAGCACACCCTCTCCATGTTTTGACCACCTATATTGTTCTGAAGTGCTACCCTGCATTGTGGCGACTTCAGCTTGGCGGCCCGAGCCTCTGAGAAGTGGATGCCAACCTGAAGCTTTCATTCGAAAGCTCCCGAAGCTCCAGCAGCCCAGAGCCGAGCCAGTCCCAATGTCTGACTGCTCACGTATTTTTCTAGGGGGAACCTTGAGCCAAAACTCCTTCGATGTGCCGCAAAAGACATGAGGTAAACCTTGGCTCACTCTATGCTGGGGCAGTTGGCAGCAATGGCGAACTGCTGATGTGGGGTTGCTTGAACAAGTTACTGTGTGTGTGTGTGTGCAGGACCAGCGCAGGACTTATCGAATTCGTTCAGGCTAACCCGAAGACAAGCTGTCAACGGACATACCTCTTTCATCCCGCACTTCAGATTATAGTAACCTGTGTGTAGGTGGGTTCTCGGGCAGGTTTGAAGGACAACTGGAGGCAGGATTCGGGTACATACTTACCTTAATCGTATGCTGACTTTGCCAATGGCCTATGCATAAATTAGGTATACAGGCTCGGCTCGACAAACTCATCAGTGTCAAGTCCTCTCTTTGAAGCTCCGAAGTCCCCCGACGGTGCAGCCGAATCTCTACTCCGAGCGTCAAAGGCTACGGCGGCCATGGCAACCTCGGCCTCGGGGACCGGGCGTCTCGCTCATCGCCGACGGTCGTGGACTTGCCCGAGCCAGCGAGGTGGGCCACAGAGGAGGGGGGGGGGGGGTGTTCCAAAAGAATTGAAGAGTTGTAGGGTTTCAGAAGCTCGCCGAAAGCATGAGAGAGCCAAATCCCAAGCAATCCCAACGGCAAAGGCAAGTGGCTTGCACCGGAGACTTGGCAGGCATGCTGGGATTTGGTACAGGTGCCTGGCTGAGGCCAAACACGTGCAGCTTTGGGCTGCGGTGCGCAGAACTATAAGCTTTTAATTTTTGTGAACCGTGAATCCTCCCGAATCCTTCGGCCCCAAAGTTGCGCAATGATGCCTACGTATGCCTATCGCAAGTTGCACATAGGCGGAAAGAACACACCAGAGAGCAAAGAGGGCACAGGCATGGTGAAGGGGGGTGTGGATCACGAGTCGAGCGCCTTCGGAATCATTTTCAATCCCAGTTACAGAGATTGAGAGAGAACTGGGGTTTAAATGGGAATGGGCTCGCATGGTTTGTTTCAGAGGACCGGGGGTTCGTAGAGGTGTCGTTCGTCGAGTAGCGCAGATGATCTTCTCGACGAGACCAAACAAAGCGTACAAGTCCCCAAAAGCGAGCAGAGACCCCCCACCCCGCCCAACAAAAGACATAGTCCTAACTCCCCCAAGGGCACCCACCCCCATCTGAGGTGGGCAGGAGGGCTGCAAGTGTGGACTCTCGGTGGATCTTCAAGATGCATGTTTCAGTTATTCAGCTATGTGCTGCTGTATTTGTTTGGCCTTCTGGCTGTTGCCTTGGCTTCAACCAAGACGCAGAAGTTGCAGGGTTTACGGCGTTTGCGGCTGTTTGCAAAGAGCTGCTAAGGACTAAACCCCACCCAGGGCGGCCAAGAAGGGCCACACACGGTGACTCGGCCGCCTTTTGACGGATCTGCCAAGTGGGAGTGATTCAAACACCTGGCCTTCGGTTTTCTCCAGGGGCTTGGGAGCCAAGGGCCATACACGACAGATCACGACAGTGCCATCCCAGAAGGCACAGAAGTGCAAAGCATTAGAAAGCAGGGATGCCCCGAGCAACCAAGGTGGTGGTCGCCGCTTCTGGCCGCTGGCCCAGGGAATGCTGTCCAGCTCAGATTGAAGTTTATGGGTGTTGTAGACGGGAGGCTTCTTAGGCGGGGTAGGGATCTGCGGCTCTGGGTAGGATCATGGGGATGGTAACGATGGGCGGTCTGCAAGGCTGTGTCGGTCGAGGTCGTGAACTTGCCTCGGTTTTCATGCACTGAGAGTGTGCAGGCAGTGTTTGTACATGTGAAAACCAGGTGCGATCTACACCATGGGCACCTGCCACAAGGGCCTCCTCGCCAACCTGGGCAGCAAAGACGGCGCTTTTGGAAAGTGCGCGTGGACAGAACACTGGGGCTAAGTCTAGGAGAATTCGGGAAGCGTGCGCCTGATGTGTGCTTGCCTTCTCCTGATCAAGAGGCCTTGGGATGAGCTGAAGCCCTACCGCGTGGGCGGGCAACTACGGAACGGCTCTGAGGAGCTTGGAGTGTTGATGATTCGTGAGTTCCTGCCTTAGACATGTTCAGAGCTTGCAGCCAAGTGTGCTAGCCGCTCTTGATGCCCAACCCTCGTCACATGAGGGTCTGAGAGACTGTGGGCACCTGCTATGGACGGCAATGCTTTGCGTGATCGAGCCGGGCAGGATCCGCCAATGTCCCCGCTGGCCGTGTCACTGGGCCTGTAGTCGGGAAGGAGACATGGAAGCTTCAGTGGATTAATAAGGCTGTCACATGCAGCCCACATGTGTTGTTATTCAATCTGCTACACATTGCAGAAAGCCGCAGCCTTTCAGTAAGCATCATGATACCAGCTGGCGCTGCAGAAACACTTATCGTAGAAACAGTTTGTGGCTTAGGATGCGTGCGCGTTTAAAGTGCCCCTGCTCACGACCCAGATGGCCGCCACCCTATGACGCCATTGGGCCTGTCACGAGCGCAGTTTCGGCCCACATCCATGCGGCGGCCCGGCAGCCTCAAGCACTTGCTTCGCGATGTTCTGCGGCTTTGTCATATGAAGCAAATGGCTTTGCAGTGAAAGTGGTATATGACAGCAGGTGTAGCTGTAGCCGTTGCTCCTAAGCCTCAGTTTATAATGAGAAGTAGACCAGAAGCCAATGTCAAACTCTGATAGCTTTCAGTGTGGGCGGCTCACCTGGCTCCAACCTGCAGTCACCGACCAAGCATGTGCGTGTCTGCCGCACAGTTGGTTTGACCCTGAACACCCTGAAGCCTCGGGATTGCTTTGACTTTCCCAAAACTGCGGTGCTTAGGCTAACGTGCTTCCTGCCACATGTGTAGCCGGTACCAAAATCTTTCGGTTTTCCTGACGCACCGACCAGCCTCGTTACAATATAATATTCCCTGTAGCCGCCGGCTGCTTTGCAAAACTTGCAAGCCAGAAGTTAGCTCCAATCTGACAAGTCAACTGGCCCATTCCTTGTCCAGGCTGTGGTGTGCGCTGATGGCAAAGCTTGGGCCGCTTGGCAGAAGCTCTCAAACTCTGCTTGTGAGGGGCTGAAACGAAGCAGCTAGAGATCCACCATGATCCACCCTAGATTCCTAGATCCGCCGATTTTAAAGGTCAAGGCCCCACTCGCCTTTCAACCCTCACGTATCCAAAGACCCCAAAGGCCTGGGGCTGCGGCAGCAACGATGGCCGCTGCGGGGTGGAGCGCTACCTCAACAAGAAGGGTGAGGGGAAACCCCCCGAGGCCCCGGGCAGTTCCGGAAGTTCGAGTGACAGCTTGTACTCTAAATTGCATGGCACAGGGAATCCTGAAAGACCCACCTTCAACCATTTATGAGTTGATCACACGGGTCAATATGCCTAGTCCGAGAGCTCGGCTACAAGTCTGGCTTGGGCTGTGTTTGGGTGGCCGTGTTGGACTCGGCCGTAGTTGCTGACGCAGGCAGGCATGGAATGCCTTTTCGGGGCTTGTCCGTGAACCGCCTAAGCATCCCCTTGCATTCCTTACCCACTTCTGCCCATGTCGAGGTGGACATGATGAAATGCTACATGATGGGACCGCACCGCATTGGCCGCTAGCCTTTCCATTATTGTCATTCGACGGAACGAGAGAAAGCGTGACCATCGAGTCTACTCTCAGTACATCGTGTTTCTTTTGCATGGCCTCCTCGGATGCCATCATCCCTATCCATTTGACGAGCTACTTTGCTTATTCTCCACGACGGGTTTGGGTGCAGCTATATTTTGGAGGTCCATACGGAGCAATCAGTAGGTACTCGTAGCATCCGAGTGGGGGCAGTACTAAAAAAGGCCTTTGTCTACTACACCGTTCCGAACAGGCAAAACCTTCACATCGGCAGCTGAAGGGCTCCTTAGTCCAATACCCTCCTGCAAAGCCTCAAAGCCACCTCAGGCGTTGCTCGGCCGCTGTACTGGAAGCATCCGAGTCTTCAGGGCATGCGAGTGCTGATGTTGGCGACTGGCCGTAACCACATGGCTTGCATTGCGGTTCCAGCGGGGGAATAGGACGGACATACTATACTCGGACTACCAAGGGCTCGAATCGATCAGAGGTTCACTAAGCGGGGCTAGTTGTGGCACTTGAAGAGGTTCGTGGTTAGGCTGGAACAGGCTCCTCTCAGCTCCCCAGCCGCAAGCAGCCTACTCTCTCACCTGGCTTTCTGCATAGTGCGTGTACAGCAGGTAGTCCTTCAAAATGAAGGCGCTCCCGTCGCTTTATGCATGAACAGCGCGAAGAACGTGAGAGCTGTTGGATCTGCTTGTGAACCCTCACGCTGCGCCCGATCGAGTCGAAACTGTGCATGTGGAAGTAATTCAGCCTGGTGTGACTGGAGCTCTTGTCAGGGGTGGTGCTTAAGCCATGTGCTATAAATTCAGCTTGGAAACTGAAATGCTTGCCAGAGGTATTCTATTTGCCCGAAAGGGCAACATCGAAGGTCAGCATGTTCTAACTATTACCTACTCTCATTGATTTCAGCTTGGAGTAGTTCTTGGCACTTCATGCAATTCGAGTATCGCAGGTTCAGGCCTTGAGTAGAACAGGCACTGAAAGAAGGACAAATGCATGATTTCGTGTCGCCGAGTAAGACGTGAAGGGCTTTTGTCGGGCGAGTAGCAGCTGCATGGTGCAGGTACCATGCTGCCATAGCTTGAGCTATCAAGAGCTTTGCCCACTCCGTTTTCCTCCATGTCGCCAGGAAAAAGGAAGTGTCTCACCTGCTTACCTGTGCTTCTGCAAAAAGCCATGGTGTCCCAATGCGACTCTCTGCGATGCACGTCCATCATCAGCCGACAACCATGACTGATGACTGCCTAGTCTGCCAATACCACTACTTCTACTCTTCCTTTCTACGGGCATCCTCGTCTTAGCGATATACCTGAAGCCTACCTTCCTAAGCCTGTAACATCTTGACCTTGGAGGTCGTTGGCGTGGCCGCCAACCTATCCGTCAAACTGGCAGCCCCAGAAGGCCCCGAAGATCCGGGCCCACAGGGCTCATGATTGGTTGTGTGACACATTGGGATCAGCATGTGTCATGCAGACCAGGCGCCCAAACAATCAAGCAGGCAAATTTTCGTTCACAAGTGACTCCTGAAACTCAAGATCTTCTGAAGTCCGTCTCAGTTTCTTGGGGATTGGGCATGTAGCTTGGTGGCGTGATTGCTGCTGTCCGTGAGTCTACACAGTACATGTCTAGGTTCCCTTTGCTGGAGGTCTTAGTCTTGAAGCCTCACGATGTGGACCACCAGCAATGGTGGGCGCGGGGCCTGGAACTTTCCAGATCTGGGCACTCGAAGGCAAACGGCTTTCGACCTTAAAGCTTGGAAGTCAGCTCTTCACCCACGACCCTGATAGTTCAAAGGTAAAAGAGTTGCCTTGCAGCAGGCATTCAAATCCTTGCATGGACTATCATGGGTTTGGACAGTTTGCAACGAGCCTCTGTAGGCCGGTAGCCTCGAGATGGATTTTTTTTGCGAGATCAGGCGAAGGGATGCTCAGAGTTTCTGGGGCCACGTAGCGGCAACAGAACTTTCTGTGACATGCAGTGTGTTTTCAGCGGCTACGTGCCCCAAGGATGTACCAGAAGGCTTTAGGCTTTCTAGTTCAGGGCTACTTATGGGAACGAAAGCTGAAGATTCGAAACGTCCAAGGCGCCTCCTTTGACTCGGGATGCGCAGTGCAGCTCCCGCCTGCTAGGCGCTTGCCAGTTGCCGTGTACCATGATGTATGCGCTTTTGCGGCGCAGGGTCTTGTCCATCTCGTGTTGAAGGTTAGGACGGTCCACAGCCCAGAGCAAACAGTGAGTTCAAAGCTCCAACGCTGCATGCTCCGCGCCGAATGCCCTTCTGAACGTGTTTCCGCTTATGCGATGTCGTGCGAGGGTCCGGTCCGTCTCTCATCTCCTCCACCAAAGCTTTTTTGAAGTCGCGCTGGGTAGAGTCCTGTAGTCATAAAAAAGAGGGTGTGCTTTTCATGTTTGCATGGTTGCATGAGTTTTGCGTATGTGCCCGCCCAGTGCTAAGCGGTGCGACGATGCATCGACAACCCAAATGAGCTTACATCCACATGCAGAGCTCAACAACTTCCTCCGCTGCCAGGTTACCGTTCAGATGCTATACTATACATGTATACATATATATATATATATTAAAACATATATGTTTATGTTTGCATATTTGTTCTATTTGTAGAAATCCCTACATGCAATATATGTATACTGTAGTTGTTTTTTGCCCCACCCCCCCCCCCACCCCCCCCCCCCCCACCCCCCCCCCCCCACCCCCCCCCACCCCCCCCACCCCCCCCCCCACCCCCCCCCACCCCCCCCCCCACCCCCACCCCCGCCCACCCCCCACCCCCCCCCCCCATCCCCCCCCCCATCCCCCCCCCACCCCCTCCCCTCCCCCCCAACCCATTTTGGCATCAAATGCTGAAGCTTTGGACAGATTGAAGAGATCCGGGAAAGTCGCCACACCCGCATTTGAGCGTCTTGAGTTTCAAGACGGAGCGCTGGAAATCGAAGGGTGGCCCAAAAGTTGGTTGAGACTCTTCAATCATTGATCTCCGGCATTGAAGGCAAGCCAAAGAGGTTTCAGTTGCAGATGGACCTCTAGGCTCAGACACAGGCAGACAAATATTTTGCACATTGGTGCTTACAAAATCCGTGGTACTCGTAGGCATCTCCTTGGGCGCTGACTTCAGCAGCAAGCCCCTGAAGGATGTCGAGGCAAAGTTCGTGCAGCAGGCGCGTTCACCATACAATGTTACAAACACTGCTACATCTGATAGAGACGTGCTTCCCAGCTTCCCAGCGCGAACACACAGCCTTGTCCCAAGTCGACGTGTACTAGTATAGCTACTTTCTGCATAACAGCGCAGCGATCGATTGATTTGGGAGAGGATGTATGTCCCAAACCACCTCCAAACCGAGCGCCCTGGAGCTCCTGAATCCCAGGAACAGTGACCCTGAACAGGATGTGGGCAGACCTGGCGCCAGCGCTTCGGCTGCCGAGTTGCCGGAGGGCAAACAAACAGAAAACAAGCCAAAGAAGTACAGGTGGGAGTTTGCACTTGGGGGGTCTGAATACTTGCCGGGTTGGGGATTGGCAGGCAGCTGAGGGCCGAGTATTTGGAAAGCATTTGGCCACAAGGGATGGAACAAGAATAAAGTCAGACCTCAAGCTCGAGGACCTCTTGCATTCTAAGTTCTATTGAGCCGGTTCATTCCTTGGGAGGATGCTTGGTCGCACTGGGGAGGCAGAAATGTGAGACGCCACCCTTGCCTGAGGTCCGGGAGTCAGCGCAACTCGGCGCGCTCCGACCTCGGCCATCTCTCCAGAAGCGCACGATCAGCCAACCGCCTGCTCTATGCAGAATTCAGTGTCCTTTCAGTCGAAGTGTCAGTGAGCAGCACAATGTTCGCTCGGCCTTGGTGAAGTTTCAGATGCGGCGCATCCTTTGTCACTCAATGTAGTCTGTAGTAGTTGTTCTGAAAGAGCGAAGTGTTTGGCCGGTACGGCCGAATTATATATATATATATATATATATATATATATCATGCCCCTCATGAAGAGATTCCATGGATATCAGCTGCAACCCGCATTCCGCCATAGCAGCCTCTACCGTGCAAAAGGCTTTGGAGCAGCTGAAGGGCAGCAGCGAGCCTGTAGCGGCACCCTCAGTTTTTGAACTTTCTTCCTCGTTCGGGATGTTTGTGGCAGGGGGGGCAGAGTGCCATGGAGTGCCTTTTTATGGGTGCGACCTCAGACAGCTCAGGCTCGGGTACTTCCAGGACAAGTAGCCCTGGTCGGCATCCCAGCTTCCTCGCTCCTTTCTGATCAGCAACACAGTTTCGTGCCGGAAGTCTCCCTTGCTTGCTCTGGCGGCGTTCTGCTTAAGGGAATCCAGGGAATCCCGTCGCTCAGACATCGCTTGCACTGTGCCCCATGGGCCTGTTGCAAGCAAAACGCCAGGGTTGTGCAAGCAACTGCAGCCGTTCTATAGAGTTAGAGGATGTTAGAGGAACAGCTGAGCACCTACACCTTCTACATCCGATCCAGGAGCGGCTGCTCAACGAGCTTGATGGTGTCGCCAAAGAGCCTGGGCCTTTTATGTGAAGGTTCAGGAGAGGATCTCGGCATGGCCACGGTGGGACTCAGGCTTTGGTAGTCATTGGCAGTCAGATATCAGTATCAGCATCTTATGAAGGACTAATGCGCAGTTTAACTGGCATCCCGACAAATGTAGTGTTCTTTTTGCGAGTCCGAACCGCATGCCGGCGTTGTCCTTGGGGAGGGCCTTGATGTCTTGGACGTTCTGACTTGCAATCGCAGAACATCGCAGACATTGTCAGACCACATCAGAGACTTATTTGATTTCTTCCGCATCGCAGCCGTCCAAGCTTGCGCCTGTGGTCAGGGCCCAGGTGCAGTGCCACCTGGGCAGCAGCAGCAAGCTCGCGAGCAGAGTCTGCAGCCTGGGTTACCAGCTGTCCGAATGTGCATGCGTTCTTCACGCGAGCGTTAAGTCGTGGGAGTCGCGCTCGGAGAACTTAGCGATCAGCTTGGTGGCTGTTGCCGTTGTAAGTAAGTTCTTCGGGATGATGATGAGTCGCCGTATCTTGTCAATGTTGTTTTTTTGGAGTATGTAACCGCATGTACTGCCTGCATTGCTATTTCCGCAGCATGAATACGAAGTTTCAGGTGTTGTTTTATGTCGAGGTTGTGCCTCAAGGCTGGTTTGTACTGGCTGCACAGTGACTCAGTGCCTGCAGCGTGCGCTTGCAATTGTCGCAGCTACTTGGGCAAACGGAAAAGAGCCCCAGAAGCAAAAGGTTTTATGATGCCCAGGTCGCACTCCTAGCAAAGGAGCTGGAGAGACAGCGCGAAGAGGAGATGACTATAAATGACTTCACATGACCGAGCAGGTCCCAAGACTTGTGAGCCCCCAAATGAATAGTTTCGAGGTAGCCGTGTGCCATAGCAGCACGTTTGCGACTCCTGGATTGAAAGCTCATCTCACTGTAGGGTGTCGAATGCGCCAGGACGCTCAGCAGGTCCAGCTGGCCATTGCTGCGGCAGAGAATCTCGTCAATGAGGGCAGTGCCGCAGCCTTGCGAATCCGATAAAACCTGGATCGTTCAACAGTTGGTCACTGCAAACACTTAGGGTGCTTCCAACCTCACCCGGCAAGTGGGTTTCTGGAGTTGCAGGTTATGCTTACATCATTCTTAGCGTTGAAATGGTAGTGCTTTTGTGGCAAGGGCGGAGGGGGGGGGGGAGTTGCAAGACTTGATTGTAGTTTTCCAGTGCAGATGTTTAAGAGCGCAGGCTTGAGTGGTGGCTGGGGCATTCCGCTTTGGATTTAACATGCTTGTGGGGTTTAGCACAAAAATTTCCGTATTTTCCGTTCTATTCCAGGGGCTGGGCTGGTGAATGCACGGCCACTGAAACGCAAGAGCGACCCGGCGAACCAAGTCAGTAAAAACGCAACCCCTCGCGCCAGGCTGCGCCAGCTTGTTTTTGTGTATTCTGTGGGTGTCCTTTCCAGGAGCGGCTTGAGACTGTCCATTGTTGACGTGTGCCTCTCATTGGTGCCTCTTGTCTTAAGGCCCGTGATTGGCTTCGGAGAGCCGGCGGGAGCTTGCCACGACTAGGCCGGCCTCAATCAGTGACCCAAATTGCTCGTGAGTGCTTATGTTGCTTGTTCAACCTCTTCATTTCGGCCTCAGCAGAGTACTTGTGAAGAACTCGTGCGTCAAGAGAGTTCTATACATCATTCAAGCTTCCAGGTGTTTGTTGCATGCGTTCTCCACGCAAAGGTTTTAGTAGCCTGGTGGCCGCACTCATTGCCCGGGAGCAGGAGCCCAAGCCAACGGCCCCTCTGTCTTTGGTTTGCATCCTATTTGGCATTTTCGGGCTTAACGACATCAACAGTGATAGACAGCTTCATCTCTGGGGTTCTCTTATTTTGTGGCAAGGCTCGTCGGGTTTTCTCGTATGGCTTCTGGGATGTTCATCCATGCACACCCATGCGTTAGGCCCTGCTAGGGCGTGCTTCCCAATTTTCTGAGATGCCCACTGCTGCCATCCATGGCATCTACGCTTCCCGGATGCTACAGCATGCTACAACCCCACCTCAGGTATGCTTCCTAGGACATCTCGTTATGCCCCTGTCTTGTCGAAGGAAGGAGCTCCATGAAACCAAATCTGCCAAACCCGTGAGCCTGAGACCGGATGCAACGACGGCCCTGAAAGCTGTGTCGCCATGTGCCCAGAGCTTGCTTGCTGGGGATCTAGCAGGAACTTACAAGTTCAAACGTCTTCGAGACGTACGGTTGAAGGATGCCATTTCCGTTGCTTGCATCTTCCGGTGCCACAGTACATCGTTTTGGCGGCGCGACGTATGCAGAGCTACTTTACATCGGCTCATTGACGAATACTGACGCTGCATGTTCTCTGTGCGATCATGTGCTGCCATGTAATGTACATGTATATAAAGTGAAACACTGATTGCTGGTAAGTTTCTCCCATGCCCCCTCCTACAGCTATAGGAGTTGGGCCTGTGAGTAGGTGATTCCTCCGCCTCGTGAGTAGGCTGACCCTCTCGACGATCCTACTCTTAAGGCCCAGAGAATTGACCAGAACAAGTCGGATCATTGCTCCGAATCCCAAGAACCATTAGAGGCACGGCCTTGTGAACAACGCGCAGTGTGTCGCAAAGCTTCACAGTCTTCACATCTCTAGCTTGCCCGCGCGAAAGACTACGAGACCAAGGCCAGTTCCTGGGGAGCGGGAGATGGCAAGGCCTGGGCTCCGAGGGTGCTTTGGGCTTCTAGCAACTCGCGGTTGGTTCGTTGAAGAGTTCGGGCTGAACACAAGATGCTTTCCCGACCCATGCAGGATTCGTGTATTGACCAGTAACCTCGGTTGCGCATGCAAGGTACTGAGATGGATGAAGTATATATATATACACATATAAATATATATTTATCGATTATTGTGTATTTATATTTGCTCATATCTATATTATGCATGTACCGCACCCTTGCCCAAATCCAGGCTATGGGAGCTGCTCGCCAGTGCCCTGCGAAGGACTCAGCCCGGAATCTCCAGCTTGAGTTTAGGATGTTTAGGATCGGTGCGATCAACTGTCACCAGCGCCCTCGAAACTCAAGTCCAAGACCTGGTCGCCTAAACGGTCGACGTTGGCTTGTTTCGCTTCAGCGCAGGAAAGCTCCATACACGTAAAGATGCTTGATCATACATCGTACTTGCCTTTTGCTCGAGATGTCCCGAGGCTGCACACTGTTCGCATCGGGCAGGCCGGCAGCAGATCCACAAGCGGTCAGAGACCACCCCGAAACATGAAAGCAACACGAATCAACAAATTTCTATATATGTATCTGTATATATATATATATATACACATACACACACTAGGCACATGTGTGCTTCGCACTTATGATGTGTTAGGGGAATCGCTAGAGCAGGCCTGAGTGAATGAGGGGCTCACGGTTCACGTGTCCCAAAAGCTCGACGATTTTTCCGGACGTCGGGGTTCTGCGTGCGGCCTTCGGAGCCTTGTGATTCTACAGTCATTGCTTGCACCAATGTCGCAATGCTTCCCCACTTCCCCAAAACCAAGAGAGCCCCCGCTTGGAGGTGTGACAGGTTTCATCGGCCCGAAGGTCAAAAGTACGGGATAGGGGCCGGACCCCGACCAATTTGCCTTTTTTTCGCATGTCAATGTAGCGTCCAGTGTCCTCTATTAAATTGTCATGACTGTGAGGAATAGGCTTTCGTGAAACACGGGAACCAGCATGCAGCGCAGCCCGCAGCCTCAGGCCGAGGTGTTTTTGCACCCACTGGCGGCCTTAAACATATAAACATGTGCTGGTTTCGCATGACTCCCCAAGTGTCATGCTGCTGCCCTACCCGCCAGTCTGCTGGAAGTGTGGTTTGCGGACCGGCAGTTTGCACACCGTTGGCCGGGTGTGGGGCGCTCTGCAAGTTACGGATTCTTGAAGCCAACATGCCCAGCACTTCCGGGCAGATGACAGTGGGGCTATGAGCTAACGCGCCCTCTGGTGAATCCTGGAGAGCAGTCAACCAGCCCAGTACACATGCTGGGGGCAGCGCACTCGCTGCACGGCTGCCGATCTTGCAGAGACGGAGGGGAGGCCGAGCCACTGACCGCTGGGTCATCACACCTTTCAAGCTCTGGCAGATAGAGATTCCGAAGGTAATAAGCCCTAAGCAGTAGTCATACCTTTTCAAGACATGTAGGCTTGCAAGATTCGTGATGTCGACCACCTCTGCTTTACGGGTTAGTTCCAGGGGGCTGCAGCAGCTTTTGTTGGGGGACTTGATGTTGTTCTTCGCGGTGTTCTTGTAGATTGTCCTGCTGATGAACATTGTCACTCCGGCAGCCTGAATCATCTGAAGCATCCCACCTGCCCAGTGCATTTTGATGCGGCGCCGGGTACTTGCAAGAGTGTTGGTCTTGCATGGTCGGTTTGCAGACCGGCACTTCGCACACCGACGGCATTTTGCATCATCTCGTACCATCTTTGTACCAGGTGCGTTGAATGGCTGCAAGTAAGTGCTCCGATTGGGCAACGGATACCTCGCAGCACCCAATGCCCGAACCCCCACATTGAGCCGCTTGACTTGTGTCCACTTCAGCTACTCGATTGAAGATGTTGGTGGAGCAGATTTTCTTGGGATTCTGGATGGGATGTACAGTCAACACGCTCTTCTTTTGCGTTTGTATTGCATTCTTTCGGCTGCGTGCCCGGCTTTGAATCCAGCGGCGAGCTTTGGGCTTGACTTGACATGACCTTAAAAGGCCCCGGACGAATCCAGCAAACTCGCTTCCTAAGCAGCTCAACCGAGAGTTGTCACAACAGCCAGCATGCAACAAACCTTAAGCATTGTTGAAATCCTTATCCTCCAAGCTTTGCCCGCCTTGCGCAGATTGCGAGAGCCCAGCAGTGCATAGACGAGCTAGAGGAGGAATCGGGGGGGGAGAGGCCAACTTCCTGCGGCTCAGGGAGTTCTATATGTTCTTCTGGTTTTGAGGGGTTGGCTCCAAAGGATGGCGGGCTTAGCAAATCCTCCTTCAAAGATTTGGTTGGCTCATTTCAAGGCCAATCACGCAGCAAGTCGTCACGTGCTTGAGCAGACTGTTGACCGCTGATTTCCTTGTATCTGCTGATACGTGATTAATACTTGCAGTCACACTTTCCATTTTCATGTTCATACTGGTCCTAATATCTGTGAGGGTGCCATCCTCACTTTCCTGAGTTGGCTCCCGGAACCTCAGCATCCGTCTTTCCCTGCCAGCTTCTCAGCACAGCAGCAAAAAAACTGATCGAACATAATGGAGTGCAATGAACACACACACTTGGTGGATTTGGCAGAGCACTGGAGGCCCTTGCATCAGTGTCGGTTTCGGGGTGTGGGTGCCATGTTCGACGAGGGTTCCGAGCCGGGGTGGGGGGCGGGGGGGGGGGGCGTGCCAAGCCAAGTGAACCACAGGCAGCTGGCTTTGCGGATTTGGGCGCTTGTGGGTGATTTCTGGAGCCCCGCTTCTCGACATCGCTGCCCATCAAGGGCTCAAGTCCCAATTCACATGCTGTGCACACTTGGGTGTCCTGAATCTTTGACTGTATTTGTAGTGCTTGGATAGAAAAGATTTCGAAGGGACGAATGGCAGGCCATTTTTTGAAGGATCACGGCGACGCCTTTTGAAGCCGAGGCTCTGTGGTACTTTCTAGGGCATTGTAGGGCTGTTGGGTCTTATAGTTTCTAGACTGCATGAAAAGACTTATGCTAAGTGGACAAAGTTCTGGGTGGCGGTGTGCCCTAATTCACTGTTTGCATCCCGGCCCAACAGGGGCATAGTTGGATGCCGTCGCGAAGCCGCCCCTTCTACTTCACACTCTACTCGCCGCTTCTGCTGCAACCAGTGCGATGGCATCGCCAGCCTCCCGAAAGCCCGAAGCCCTGATGCCGGTTGGAAGCATTGAAGCATTGTGCCATTTCGCCTGCGAGGAGTTTTGGGTGTTGGGCGGGGAGTGCTGTGAAGGGCCGACGCGGCCGACGCCAAGGAAGACCGGGGAGAAGATTCCAGTTGCCATCAATGGCGAGCCGGCGCAGATTGATGCCCCGGGCTTCACAGGCCAAGAGAGTGGTCGGACGGAGTGTCAGCACCCTCATTCAGGGCGCGTTGTGCATTGGGGTTCGGCGATTGCGGGCCGTGTCGGCGGCAACTTTATTCCTTGTCTAGCAGCATTCTCCGTCTTTGCGCTTCCTTCCCAGCCCGCTCATGTTGCTGGCGCTTCCGGTCACAAGTCTGGCAACACAAGCCTGGCATCACAACATACCTGTGCCCATCTGCTGTAGCAGACCGTGATGACTGGAAGGCTTGTGCCACATCGTCCACGAAACGGGCAGCGAGACGGGGCTTGCGAAAGTGGAGCGATCGAGGAATCGAGGCGCCTCAGCCATTGAACCCAAAATCGCTCTATAAGCCATCCTGGAACCCATCAGTCTGAGACACCCCGCAGTTCTACACTTCTCATACCCTGCCATGCCTCATCGGATTGCTTTAATCGCTTAGGCTTCGTTAGCGCTCTGCGCTGCTAAGCTCTACTAATTAGGCTGGCTTGCCATGTGCGAGGACTCATTGTCCAGATGCAGGGGAAGTTTGCGGAGACGGCCACACTAGGCCGTATGCAGGGGTGAACTGCGAAGTTGACGCTTTTTGCAGCCGAAACGATGTCGGGATGCAGTGAACGAATACAGCGTCCTGAAGGGCAGTCTAATGTTGATCCCCGGCCCCATATATCTCTAGGAATGGAAGTTCGGGGTCTGCCACGAGGATGCCAGTTGAAGATGTCGGCTTTCACTTATTTCACTCGTTTCATTCCCCCCTCGAACTCTACATGCTTGCCACCGCGAGGCTACGCAAAAGAAAGTCCTAAAGCCCCCAAAGACTCACCCCGAAATGCCCCGACATCAAGGTACGCATCCTGTCGAGCAAAAAAGAAAGCCCGAAACTTGCAAACAGGCGAAGAGAACTCCACCAACATTTGGCTGGGCGGAACCCTCGGGTCAGCGCTGAGCCTGAGCCGGTTGGAGGGTTCTTGGACCTAAGTCTGCTGTGGATAGAGATAGAGAGGGAGAGAGAGAGAGAGAGAGAGAGAGAGAGAGATATATATATATATATATAATTAGAGATAATTAGAGAGAGAGAGAGAGAGAGAGAAAAAAAAACAAAAGAAAGGAAACCTGGTCAAACTACGTTGATGCGAAACAGGGGTGATGTGTCGTTTCTCACCAACAGACCCTCGGACTTCGCGCGCCCCTTGGGGCATCTCCCCTGCGAGGGGGCTAAGCGTGTGGAGAGAGAGAGAGAGAGAGGGAACAATAATAGCGTGAAGAAGAGAGGAGGAGAAGAAGAAGAAGAGGAGCCGTGTCGTTTCCCTTCCGATGTCCTTGCCGGGGACGGAATTCGCAAGGGAGCATCACGAGCCGAGGGGCCTCGCTCTTTGCAGGCACTCCCGCCAAGCATAAGCTGGTCATTGCTTGTTCGATTCGGGGCAGCTGCCCGAAAAAGAGTCTTGTGCAGCCGGTATGTCAGACGACTCATGTTTTATCCAGCTTACGGATCTTGTTTCGCGTTGTTCTCACAAAATCCCCGAGGTGGCTTGCTAGCTTCTGGAGCTTCCCATGTTTGGAGCGACGGGTCTAAGTTCCGATGCATTATGATAGCGGCAAACTTCGTCAAATGCGGAGAGTTAAGCCCTCTACACGGCCTATACTATACTCCACAAGGAAGCCTCAGCGACATAAACACACCTGAAGTCCGAAAACGGGTGATGCCAAGTGCGTTCTAAATTAAAGACGTGCATTCTGCTGGGTGACTGCTTGCAGCTAGCACACTCTGTGTGTGCGTTGAGAGAAATTGCAGAGAATGCATAGAAGCCTGAAACCCTGAAACGACTCTCAGCTAGCCTGTGCTGTCTGTCGGGAGAAATCTACTGAGAATCTACTGAGAATCTACTGAGAATCTACTGGAGCATGTCCTCCCCATTGCTTCAGCCCAACACAGCCCAGGAACCTGGGTTGGGTCATGCGAAACGTGGTGTCCTTGGGCTCCAAGTTTGCGAACAAGAAGACAGGAGGCCCTGCACCGTCGGCTTGAGGTCTCGACAAGAAAGCGTTTAGGCTTCAGAACGGTGCCCACTCAACATTCTCAACATTCGGTAGAGCAAGGAGGCTTGACTGTGGTTTGCTTTCTGCTTTGCACAACTCGTGGCTCTTGTGAGTCAATGAGAGCCGGACAGTAACAAAACTGCTTAAAAAGAAACACGCCGTAATCAGTAAGTCTGAACCCTCATAGCTTGGGAAGGCTCTTTGAGCAGATTTCAGAGCGACACCGAACGCGACACCCGAGCGACGGCAGATTTGGAGCCCAAAGTATCTCGGAAAGATCCCGGCGCATCCCAGCCCCGCAACCCCCGTGCACAGCTCCTGGCTCGCAACACGGTCCGAAGGTCGCAACACATCAAACAAGCAGAGCGACACCCCAAGCTTTCTTGCAACCCTTGTAAAGGCAACCGGACATGACGGGACCACCTGAACAGCGACACCCCTGACACGCGTCCATCTCCCTTTAGACGGTCCTAGAGGAACACGCTTGAGCTTGCGGCGAAACGCAGGCCGATTTTACATCGACCTCGGCAACGAGAAGGCGCCCTGTCAGATGCTTGGCTGAAGTATGCCAAGCAGAGCATGCAGGACCACTAGCTGCAACTCCGCAGCAATCCTCTGCAAACATGCAATGAGGTGACGCTGTTGGGCTCATCGTAGGGTCGAGCTCGCAGGGAGAAGCTGGTCCGCCGCATGACAAGAAATGCCTCTGAGGATGGGTTTCCATTTGCGGGCTTTGTTCCGTGTCCTAGCCACTCCGGAGGGAGAGGAGGCACCCAGACTGGGAAGCCCAGAATCTCGGCGCAGCAACGGCATCACTGCAATGGTTCTTGGGATCAAGTGTACTGAGGATTGAGCTCCCTTCAGGTCTTCCCGAACGCGTAGCGAAGGGTTCTCGTCTTGCGAGTTGGGGGTCTGGGGACTTGACCGGAATTCGTTGTGTCTAGGATCGCGATCTCGACACGCACCATGTGACTGCTCCCAACAGCAACGACAATCACGAGGACAACCCCAAAGCGCACGATCCTGTTTTCGGGTATTCGTGTCGCGTCTTCCCATCCTGTCCTCATGTCTGAGTGCTGCTCGCATGGTAAATTTCTCGGGTTGAGTTGTTTACAACGAAATAGCAATGCAACAAACCAATAACGTTGGAACCAGCAGCCAGGCAAGTTGCAAGAACGCCAAGCTGACTCGTTCTGGCATCGATAGCTCCAAACTTTCCAAGTTCCTCCAAATGTTCCAAGTTCGGGAGCATGATGGAAAAGCCCTTATGCGATCATTTTCGTCCTCTGCATGTCTTGCATCGCGCCTTTGCCAGATGAGCTGCGTGTCTCGCGTCCGCATTTGAGTTTGTAACTCCGATTTGGTTCTTCTTTTTTAGCGGTGAACTACGCTGAAACCTGAACGTCGTTGAATCTTATTCATATATACATATATGTGCTTTTAAAAAACGATTTATATTTGTCTATTTATGAATTTTCATTTATGTGAGAAAGTGTATATTGATTATATTGATCTTTATATTTGCATGTTGCAAAAATATCTATGCGCGCAGTTCTAGATTCTACTGGGACAAGTATTGGGTGTCGGAGCCCAGGTTTTGGACAGTTGACGTTCTTGCAGCCCTGCAGCAGCAGGTGTTTGTGAGCTCTCTGTCGGGGCAAGTGCGTTGACTAATTATGCGGCTCACGGAAGGCACGCCTACAAGTCTACTTTTTTTGAGCCCCACCTAAAGTACCCAAGCACAGACGCTCAAGGAACTGGATGATCTCCCGTATGGCGGCCCCGGGCTCATCGAGGCATCATGCTGTGTGGGCGTGTTTAGGCCTGGGCCAGTAAGTCTCCATCTCGATGGCAGGTGGACACCAGCAAGACTTACACTCTCTACTGGAAGATCCTTGGTTTTTCCAGAGCACAAGCAGGAAGCTTGAGGCCATTGCGGAACAGCAGCAAACCTCCATCCGACGCAGATGAAGTCCGGTGTAACGTGTGCGTCTAAGAACGAACCACCGGCGACCATGTACTGCAATGCCGCTGTGAAGGAACTTCAAGCGCTGAGATGGCAGTCAAAGGATCAACATTCGGGTCTTCTTGGGCCATTCGACCTCCCAACTCCTAAGTGGTCATCAAATCTACATAAAAGCACTCAGGATTCCATACCTGGATCTCTGTACTTGGGAGCTGCTGAAGGCTGGCGGACTGTGCAGAAGCGATTTCGTAGCTGCAGGCCCAGCAAAGAGCAAGGTTGGGTTTTGCTGGGCTTTAGGACTCTAGGAAAGCAACCCCACACAGGTTCGAAATTTTCCGAAACTCTCGAAGCTACTACGTCCTGCACAGATGTGGAGAGCATGTGCCTGAACATTCTCACTCAACTCATCCTAAAATTATATAACTTATTCTCAGTACGTACCCCGACCTCCCCTGAGACTGAAGACAGCGCTGGGAAGAAAGAGTGTTTGTCAGTGGCTTGCCGGGTCTGCCGTGCAAATTCCTACTGCGGTGGAGGTGCCGGCGATCAGTCCACTGCCGCTGGAGAATGTGCTGGGAGATCTTTCCACAACCAGGTCCACCGCACATCGTCACTTTGAAAGAGATCTGTGGTCCTAAGACACTGGCAGCAATATAGCTAGCACCTAAACCGATCTGAGGCGCTAAGGCCTGAACTGGCCCAAGCCCTCCATTCTGAACAAGACAAAGGCATAAATTGACAGTTTGTCGTATGTGATCAAGGTTAGTGTGGTTGGTGTGAGATTCAGGGAAAGGTTGAGAGCCACCTTGTGCACAAAGCATGTTGAAGCGTGAGGTGCTTGTGAGGGTTCCATGGAATCAAAAGTGCTCTTCGATGTTTTAAAGGGCTGCCGGGTTTGGGTGTCCCATTTCAAGGCTCGATATCTGTAGATATCTGTCATACCTGAGACTAACGAACCTCGCGGCGACCTCGCGGCCCCACTCTATCGGCCTGTCCGTGATGGAAGCAGGTACCGGTTCAGGGTTCATACGGACATGCTCATACTGTATAAGAGCTCATTTTTAGGTTTTTTGGGGGGTTTGTTTGCTTTCTGGGGAGGCTGTTCATGTATGACTTGGGCAAGTGCGGCGCCAAGCACCCAGACTTCGTGTCTGAGCCGCAGGAAGCTGGTACAAAGGAAGCCCGACTTGCATGCCCCGAGCCCCACATGCTGACCCATCCCAAAAGCCAGGATCTTGCGAAGTGATCCGAGACATCGACTTTGGTAGGGGAATGTCACACATCTTTTGGACACGCATCAAGCACCACCCTTTTCCTGGAACCCAGCCCTGTTGGCCCGTAAGTTTATACATGTGCACCGCCACCACGTGGAGCCCAGGAGAAGTGCATCCTCCTCGAGGCGACTTTCGAGCGAGGGGCCGAAGGCGACGAATTCTACGACCCGAGGACAGCCAAGGTGCTGGATACGCATGGGGGTGCTGCTGATTAGATTATGGATGCAGGCCTTTGCATTCCACGTTTTGGGTCCAGGGGACTTGGAAAATAAGGACAGAGGCAGGAACCTCCCCTCGGGGTGTGAAGGGCTGCTTCTCCCATCTATGTTTCTGCTTGACTTTGCTGGAATCAGTTCCGAAGCCCGATTTTTTGGCAGAGATCTCCTGAATGCTGGGCTCTCTGTTCGGGCATGCCTGAGATGACATGCAGGTCGCAGCTGCTGCCATCACGCAGCTGCCAACAGTGCCGTGGTGGGCTTGAGTAGCAGATGCCGGCTATACGGTTTAGACTCTAGACTTGCCACACGCGAGACAACACCGTCACTGCCTTCAGCAGCATGGGAGGATCCCATCATATAGCATCAAAAGCTGCAACTAACTAACTAACTAACTAACTAACTAACTAACTAACTAATGTGAAGCACCCGACAACCCTTCACAACTCCAGCCTCAAAAGGTTTTTTGTCTGCAAGGTGCGTGGCGAATTTTCTATTCGGGCATGCCAAGGGCTTGTAACCAGGTCAGAGAAGACATAACGGAAGCAGCGCTGCGCATTGCTTGGTTCCACCCACTCCAGGTGCTGAATGCCTCTCCCAGCAGTCCGAAGAAGGATCCTTGGGACAAAGCACCTTTTGAATCTTCTGACGCAGTGTTGGAGTGTTTAAGGACGCTGCGCAAGGCTGGAATCAGGAGAGTTCGAATCACAGACTAGCAAGATGCACGTCTGTAGTCGGTGCAGGCTACACCAAAATGCAACCTCAACCGCAGACTTTCATAGTTGCCAGTTCCTGGACGGGAGATCCTTGTGATAAGGAGTTGGCAAAATACGAAGATTGAGGGTGTAATGTTGCAGAGTTCAGTCATCTTGAAGGCTGCTCTATCAAGCATGTGCCGAGATGACAGCAACAGCAATTGGCAATACGTAGCAATACCATAAGTGGTGACGTGGAGTGGCCCTGCAAGGAGATCGCTCTGCCTCATGAAGTGAGCATCGCAGATTCGCTTCAGGACATGGCTTCTCCACGCGAAAGCATGCCACCGAGTGTCATATGTTAAAACCGAAACGGAGTGTTTCTTGCAAGGGGAGGGGGTACGCAGCTAGTGTCTGAAGTTTACATATATGGCCCCAGCTAAGCCCACGCACGTGTGTGGAAAGGAATTGGCCGAAGATCTCAGCGAAGAGAACCAGCTGTTGCGCGACATGTTCGCCCAGACGCTGCAGGCTCCGACGTTGCGTTCAATAGTTGGACAAATTGAAATCAACTACAATCTCTTTACAGTCTACCCTCTTTGAAATCTGCCGCATCTTCCAGCGCAGAGTCGCCAAGCAGCGTTTGCCTTTGTCATTTTGCAACATAAACACACATGTAAGATGTAGTTGGGACATATATGTACTTTTTGAAAGAGCATTTGAAGCCGCATAGCTTCCGTTCAACTCCCAATATGCGCCGTGCCTGGGTATGAGGATTCTTGTTGGGAACGTAAACTCAAGGGTTCAAGCCCCCAACAAAGCCCAACACTTAGCTTTTCTCCGAACCTCGAAGCAACCATCTTGATCCAGGAGCTACCCTGCTGGCAAGGCTTCGAGTCGCTACGCAGTGTGGATTTCCGCGTGCCCTTCTACATCGAGGCGTCTCACGTTTGCGTTGCACATCGCCGGGGCAAAGCGGCTCATGAATCTGAAGCAGTCTTCCGATGTCTTCCGCTTCTGACCTTCGACTCCAAGCTTCGTAGGTTGCCGGAGCTGTGGCCATGGTTTACCGAAGCGACCCTGGCAATCGCGGGGCTCTATATAGTATAGCTTGTCGAATTGTCGAGCAGACGCCAGGAAGTCCCGCACCCCAAAACAAGCTGACACCAAAGCCTAGTTTCAACCTCAAAGTGCCCCGAACCCACTCAGGTCCTGAAGCGCAGCCCTAAACTGCTCAAGCACTGCGAATCCTGCAAACGACCGACGCCCAATGAGCAACATCCTGAAATCTTGTGCAGGCCATCAGCCGTTTCCGAAAGCAGGAGGCAGATTTGGATGTTTATAGGCCTTGCTGTTCTATTGTACATGGGGCAAATGCAGGGCCACGGCAATGTGAGTGTGTGTGTGTGTGTGTGTGTGTGGGTGGGTGGGTGGGTGGGTGGGTGGGTGGGTGGGTGGGGGGTGTGTGTGGGTGGGGTGTGTGTGTGTGTGGGTGTTGGTGTGTGTGTGTGTGTGTGTGTGTGTGTGTGTGTGTGTGTGTGTGTGTGTGTGTGTGTGTGTGTGTGTGTGTGTGTGTGTGTGTGTGGGTGTGGGTGTGGGTGTGGGTGTGGGTGTGTGTGTGTGTGCGCGGAGTTTGGGTGCGCTGCGTGTTCAAGGATGTAGGTAAGAGCTGCTTGCTTCAGGGTGACGCCCAACATATTATTTGATTTGGGATTCCACAGGCCAGAGCAACAATTGAGAGTGTTCAGGCCTTTCAGAGCTTGGCGGGTTAGGTTGCAGACCCAGGGCGAAAATGCAAGAACGATTAATTGGATTTAGCCATCCAGGGTCACTAGCACAAGTGCTTGTCGTCGTACCATCAAGCTGAGAAGAGCTTCTATCCCAAGAGGCCCACTGTTGGCAGAAGCTCAGAACCTTTCTGAAGAGGTGCGCAGCTGGTACATCGTACGAGCTGAAGCTCCTGTGTGAGACTCAGAGCCTGTAGTTTGGGGGGCCTAGAGGGCTTTGGTCACGTTGGATGTTATTGGTCGTCTGGGTTGGGGAATGTGCAATGTGTATGAAGGGGGTTAAATGGAGGCGCCGAGTGTCAGCATGAGGCAGGACGTTTCGGGACGTTTTCAGGGCGATCGTGTGGGGATCCTGGAGGGTTGAGGATTCCTGCCCAGGCTTCCGACCAGTTTTATTGGCAAGCCCGTGATGCTGCTCCTTGACTTTGTCATTTCTTGGGGGCGGGGAGGGCGGGGTTGTGGGTAGGAGATGGTAGGAGTATTGCATGTGTTGTCCGCTGTTTGGGAGCCATCACGAGCGGCGTAGGACAACTCGCGGCCCGACTGCCTTAACTACGGAACTGTTGGCGCTCAACAAAAATCGTGCTACATGCGAACCTGAAACTTCACTCTTGGCTCTATAAAGAGTGGGAAGTCTATACTCAAGCTCTTGATTGGCAGGCTGCTACAAGATTGCAGCAAGGGTTAAGGGAGTCATTTCTTTTGTCCTGTACATACCTGGAACAACAGATATTCCCTACGATGAGTTGCCGCGTGTGGAAGCTGGTGCTTGTTTTGGTGCCGCTAGGCTATCCCAAATGCATCGGGTCTGAAATGAAGTGGGAGTGGGAAGGTCGTTTGTAGCTTGCTTCTGTTAAAGTTAGTTCACGTTTCTTCGAGACGACGTCATGTTTCTTTGCTTGCAAGTGCCCTGCAGTGCGTTGAGCTAGGAAGGTTTCAAAGAAAAGAGTCAGATTCCTACCCTACATCGCCACGCGCCAGTCCGGTTCAGGAAGAGCTCGCTGTCCTTTGCCACCCGAAGCGGAGACTGTCCCGGTTGCCTGGATTGGGGTGTTTTAACACTAAACTCCCCTAAACTCCCGTAAACTCCCGTAAACTCCCGTAAACTCCTTGGAGTTCATCCTCGAGGTTCCATCGCGGCTTTGTGCTTCGGCGCTTCGGGGCTACAATCGTTTGGAGGAGTCGGGCTGCCCAGAGCTCAAATCCTCAAATCCCACAATTGGAAACGGATTCTGCAAGTTTTGTGCGCCGCCACGCGGTCGATCTGGCGACTGAAACTGCCAGAAGAGAAGAGGGATCAGTAGAGTCAGCAATAGGAAGAGAGGCTTCAGCTGGCTCATGCGCCAAAACGCTGGCCTAAGGTACATATCATATACTTGTTTAGGCTAAGGGCCGCAAGCCACAAGCCACACGAGCCACAAAAGCCACGCAAGCCACACAAGCCACACAAGCCACACAAGCCACACAAGCCACAAGCCACAGCACCCGCATCTGCGATGGGAAAGCCAGCGCTGTTGTGCTGCATTGAGAGCCACCTAACACCCGCCCCCCCAAGTCAAAGCCTTGAATTGTGAGGTTCATTCGGGGTGCAGCTCCGAGGAACTACCGCTGTTGCTGCTGGGATTTCAGATCTCCAAATCGCCTCCCTGTGTTGGTATTTTGGGTGGTTTAAGGGCGTTCGTTCGCTTTGGAGTTCTATCCTGCTTGAAGATTGGTGGTGGCCTGTGTTCTCCGCAGCCTGACGTTTGCATGCGCTTGTGCTTGAGTGCATAGTAGGGGCATGTAGGGGCTTAGCTGCCATGGAGCAAGCAAGAACCGAAGTTCGCTAAGGATGGGGGTCCTTAGTTCAGTTTCGAGACGTTTCCAGCAATTTCATCCGCATTCTGCCAGCTGTCCAGCGCCGGGATCGTTGAACATGGAGGGGCGCGTACTGTAGTCCAGGTTTCGGGAAACAGGCAATAATTGGCCCCCTTCCACCCCTGCATGTTTTTCGCATCCTAAATGCCTGTCGTTGGGCAGCCCATTGGGGTTCATTGTTGGTTCGAACTTATCGCTGTGTTGCCCAGGGCTGTATAGCAGAATGCTGCAACCGGGCTCAGGCTCTGTCAAGACACTGGAGCAGTTCCGCATCATTGTGGGCGACCACCTTGCAAAGGCAAAGGGCTCGGCATTGCAGTGGCATTGCCTGTTAGGGCTGTTAGGGGGGGTTTGGAGGAACTTGGATTTCGGCTTCAGGTCCAAACCGTAGCTCAAAGAGTCTTCGAGGCGTCCGTCGCAAGGTCCGTACCCGTAACTGAATAATAGCCATAGGGTTTTGCACATCGTGCTTGACTTTCCAGGCCTGATGAGGCAATATCCTCCAGCCTGATGCTTGTTCCCTAGCGCTTCTTGCAGGACAGCAAACTGCGAAGCGCCGTGCTTCAAGCGGCCAATGCACCGCCTGACAGCCCCAAGAGCCTTTCACGCCTGATGCAACCCCCACCTCGCTCCTTGGCGGCACAGGTGTTTGCGGGCACAGTAGGATTCCTCGAGCAATAATCGCTGTCTGGCCATGAACCGCGTAGACGATAATTTAACCAATAACATCTTCTGAGTTGCGTCTCGCCCTTGGGTTTCCCCACGAGGCCCGAAACAAGTCCCGCTCCCTTCGAACCAGGACAGTTTCAGGTCTTTCTCCAGTCTTGACCTGTGCAACGACTGCTGCGGCAATGTCGGGCCTGTTTGCAGACGGCAAGGGCTGATGTACTTGTTCAAGCACCCCTCATGCTTCGATTCTGTCGGGTTCGGATCGAGTTGAGTTGTGCCGTGTTTGATAAAGGAATCTTCCGTTACGCCGCCAACATATCACCGGATGCTTGACAGCGAGCATGCCAAGCACTCCATACAAGCCCTCACATCACAAAGCTGCACAGGGACTGAAGAACCCCGACCCCGGCACAATTCACAGCTTGCGTTGTTCTCAACTTTTTAACTGAACCTATCCGACCTGTCCTGCTTGAGTTTGGCTGAAGGCTGATCCGCTCGAGGATCCACAAGAAGGGACACTCCTCGCACCCCTGTGTCAGGCTTCTTTGAAGCAGATGGAGCAATGTGTGGCCTTGCCTTTGCGCAGGCAGCGCAGGAGCAGACACTTACCTTCTTCATACAGTGTCATACAGTCATACACAGGCTGAGAAGTCCCGCCTGTTCTCCATCTAGAGAATCTAGAGCATGTTGCAGCCAGGCCAAGGTTTTTAATCCGCAGGGATTTATGATTGGTTGCCCAGTTGCCCCAAGGTGGGATGGACAGGCTTTCTTGTTAGGGCTAGCTGGCTGGCGTTCTGTAGGGTTGAGGTGTTCGATAACAAAGGACCGGCACGAAGAAGGAGGCCCTTGTTGGGGCAGTCCACTTCGAGGGCCGGATTTGTGAAGAGCTGCTGCTTGGACATCATTCAGGGCATGGCCTGAGCTTCAAATTCACATCCGTCATATCCCCAAGCAACCAGCGCGTACCCTTCCATGCAGGAAGCCTGAAACTATTCTCCGATACAAATGCCCTTCCGCGTAAGTTCTTCAATCCTGTTTCATAAAGTTCTTTGCCCAAGAACAAAAGGCTGACAGTACCGAGGTTGCGCTTGAGCTCCAACAACACTGTTCGCTGCTTTAGCCCCTACGACTGTGATCAGCCTCGAGTCCTCTTCCATGCCAAGGAGCGGGCAGGGAAGACCATCGAATCTCTCAAGCGCCCTCAACAACCCCAACCCTCCCTCAACATCGACCCAAGGAACAGGCCAAAATGTCATTGTAAGTGTCTGGTGCAGGAAATCTTGCAGGTGGAGGCCCTGCCTCAGAAGCTCCTAAACCGCTTTCACCTCTTCGAGGTGCCAGGTGGTTCCATTGCAACACTGATGAGGTCATGCCTGGGAAACCCTGGGTTTCAAAAAAAAGGCTATGAGGAGGAAAGTGCAATATTTCCGCCATCTCCTGGGAAAATTGGAATGTTGAAGTTTTTGGTTTTCAGGCTTGCCAGGCAAAAATTGAAATGTTGAGCAGTGGGGTCTTGCCAAAAAACGGAACGTCAAAAGCAAAAAACGGCATTTCAGATTTTCAGAACTTGCATTTGGCCATGTCGGTTTGGCCCAGCTCTGTGGTCTGTTGGCTTGTATCCTGGAATTGGATACAACTATATTACGCCATGAGGCCCAGAACTAAGCCTGAACTCTGGCAATACCTTGACCTGAAACCTCATTCATGAGACCCCATCGAAGCCTCGGAGCATCCCAGTTTTTGAGGGCCGCAGTTGCACTTTGGGGCATGATGTCCAAGCACTGCACGGCTTGCAAGCAGCAGGTACTAGACACCGGGCTTTCGCGCTCAGAGTTTGTCAGGCAAAAAGCTTCAAGAAGCGCGGCAGAGCCGAAACCAAACCTGGACTCACGGTTCAACACCTCAGCAAACCAAAACCCAATACACGTTAAATATAACCTTTATATATTTATGGTGAGTGTCGAATCCCACACATAACACCCTGAATCCCAGACCACATGGCGTGCGCGCAAGCTGGCAGACAGCACGCAGCTGATGTCTGAAAATTTGCGGCCTCTCCCGGTATTTCTGCCACTTCGAAATGGAAAAACTGAAACTTCAGGCTGGCCCGAAAAATTGCATTCCGGCGTTTTCCGCCATTTGACCGCCGATTTCCGCCATCTCGCCGCCTATTTCCGCCATCTCTTTTTTCCAATGTGTTTCAAAAAACGCTATTTTGATTTTCAAAAAACGCTATTTTGAGTTCTAAAATAAAACTGATTAGCCCTCCGCCCTCTCGGTTCCCTTCCACCCCCCCACCCCCCACCCACTACCCCTCCCCCCCCCTTCCGGTGGAGCCATCGCACGAAAGTTCAGTGTGTTGGTTTAAAGCTTAATTTAAGGTCTTGCATGATATGGGCATAGGGTTGTGAATGTTTTATAGGGTGTTTGGGCTGGAGAGGTGCCAATCTTCGAAGCACAGTCAGGGAGCAATGGCAAGAGCTCTCTTTTCAGGGTTTAGGGCTTGGGTTAAAGCGTCGGAACAGGGATTTGGCGTGCCTGCGAGGCATCGTACATGCTCTGCACAACAGTCACAGTTCTGCAGTGTTGGGCTGTGGGTGTTAGGGGTTTAGGGTCCATAGTATAAGGGTTTAAGTATTGTAGGTTTATGGTCGATCTTCGTTGATCGAGACATAGTACATGCTCTGCGCGATGCCGCTGGAGCATCAACCTACCGCCCACGAAAAACGCGATCTCAGAAAATGAAAAACGCAATCACAGGACTGAAAAAAGGCATCTTCCAAAGAACCGTTTGTCAAAAAACTTCAATCCCAATTCTTGCCCACCAAACCCTTAAGCAGCTGTTTCCGCCATTTCGTGGGGTTTCCGCCATCCACTGGGCAAAACCAGTTTTAGTTGAAACTACTAAAATTATGTAGGGTTTGGGTTTCCCAGGTGATGTTTGTGTGCGCTTGAGAGCCCGTTTGTGTATGTGATGTTACGTAGTGTGGACTTGAGGTTTGGAGTGCCTGGGGACCGCTTGTGAAGCCCTGCAGCGTGGTACCCTCTACAGTGTACTTAAGGATACCTTTCGACCCTACGGAAAAACACACCAGAAAGGTGCAGACCAATTTGCGGGTCTATGTTTTCTGCTGCGCGGGTGCGTCAGCTCGTGATGAATGGGTTGCAGCCCTGATGGAGGCACAGGGGTCAACAGCTTCTGGGAGGCCTTTGACCTTGCAGGGCAGAGTTTAGGCTCAGTAGTGAGGTCTATGCAGCTGACTCGCACAAGAGAGACTGACACACCTTGAGCAAGCTCGGCGTGACAGCTCAGCTAATTGGCCTGAAGCCCATTGAGAAGGCAACACCCCTCAGTCCCGATTCAAGCCATGAGCCCTCAATCCTCAAGCCCTCCTTCATGAGGCCTCGCGCTCTCAAGGATCCGGCGGTGGCCCAGCTGCCGACCCCGCCTCCCCGAAGCTCGTGTGTTCTTGGAAATGTGTGTTGCTCGAGGCTCCACCTGTGTTTTTGTTCCAGCAGAAGTGTCTTCAACCATGAAACCCGAACCTCCAAGCACATCAGAGGAAGTCGGCGGTGCACAGCATAGCCAGCGCGAAGAAGGCGGCCGGTAAGCTGAGCCTCGGCGAGCACTCATTTCGAGGGCTCAGGACAGAAGAGCAGAATGCCGATCCTCAGTCCGAAGCCTTGACGAAAACAACAAAACGAAAAACATGTAAGAAGATGTAACAAGGAAAAAAAGAAATGCTAAGGAAACGGCCAGCCTGGCTCCATTCGCCAATCCCCCAGATCCCCCAGAGATCTTTCGAGGAGCAAGGCCAGGGCCAATGAGATCCCGAGCCGGCTCTGGCCGCTGCTGGACGTGACGGGTGCCCGGCGCTGGGCCGATGTCCGCTATGTTTTGAGCCAGAGCTGCACTTTTGATTCTCCATGCATGCAGGTGCTAAACCACGGAAGGTTTATAAGACATCTTTTGAATCTCTTGTCAAACGGGCACCCAGCCGCAGTGCATTCGCCGTCTTCACAGTCTATATCCGACATGCATGTGTCACACAGACAGACACAGACTGGCAGACTCTCTTCGTTCTCCTCTGCCCTGACTCGATCCTTTAAATGTCAACCCTCACATGGTTCGGACGGTTTGTGAGAGCACTTGGCATACCCTGCCTCAACCGACGTCTGCATTCGGAGTGTTGGTGAATGCCAACCGGAAGATGCGAGCTTCCGATCCCTTGGTAAGACTAGGACATGTGTGATCCATTCCTAATCCTTTTGGCACCCCAGGAACGACAGGCTGCTGACGAGTGCACCACCCCAACCTCTCGCCTCAGACGCAGCGGGCCACTTGCTGGAGCAGGCTCCTCCGAAAGCGCTGTCCATTGGTTCGCCATTTTTCACGTACGCAAAGTCAATTTTTCTCCACATGCATGCACGTAATGTACGTATGCGCGAAGCACCAAGCTTGCAATAGTTTTCGCCGCCAGCATACCCTAGACCTAGACAATCCTAGACACACTGAGCAATGTTTCGGGGATAGTGTGGTGGGGCCCGAGTTGACGTCCAAGGGCTCGCGAGCAAGGACCGGTTCCAAACCTCTTCTTCTTCTGCTGCTGTATAGCACCTCTTTAACGCGGAGTTTGTTTTGGTCTCCATTGGGAGTTTGAAGTGTGGAGGGCACGAGAAACGATGATTGAGTTTTCAAATGTTTGGTTAATGCGGTTGCTTTCCACGTTGTCCACGTTGGTTGCCTTGGTGAGACTTGTCATCCGAACCCAGGCGAATCATGAGTGGGAAGTACGTTAAACCAAAGAGTGTGAGATGCGCTGCAATTACGGTTTTGTTTTTCCACCGTTCAGGCCCTGGCTTTGGGGACGGAGCCCTCGCAACAAAGCCTGACAACCTACCTGGACAGCACCTGCATGCTGAAGACCGTGAGGTTTACCCTCTGGAGCCCTGGCTTGTGGGGGAGACTCGCGGCAATCGCAAGTATGATTCAGAGCAGCGGGGATGTAAATAGCCTTGTACACAGGTCATCATTTCTCAGAGTCAGATGCTTGGGAACAACTGAAGCGTACAAATGAGGAGCCAGTCGGAGTTGAAGGCTTTCTGGCTCAACGTCTACCACTGCCTCCTGCTACACGGCCTGCTGGTCCTCCCTGCCCCTGACACCCAGGCATGGGGCAATGGGGCGTGAGGATGAGGGATTCAGTCGGTTTTTGAGGCTCGGGTGACAGTGCCCCAGGCTCACAGCAGACCCAGGCGCAAAAGTCTTGGCTTGGCTTTCTGCACTGGGGCCAAAGGAGAGAACGCGCCAATCAAGAAACGAAGTTGGCAACATTGTGGCGCTTATTCGGACTTGGAGAGGTTCTAGCGCGGAGCCCTGTGCCTCCACGATGTCCAGCTGCAACGTTTAAGTTCGCTCAATCTGAAGGAGAAGTGGACAGCCTTCCGGCAGCGCGCCAGCTACCTGGTTGGCCTGAGACCGGCGGCCCAGCCAAATGGGGCATGAGTCCAGGTTTGGAGTCTTATGTGGGGCCTCGCTCTCACTTGAAGGTTTGCGTTTGATGGTTGAGAAGCAGGGTTATCTTGTTCAATCGGGTGGGGGGGGGGGGGAGGGGAGGGGAGAAGCCGATGAGGTGAGCCTGGCTGATATTGAGGCGGAGATCTTCCGGCTGCCGAAAGATGCTTGAAGATGTCAGAAGGTGTGGTGAGTGTGGTGGTAGCACGCTCCCAATCGCTCCCATATTTTGTGCATGTTCTATTTGAGAAAGGGGCGGGGGAGAGAGGGAGAGACGACCGGAACTGCGCAGGAAGGAAGGAAGACGACCACAAGGTTTGTTTTGCTTCTACAGAAGCAGCCAGAACGCGCTCTTCATGTGCATGCAGGGTCCAAGAACTCCGTCATCCATCGAATCTTGTCTCATCCGCGTCCTCACGTCCTCATCTGTCCACTTGCCTTCCTTTATCAGACGCTGTTTGTCGGCCTCTTGCTTTGCATACCTGAACCTCGTTGGCTTCTGTGCAGTACAAAAAATGCTGCAAACATCGGCCTTTGGCACACAAAACTGCTGCAGAGAGTCCTGAGAGGTCCTGAGCGAGTTGCAAACAATGAACGCGAAGAAGCTTGCTGGGGTGCTGGGTGCAAGTCTCGTTCTGGCTCTACTCTACAGTAGCATTTTCGCATGGCATGGGCGAGAGTTTTCTGCTCGAAGAACGATGATGCAGTGGCAGAAACTCACCCCTTGTCATGGAAACTGCAACGTCCCCAAACCTGTGTCGCTATTCCAGAAATATTCCTGATTGGGGACAACCATCACTGGGGCTCTTTTTGCAGTGATTGCCCGTCTCCTCCTGTACTCTCGCATGTTTGACGTGTTGCTTCCACGTGAGCACAATGACAACGGATGCCCGCGAGTATCTTGCGGCCCCTTGAAGTCTTAACTATGGGTGCGGAATGTCTTGTACATGAGTACCAATAACCTGCGGTCCTTCAGAGGGACATCAGGTTGACACCGGAGCTAAGGAAAGCGTGGCTCCGCCACAGGAGGTGGGGGCGATAAACCCCGGTGGCTGCTGTGGCTTGTTCGTCGGCAAGGCAACCGTCACTGGTCCAAGCCAAGTTCTGACTTCAGCTGCTGTGGATTGAGCTATTCCGGGATGACAATGCTCCACTAGAGGTTGCAGCAAGTCGAAGGCCTTCCCTCAATCTGTTGATCAAGGTTTACAATTTACAAGGACCTTTCCCAACGCAACATGGTGCCATTAATTCTGTTTGAGGATAAACTATTCAAGGCCGGCTGCGTGGCACGCGGGTTCAACTATGAGCTGAGGTGAAGGCACCAGACACCATCAAACAGGCTCGGTTTGGAGGAGTTTACGGGGCTCACGGACCTCAACGGAGGTGACGTGTGGGCCTGTGTTTCTTTTGAAATACTGCAGGGGTCCGTCAAAACCCTTGCCCAAATGCTGGTTAACTCAACACAACTTGTTTTCTTCAGGTGAACGAGAGACCATGGCACTGATGCCCAGACCAACCAAGCTGTCACTCTGGGGGATGCCACAGCTCCTTCTTCCTTCCCAAGTGACCGATGCTAGGCTTCGATCTCCGAAGCCACTGTTCCACCACCGGGCAAAGAGGGGCGACCCAGGACGGAATGATCACCAGCCTGAGGAACTAACTGCGAAGGAGACCGAAAGAGAGATTAGCAGATGGTGGGCCAGACAGAATGAAAGTTTATGAAAGTCCCAACCTGAGCGAAAGACCCGGCGGCACAACCATTGGCACGTAGAAGGTCGGTAGAGAGGTTCAGGCGGCAGACAAGACCGTGCCAGTCTTCCCCCAAAGCTTGGAACGGCAGCAAGGCGTCAAACTGCGGACTTATTTGGAGCCGGAACTTTCTCTAACTGTGGATGTCACTTGGCCTCCCTACCTTTTTTTGATCAGCTTCGCTGCCCCGACTAGGCAGCTGACCCTGTTGAGCCATCTCAGAACAGCCGCATGCTTGTGGAGTCTGGCGAGATGCTCGTCCTGATGGAACAAAGGCTTCAAGTTTAGGGTCAAAGCCTGGGTTCCAGATAAGAGCACCGGCAAAGTCGTACCGGGGATGGGACAAGAGCAACAACGAGCGCCTGCCACTTGCGCATTCTTCAGCGTGGTCGTTCTCAACAAGGTAGGTTTGCATGAGGCTTTCTGCATTTGACTGTAACATGGCAGAAACCCTCTTTTGGTCGAGACTGTTTGTCTTGCGTCTGTTGTCTTACATTGCAAACCAGGTCCAGAGTCTCGAAGTTCTCGTTGATGGCTTTTCTGACTTGCCAGCATCCCAGTCTGCAGAGGAACACCGACACCTCTCCCGTGGACCCGGTGAATGCATGTTTGTACCTCGATGTGGCGGAAGCCTGGGAAGCTCCAAGTGACTGACAGAATTGAGAATTTGCAGAGGCTTTCAGCTCTTGAAATCTTAAGATTGCCGCATGGTTTGGAAAGATCTCGCCAGCAAGCCAGAAGCAAGCAAAACCCTTGTTTACGAGAACCTAGACCTGTGACCCCCCTTACACTTACACAGCCCTCGAAGCTCCACACAAAATGTGTCAAGCCGACCCAGGTGCGGATCCCAGGCTCGAGCTCGGATTGGCCCTGGGATCTAGCAGCTGCAGCATTCCAGTTTTCCGGGCTGCCAACCTGGACCGACCGTGCCTCTCAGGTTTGAGGTCGAAGTGGCTTACCCAGCATTGGGGACTGCAAAGCGTTGAACAGATTTTGCATCAGTTCCCGTCCCAGCCTGGACTCCGATTCAAAAAGTGGTGATGGCTGAGTTCACAGAACTGAGTCTTCAAGAGTTGGGGAGCCCCACAATTGATGAGCTGGGGAACTTGAGGAAATTCAGGGACGTCAAGCCCTACAGGAGAACATTTCACGCTCATCAGGGCTCCTGGCTTCAGGATGCGTTTGTGTCGATGTTGCGTTAGCCTGAAGCAGGCTCTCGGGCACTGATAATGATAGGGGGTCGCGTCTATGAGACATGCGTGGACAAGGCCGCTCATGTCAAGACAGGAGACGTATACAAGGGCTGCGGAGATATACCGTTTTGTCCAGGCCTATGAGGAAGGAGACGGTAAAGCATCACAGATGCAGATTTACTGTGCGCTGCACCCAGCATCAAGCTATACTTGTTGGCCCTTCAGCATTCTCAGAGGGCCCTGAGTCGGAAAAGCGCACCCGAAACTTGAGCTCAACGAACCTTCCCTGAGAGGATTCTCAGCTGGATGAGGCCGCACGCCTCTTCGTGCAGGCGCACGTGGAGACAGAGGCCAATGAGGGTGCCCCTTGCCACAATTTCTGCAATACAAAACCAATGCGCTGGCCCTGAGGAAAATCTCGGTTGTCTCAGCCTGCGAGACGAAACCCTGAAGGTCCTGAACCTCAACACGGGTGAAAAGCACCAGCAATGTTGAGCCTGCCGACTTGTAAGTTTGTGGACAGCTGGGTCGACCCTTTTCGGAAACGCATGCCAGGGTCAGATCGCGGGATGGCATTGTGAAATAGTTAGGCAGCACGATGAAGCTTCTTCCTGGGGCAAACTCCCCGCCTCCCCAGACAACAGCATTGACATTTCGTTTTTCGCAGCTGTGGGGCATGTCAGTCCCTCCTGTCATGCTCGTCGTCGATGAGCTTTTTAACTTTATGGGGCTTGAGGCCGTGTCCGATGCGCGCAGTGCCTGTTTATTGTTTCTGCAATCCCAGGAGCTCGGCACCGTGTCTTTGCCAGCGAAGTGCCGGGCTCTCAAGCGTCACTTCAAGGATGACAAGGATGCGCGCTCTGTGCTTCATCTTGAAGTTCAAAGTGCTGGCTGACTTGTGGATTGGATCAGTGATTCGTGGTGGGATGTGGTGGGACTTGTAGCGATTGTAGCGCCTACTGATGCATGCGCACAGCCTGATGTGCCAGGAACCTTCAACCGGAACACTCCTCCACCACCCGAACTACATCCAAACCTCCATGGAAAACAACGCAGGAGCTTCTTCACTTCTTGTGGAAGTTCCAGTCTTCGATGGCGCTTCCACTGCCGGACAAGCCGGTGCAGGCCGGAGCTGGGGACAAACCCAGCAAAGCGAGAATGTCGGGTTGAAAGTGCTTGATGGGAGCCCGGGAGCTGGGGATCTTCTACACTGCCAGTCGTGTTCTGCACCTTTTTTGGGTACAACAAGTACAACCTGCCCAGGTGAAATACAGAGCGCTGGGATGGCTCTCCTCCAGGGCCAAGGTCTCACGAGCCACCATGGAGTCAGAGACGCCAAGGTCCCTTTCGATCGCTGAAAGCGGTGCCAGGGACGCTCACGTCGAGCTTTTAAGCAAGGGATATGGCTCAGCCATCCCCGGTGATCAGCTAGAGACGCTGAATGTTATCTCCTTGTGATCGAGTTTCGAATTCCGCAACTCGTCAACAAGCTTCAATACCACTCACCACGCCCTCCCTGCCAATTGCCAGAGGGTGAGCCGCAATATTGTCAAGGCTGCTCGAGGTGTGAAGAAAATAGATGGTGCCGATTGCCAGCTGTGTTTCACGCCGCCCGTACGTGAATTTTCGGCTACATCTTCGACTAGCTCTGTGTCAAAGTCGTTGGGCTTGTGACGACTTAATGTTGAGTTCCGATTGGTAGTGTGGTACACATAGAGAGCGATCTGTGGCCGAAGCTCAATAATGAAAAGTGGTAAGCCTGGAAAAACCCTCCCCCCCCCAATCCACAATTGTGAGATCTGAAGCTATCAGCCTCCCGCCGATTCTTCGGTGTCAAGCCTCATTCGTGAACCATTAAGTTCCAATGCCGAACGCCTTTTGAGCATGAAGCTTTTGCAATTCCTAGTCAGGAGCGCCTGCGAGGGGGGCCGGAGCTGGCGATTTTCCTGCGAGTGCAAGCAGTGGGGCCCCTGGACCCCCACGGATGCCAATCAGTTTTCATGGCAGGTTCGGGGCTCTGTGGGTATCTCGACTCGATGGGCCCCAATGAAGCCGAGTTATACTTGCAAAGCCTGTTGAAGCATTGGTTGCTGAGTTTGGCTTTCAGACGCTGGACACCTTAACGGAACGAAGAGAGACGTGAACGGTTCTTGTGAACAATTGTCCCTTAAGGGACTAGACCCGATATCATGGTCAGGTGGCGGCGCAACTAGGACCTGCCTTGCACCTGGGAGTATCTAAGTGTGCAAATGGACATCGTGAGCCTTCACGCTGGAGCACTTGGGGTTTCGATGGGTTTCGCTTTGCTGCGATCCTTATCGTGCATTCATCCTGCCGAAATGCATCCTACATGTTGCAAGCTTTGATTTTTCAAAGGCGTTTTTTCGAACGTGAAAGTGCCACGGCTTTTTCAGATTCTCCCTGTTTGGCTTGTCCAGGAGAAAGCCGTCACTTCATGAGCAAGTGCAAAGGCCGGATGCATTCTTGAGCCTGGTTCTGGCCTTACGACGTAAGGGCCTTGTTTCGTCCAGGATTGTATCAGAAGTTATAGTGACAGAAGTGCATCACAGAAAACACATTCAGGTTCCAGATGCCCCCCCCCCCCCCCCCCAAACCATATCCTGCTCCGAGGCACCCGTTCTGGCGTTTTCTTTGGGTTCCTGGGTCTGGAAAACGCTTCATTTATGCAACGACAGTGGCCAAATAACGTTTGGTGTGTCCAGCCTCTTGCAACAGCAATCGTTTAAACAGTATGCAGGATCTGGAAGACCCTGTCGGCTTCACCCTCCCCGATTCAAAATTCAGAAGGTGCTATAGGCCCATCGGCCGCCACCCCCATCCGATAAGCGAATTGTTCGTTGCCCCACCCCCCACCCACCCCCGCGTCCATGCTTTAGCAATCTTCTGTGCGTGGTTGACGAGCAAGAGCATAAGTTATTCTTTTTGTTTTCAATCGCCGCTGCATTCTTGGTGTTGCTTTGTGCAACTACTATTGCCTTCTCCAGAATTGCTGTTTTGGGACTTGTATTACTTATTGTTTCTTTAGCTATCTACGTGAACTCCAAGATAATGTCGCATGTTCATGTCGTTCAGGGTGTGATACGGCATGAGGAGTTTGTCTGGTCTGGACGGCCGGTGGCAAAGGTCTGGCAGTTTAAGCTGCACATGAAATGGGGGGAACCCGGGGGATCACCTCCTTCAGGAACCCCAGTGGTTACACACGCTGAACTTTCCTATACAGTTTGAGAGGGGCAGGGTTCGGTGTGTATTCTGGAAATCTTATCCGCTCGTATTTTCCTTGCCGCCAACTTGAGTGTACAGAAGACAGATATGCTGGCAACCATGCACTCGAAGGCGCTAGGCGAGGCCGCATGCTGTCGCCTCTCACCACCTCTCTCGAGCCAGGGATCCTGGCTTCTTCAGCCAATAGAACTCCCGAAGCCGCAGGGACGGAGCTGCAGTACGACCCTCGCCTGCTGACCTTCGAGTTCTTGTGCAATGTGTCTGGGCTACAAGGTCAAGAGCGCCTGAAGTCCAGGACCCGTCCGACCTCTAGATTGCGGGCTCTAATCCCGCACATGACATGTTGGGGTCTTGAGACGACTTCGTGAGAAGCAGCGCCGCGCCGTTACCATAGACCCAGCCGTGCCAGTCTGCAGACCTGAAGATTCCTTTGATTCAATTGTTTTGGGTCGCCGCTACCAGTTGAGCCAGTAGCTGAGCATGAAATCCCACAAGCTCTCATCAGGTAATGCTCCGCCGCTCTCAGGCGCGGGATGTGGTAAGTTGAGCTTGTGTTAACGATGGTTTTTTTCTATCAGTGACTGCTACACCGGTCATTGCGTGGCGAGCTGGTGTCATCGTCCAGGCTAAGTCCCTGCATCAAGTCTCAATGATCGCCCGCTCTGGCAGGTCCAGCTCATCCGCGCCTTTGCGGCGAAGGCAGAGGCCGCACACCAGCTTTTGCAATTTCATGATGCTTGTTACGCGGCTGCTTCTCGAGGTCTGATTCTCATGATGTTCGCTGGCCGGGCGCTGTTGCTCCAAGGGGCCGGCTGATGCTCATGATGCTGGCTGGCCAAGCTGTTGTGCACAAAGAGTGAGCCTGGCTAGAGAGCATCACTCCTTTGTGCAGAACAGCTGAAGGTTGTAAGCATCAGCCAGCACTCTTTGGGCCTGATCAAGCAGCATGAGCATCAACCCCTGGCCAGCGACGAGTGCCAACGAGCATCATGAGCATCAGCCCAGGCGAGCATCGTGAGCATCAGCCGCCAAGGCCCTCAGCCACAGAACCCACCAGGCCCGCATCATGAGCATCAGCTGCTAAGGCTCTCATCCGCAGAACCCCACCAGGCACGCATCATGAGCATCACCTGCCCAGGCCCTCATCCACAGAACCCCACCAGGTTTCTGCATCATGAGCATCAGCAGCCAAGGCCCTCAGCCACGGAACCTCACCAAGCGCGCGTCACGAGCATCAGCAGCCAAGGCCCTCATCCACAGAACCCCACCAGGCATGCATCATGAGCATCAGCAGCCTCAGCCACAGAAACCCACGTTCTGAGCGCACCAGGCGCGCATCGTGAGCATCAGCTGCCAAGGCCCTCAGACACCGCCCCATCATAGCCAGAGCACCCCACCGGGCCGCATCATGAGCATCAGCAGCCAAGGCTCTGACACCCCACCAGGCGCGCATTGTGAGCATCAGCAGCCAAGGCCCTGAGCCACAGCACCCCACCACGCACGCATCATGAGAATCTGCCAACGCCCTCAGCCTCAGAACCCCATCGGGCGTGCATCATCATGATGCTCGCTGGCCAGAGATGGCCAGAGGTTGATGCTTATGCTGGCCAGGTGCTGTTGTGCCAGAAGAGTGCTGCCTAATGCTCATGATGCTCGCTGGCCAGGGCTGTTGTGCGCAAGGAGCGAGGCTCATGATGCTTTCTGGCCACCACTCATGATGCTCGCTCATGATGCTCGGAGGAGCCGGGGATGCTCATGATGCTCACTGGCCATATGCGTAGGGGCTGCTGCCGGGAAGGGGTGACGGCATGGTGAGGGAGGGTGCCTTATTTCGCGAATGTGTACAAACTTAGGCCGCTAGCCGGTTAACCATTATAACGCTTTATCCGGTTTGGGGACCGCAGGGTACTTTACGTGTATTACGCGTTGCTGACTCGTGTGAGGCCGGGGAATCTGTGCGAGGGCCCCAGCAGGGTAATGTGTGATAATGAAAGGTGAGGTTTCAAAATCCACGGTCAAAACTAGAGTAGTGTGGACGGGAAGACGTTGAGTCATAGAAGTCGTTGTCTGCCACAATGTCATCAGCACAAATCTTAGAATCTTACGATTGAAGATCCAGCTGACGTTCGGCTGAAGGTTTGTTTGCTCGGCCCATCACCATGATGTGCCCGAGCTCGGCCCCAGCTGCAACTCAGGTGTCAGCAGATGTTGATGGGCGAAGGAAAGACGACAATGATTACACCCTTGGTCGTGCTACTGCTGGCAGATGGGCAGAGGCGCAACGGGGACTGCGGTTCCGGATGTTGAGACACACCACCCTCTTCCTACCACTGCAATCAGATATGTACTATGCGAACTGCATGAACGCCATTGCTCAAGCATCCTTTTTGTCGACACTTCAGCAACTTTACCTGGGAGTACAAGGATGTCAGGCAGCAAGATGTCCTTAGGTTCAAGGTTCTTGGCTGGCTGCTGGTTGGGCAGGTTTGGTTTTAGGGTGCTTTGAGCGGGCAGTGCCTTTTGACGTAAAGAAAAGGAGACGTAAATGTGCCAGCAGGCTGGTTTGTGCTTGTATGCCTTCGGCACTCCTGGGCATGCCACGCGCTCAGCGGTTTAGAGCTTTCATTTCTGGGCTTAGGGCTCTGTAGCAATTCTGAGGTAACGTTTCAGTTCAAGGCTATGAGGGAAGAATGAAACGTTCGAGGGCTGGATTTGTGTTCGGAGTAGTGTGGTACATGATGTGCCCTGAAGTCAAGGCTGATCCTTGGATTGATGACGAAGCAACGTAGTTGCACCGGTTTAGCCCGTGTCTCTCTTGAGATTGTCTTAAACTTGCATAGCGAATCAATACCCAGAAACTTCCAGCAAGGATCATGAAAAGCTAAGCCTACACATCAATCAACTAATATTTTGTCTGTGGAAGTCTTCGGAACAGGTCTTCAGTTTTGCTGTAACAGAGTTTTCCTGAAAACAGACTGGTCTCTGCCTCGGGTGGAAGTACGAAGGAAGGATGGATGAACGGAAGCATGGATGTACGTGTTGTAAAGATCCTGTACGAGTAGGATGTCGGAAAGCTGTATGCACTAACTGTTCGGTTGGTCGATTTTATGCGCTTATCTATCTATGGCATTGACGAAAACCCTCGTGTGTTTAGACAGGACTCAAGCCCAGGCCATCATCTTCGGGCGTCACAGGGCATGAAAGGGTTGCCAGACCGGGGCCTGTTAGCGGCTGGTGGTTTGACGGGTTTGGGTTCAGCAATATTCAGCACTAAGCACACCCCAGCGGATTCAGAGGTCCCGCTCCGAAATCCTGTCAGGGGCGGATCTTGGATTGAGATAGGAGTGATAGGAGGGCAAAGGCAGCAGATCCTTTGAACCGTGCCTCGAGTCGCTGAAGGTCACGGGCTGTGCTCGCAGAGCGATTTTCGTCGCCGGTGCTGCCGAGGCCAGCAAGTCCAAGTCTGGGGATGTCTGGGGGCAGAAGCCCGACCCAGCGCGCGCTGATTTCACTGACTCTGCGGCAGTGTTTGCATGGGATCGAGCTGTCTGGGAAACCATACTAGACGGGAGAACTACACAGCCTGCAGCCAGCTAATGGTCTCAGTCTTGGAGCAGTGTCCACTGTGCACGGTGGCGGCTGTGTTCTCACGTGGGCTTGAAATCTCAATCTCTGACTACACGCGGGGCGACGGGGCCTGCCCCGCGCCGCTTCACCGAATCTACTTGATTTTGCACTAGGCTTAAGTGGTGCTTATTCCGCGGCATAGCAGCTAGCAAGCGATTTAACGCATGAGTGGCAAGCCTGCACATGTTTCGTCATGTTGGCACTTCTACTTCATGAATCAGCGCAGCGCTGCAATGCGGCCATCCTTCGTAGCAGGGCCAGCATTGCCTCATTCGGTTGTCAAGAGAGGCGTTGCGAAAGGCTTACGGGGTCGACCATGTAAAATGAAGGGCTTCTGAGCCCCGACGGAACACCCGTTTCCAAGGGCCGTGCTCACCTTCGACTTCCATCGCCAGGCCATAGCCCAAGAGTCTTCAATCCCACCGTCCCAGCACCCCCAAGTGCCTGGTATCATATTTACATATATATTTATCTCTCTCTCTCTCTCTCTGTTTGGTTATCTTTTTCCACATATATCCACTTATACATACACACACACATATATATATATATGTATATCCCCCCACTCCCCCACTTATGCTATGCCCATGATAGTCCCATGATGTCCTTTAGGTGGCCCTCGACGTTCCAAGCTTTCGAGAGTAGTAGCGGAAAAAAAGGATCTGGAAGAACATTGCAGGGCCTTTTCTCGCTGACATGCCTGCTGTTGCCTGCAGAATGCTTTCCCCGCCTTCGGGATTGTTCTGGCTTTTGTTGACACAGCTTGGCTTTGTTCCAGTGGCTGAAGAGGGGTGAAAGGATACTCGGCATCACCATGGAACCCTTCATACCGGATCCGCACAAGGTGGTCGCAACTCCTGGCTTGCTCGCGAAGATCAATGCTGCGCGACGGGGGCGGGCACGGGGCTCGGAAATGCCCGTGCTGATAATTGAAGTTGCCCTGACAGCTCCCGCCCCTTCCGTCCTTTTGCATAAAGAAAGCACGAAGCTTCTGGACTCCACTGCAGCAGCTCGTCAATCCTCAAAGGAGTCGTACATTAGCTTAAAGTTGAAATCCTGAGTGGTGGAGTTCGTGGCATAATGCCTGTATTTATTGAGTTTCCGCTGCTTCATGCTCTAGACACCTTCGAAAGTGCTGCATTCGGCACTTGGTCCAGCCTGCATGCCGTTTTGCAGGACATGTTTGCTATAGCACCCGCTTCTCATTATCCTTCGCAGTTTGCAGTTTGGCATGCTGTTTCTGCACATGGTTACCACCTCCAACTCCTGAGTTATTCAGGCGCCAGTGATTGCTGCTCCGACATCTGCCGGGTGCCTTCAACCGTGCATGGAGGTTTTTTTTAGACTAGGACATACTAGGACTCCAAGACTGCTGAATCTGCATCGGTATTCTGCTGAAGAATCAAAACCTCACACTGAAGCGAAGCTGTGGCCCCTTCCCAGATGCACGAGTCGTTGTCGGGCCTTTCCCACATCACCTTCCCAGATTATGTCCGCATGCAGGGCAGGCAGGCTTTGTGATTTCTCTAGTTTTTCCTTGTAATGGCGTACGGATACAAGGATCTTGCTCTTGATTTGCAGACACCGCGGCCAAATGGTAGGCGTCGACACAGGGAATTTTCACTGGAGGCATGATCCTGCTAGGTCATGACTGCCAAGATCTCCTGTTGCCCTCGGTGGCTTGAAGCATGGCTAGTCATGATAATCAGTTGACAATACAAAGGGTTGGGCCACCAGGAATGCGCACTTCAAGCATGATGTCCATCATGCAAGATGATCCAGAACAGCGCGACCTCATTGCATAAGGTCAAGAGCGTGCTTCTTCGGCGAATCGAGCTGCTGTTGGAGCACGAGACCTAGCCTCTTCAAGGGAAAAGAGAAGCCAGCTTTCTTGTGCAGGAATGTCAGGATTCGGCAGGCCCATGAACAAAAAACGTTGGGCGTACTGTAGGGCAAAGCACGCATATGAGATGTCAGAAGGCTCTTCGCGTTACCTGCTCGTCCTGCATTACTTGCAGGGCCACCACCCAGGCCGCATCTGCTCAACCCTGTGGCTTGAGGTTGTTTCACCTGCGGACTTCTCGCCTTCAGCAGCCTGCCGACACAGATACGCAGGCAGCAGGGCTAGCTTGGACGAGTAGGGTCCGTCCACTGGTTTCATCAAGAGGGCTGGTAGCACTACAGCATTTCTGCAGCATGGATGGTGCTCATGGGTTTGGGTCTAGAGTTTCGGAGCGAGTCCGAGGGCGGTCTGTGGCGCTGGGTCTTGCAGGTTCGTGTCGGGAGGGCACTGGCAAAGTCAGTGAGCTTGCTCAGGGTTTGGTGGCCAGCATTGCAGGAATCTGTACACGTTGCAAAGTGCAGAATGGATGGTGTGCATATTCACAGCTTTATTCACAGCTCGTGCCTACGCTTGCCACTGCAATTGCTGATCCGTGAAGTTGGGGGCACTAGACGGAACAGCAATCTTCATCAACCGCAAGAGATGAGTGCACTCGGCACACAGGACAAGCAATCCGCTACTTCCTGGAACCTCGCCAAACTCCAAGACACTCTGAATCCCGAAGTTCCCCCAATCCCCACAGAATCAGGGCTCCTGGCTTCGCCTCCCTTCCTGGCTCTCCGTGGTGCCTCGACACGGGTCTTGGTGTGTTTGTGCACTTGAGCCGGCATGCACGTAATGCCTTGAACTCGCATTGTGTGTGTGTGTGTCAAACCCTGTACCAAAGAGCATCCGTTTCGCACTTAACTTTCTGCATTGAAGTTCGCAGGGGCATTGGGCACTCCTTGGCAAACCCAGTGCAACGAAGCTGTGCCTTGGAGTGGGAAACAGTTCAGGACCCTGAACTGTGTACCTGCAGGCCATCCCAAAAATACCCTCAAAGCTGTTGCTGCATCCTTGGCCATTTCAAAATGAGTACTGATTTTCATGCAGATCCAAATCTTGCCAGACCTATGGAGCTCGCATCCAAGAGAAAGGAGATTGGAAGAATTTGGAGCTCGCAGTTCGACAGAAGTCGAGTCTAAAGTGTGCGTGTGCGCGCGCGCGTGCGCGCGCGCGTGCGTGCGTGCGTGCGTGCGTGGGTGGGCGGGCGGGCGGGCGGGCGGGCGGGCGGGCGGGCGGGCGGGCGGGCGTGGGTGTGTGTGTGTGTGTGTGTGTGTGTGTTTGCTTGTGTGTCGCTCTGTGTAGTAGATGACTGGCGAATACTTCTGGGCTTGCCCCAAGCCAAGCGCGGCCCCCCATTTTTGAATGAGTATTGAAGGGTTCCGAGCCGAGGCATCGAACCCAGAGGACGACCCGATGGAATGTGCCCAACTGTCTGCGCAGGCCCTGATGTTCAAGAGTGGGTGCCAATCAATGCATCATGTGAGTCATGTGAGTCATGTGATTCTAGTCATGAGTTGCATACGACCTGCATTCAGCCGAAAATGCAGCGAGCGTTTCTTGCCTTAAGTTTGCCGGTCTCCTGGGTCCGAGAAGGGTTTGATTCGGTTTGATCTGCTTGAAAAGTGAATCCTCAAACATCCTCGAGCCCTCACATGGCAGCATAGGCCTCTGGAGTACCAGGCAGAAGCAACACTCACCCCCTGAAGATCTGACACAAAAGCCGAAGCAGATGCCGACAGGAAAAGAGTAAGGCGGACGAGGTGCGCAGAAGCCCTGGCATCTGTGTAGTGAGATCTCGGCATCCCGGCATGCTGCACTCAGAGTTTCTCGAAAGGATTTAGGGACTTGGCACTTCTTGACTTATGGGATGTGATTCTGTCATCCGGGGCGGGTCCGATGATAAAATTCTAGGTACGAAACTGTTCAGTGGGTTCGCAGCTGCCGTCTTTGCACTTCAAAGCTCGACGCCGGGACGTGCTTGGCAATCTTTTGAATAGTGGACATTACGGGTTTGTTGTCCTGCTTGGTCTGCGGGAGGTCGCGGGTGCAGTTTGGGCTCAACTGCCGCAGCTGGATTTCAGTTTTGCGTAACGACTGCCGAACCTCTATGTGGTTCCCACGCGAAAGGATGATCAGACTGCAATGGCCCTGAGGTGTGTGCGGTGAGGTGCTGGATCTCTTCCACCGAGGCGTGATGCTGCTGGACGAGGCAGTTCGTGGGGAATCCTTCTTTCGCGCTTGCTCAGATCGACAAGTAAGTCGCATACAAGATTGACGGATGATCGTGTCATCCTTTGCTGGACTCGTTGCATGCCCAATGCATCAGGTTGACATGCTGCTGGACCCCCTCCGGAGTGAGCTCAACTGGCCGCCGGTGCCTTGGACCCCTCCGGATTGGGTAGACTTGTCTTGAAGCCTTTGGGCAGGCGCAGCACCACAAAATAGTGATGGCCAAAGACCCTACCTGAATAGGATTCTCAAGGCCATCGCCCGCAACGAGTCCTGCTTAGACTGGTCCTACACAAAATCAACTATGAAACTGGACGACCTCATGTATATTCCCAAGGCTTGGCCGACGACTGCCCCTGGACATGACAAGTCTGCAGCCAAGTTGGTTCGAAGTTTGTTGGGGCATTTCACGTTGGGGGCAGTAACGACAGAGCAGTGCACCTCCGAATGAAGCCTCAGGCTCAGCGGCGCGTGGAAGGTGCGTGCAGCCAAAATAACACTTTGGGCTTTGTGGTTGTTCGGGTCTTAGCCTTAAGGGGGTCTTGGCGAGTTCTTCGCGTCTAGGGAGTCGAAAGTTGGGACACGCAGCGCCTCTAGTGAAGCTAACAGTTGACATCAGTTGACAGATCCCAGCCCTTTGCTTTTCGAGGCTTTGGAAGGCAAGTCACGATTTCAGACATCCCGAAATACAGCAGCCAAGAGGATCGGTTCAAACTTGCAAGCTGAGCCCCAAAAAAGGCAGGATGTCATCCAACATCCGGTACTCAGATTGGATGAGCTGAGAAGCAGGAACTTAACTTACCCATTCTAGGCCCTAACTTCAGGCACGGGTTTCGCTACACCCTGCCTTTCGACTTGCTTGATGCTGTTTTTGCAGCAGTCGGGAGCTTGGGCTGGAGAGTGGCTGCCTATCTGACCTATCTGAATCGATTCACGCTGCTAAACCCACGACACCAATCTTTGGCTTAGACTCACTAAAACCCCTCTCAGGCTTGAGATGAGGATTTGGGGCATGGTGGGTTGTCATTTTGCGTGCTTAAAGTTTTATTCGGAACTCTTGGCTCTAAGGCCGAAACTGTTAGAAGTTCCTCAGGCGAAGCCCCCCGGGGCTGTGCAACTGAAGGGCTTAGTCTTCCGCTGCAAGGAGTAAAGTGTGAATACTGTAGAGCAGATCAGATCAGGCCTACTCAGGCGTTAAGCCCGAGCCGTTGGAAACCCGGGCAACCGACGTCCAGAATCCCAGCTGGCAAGTCCCAAACTGCCTATAGGCTACCGGCTGTGCAGAGATTGCGCCGTCGACGAGCATGGGCCCCAGCTAGATCGCAGCTGAATTCCTGCAATGTTGTTACCGTCCTGAAGTCTTGCCGCAACACACGCTTTGCCGATTTCAGAAACTTGTGTGGGAAGGCCACCAATGTCAGCTTTTTACAAGATACCCGCCCTATGCACATGCCCGTCCTGCAAAGAGCCGCCGTGAACCGGAAGCCACAGGGCGCGACGCGCAAGTCGCCCTGGGAGTTGGGGCCTCAGCGCAACACTACCTCTTGCGAAGCTCATCATAGCGCTTGCGGCTTGAATGCTGCCTTGCTAGACTTCATTCACAGGAAGGCGCGGGTTCTTGGACTGAGCCGAGGGGATTAGACGCAATCTCTTGAAGGGATGAGGCAGGTGGCGCAGACACTCTGCAACTGTAGTACGAATATCATGTTCGACGTCATCATGACCAATACAACCTAGATGTTCTTCCGCAAGTGCGCAAGCAACCCTCAGGCCTTGGCGCAGAAGGTCAAGCAGGGCCGGAAGACTCTGAAGGTGCAGGCGTCGACGATGTGGGACTCAGGAGTTTCCAGTCGTCTTGACTTCGGAGTTTAGATGTCTCGAGGGAGTTCAAGTAAGGGATGTGGGACTTCCATCGAGTTGCACAAGGCCCTGGCTCAGCAGGCGGCATGCTGTTTGCGAGCACCTGTGTCTTTGAAGGGTTGAAGAGAGCGGCTTCTGGCGCGTCGTTCCACACACACGCACACATGGGCAGGTGGCTCCCCACTTTGTCCTTCTCTCCCGTGACTTTTACCTCAAGGAGATGCTGCCCCATTTGGCTGCACGACCCTCATGCTTGCTGTATGTCTCGATGTTGAATGCATGAGGTGTGCTGTAACCATTTACATCTTCTCAAGAGGCGAGATCCGAAATGAGCCTCTTCTTCTGCATCTGTTTTGTTGAAGAGGCCATCTGAGAGTTGCATACATTGTCCTCATTTGTCCTCTCTGTTGCTGAGGATTGGGCCGCCCTGTTCGTGGACGAGCACCTAGAGGCCCCACTGTGCTTCAGGGTGTTGCAGGCAGCAGGGCTTTTCAGTAGTCTTTGTTTGGAAGCTTGCGTGGCGTGACTGTTGGTATCCATTGGAGTATATTGGCGCGAAGGTGTTTCTGCCAGTTTCGTCTCTAGACAGATCCGGCATCCCGCGATGGCAAACACAGCGTCCGAAGCGCCAAGAGACTGCCACACCGATGACGCCCATTGAAGGTTGTTTTTTCCAATAAGTTTGTGATGCTTCACTGAAGCACCCGAACAGTTGTCCAGACAGCCTGGCATGTGTCTTGTGCAGGGCGCGTTGCTGCTGCCGGACCTCCGCACCCTCCTGCGCCAGGGCCGCCGGGGCCCAATGCTTTGCACTTCTTATGGGGCTCACATGGCAACGTCCGAAAAAGTTTCGGTAAGGCGAAATTGGTTGGTTTGATTGGCATGCCTTGAGGGGCCAGTTGCATCGCGTGGTGGATCTCCACAGTGCCAAAGGCCCCGAGGCCCACGCGCAGCAGATCTTGCTCAGCATGCCCTCGCCAGGATCTCGGATAAGAACGAAGGGAAAAGCCACAGTCAGCCCATGATCTAGAACTAGAAGTGGCTTCAGGGCATGAGCTTTGGATTTGTTGCTGCTTCGGTGTCAATGTAGCCGAGTTCCAGGGAGTAACGAGTAGCTTCATGCTCGTGCGCAGCGCGCAGCGTCATTCAACAGCTTCTCCAACGAGTTTTGAATAGAATGGAGCCCAACATGCAGAAGACTCACCCTTCGTTCTGGCCGGGCTGCCAGCCCCTGAAGCTGCCAGGCCTGCGCGGCAGGTCCTGAATCTTGCTCTCTCCTGGCTGCATGAGCTCCTGCTGCAGCCTTGGGATGCATTTCTTGGGCCCTCTTGGGGCCTCTTGGGTAGGGTGGCTCCAAGCTCAGGGCAAAGGACGACGGTGCGGTTCAAGACATTTCAAGGACTTGATCGAACAAGGGGTCCAGGCCGGCGCGAGGTTCAAAGCTGTAGGCTCAACTAACCTCCTGTGCCCTCCCAAGTCCTACCCTAGCTTATCTTCAGCACCGAGAGATTCACCAATCCGTCCCATTTAATGACTCATCTGCAAGCATATCGCTCTCCGAAAGCTCCCGAATTGAACCTCATGCATCACCCGGCCTCAACCAAGTAGGAAGTTCAAGAAGTCAAGGCCGTATCTCCTGAGCAAGATCCACAGGGTGACGTACGGGCTTCTGTGGCTCAACAGCACCAATCGAATTTCAGAATCCTTGAGACTCCGCAGGAGAAAGTAGATCTTTGCGAGCCGGTCTTGTGCAGGGGCATTGTCCATTGCGTATAAACTCTCGAGCCCTCTTTGTCTTAATTCTGGAAACAGTCAAACCCTCAATCACACAGGATGCCCCATTCTTCTTTCGGGGGGGGGGAAGTTTAGATTGTAGGGTGGAGGTATTGTAAGGGTGAGGATGGGCTACAAACAGAAAAATCAAGGCTTGAACTGAGGGTTGGTTCAGGTTGTGTCCTCTGATGGCCCAATTAGAGGGGGGGTCAGACATGCCTTCCGACATCTTGCGGAGCAACGAGCTCAGGATTCACAACTCCCTCTTTCTCGGTTTCACAAACCACCTGAGTCAGGGAAGGCTAGCGGCTAGCAACATCTAGCAACGCAATAATGAGAATCCCAGTTCTGGAAGCATTGTCACCATCATGGGCTTAGGCCCCGGGTTTGGGCAAAGAGGGTTTCCAGAACAGAAGCTTGAACGGAGGTTGAACCCCCAACCTGAACAGGTACCGAAACACCTGAAAACGTCGCAAACAAAACGCTTGAATCATGGGCTGTCCTGCTGCATGATTTCACGTCCTTACGCAACGCTTGCCTCCGAACGGCTGAGGACAGGTAATGCATTGGAGACGGCCTTGGGTGATGCGCGTGCCCCACTGAGCCGGAAGCTCTTGGCGGTACCCTTCGTCGGGAAGGACAACACCTCAGCCAGAGCTGTGGGCATGACTCAACATGACTCATATTTAATATGGCTCCTTCAGAGGTTGCCTTCTTGTGTCCCATTGGCGAGTATGCATGCAATGATTCTCAATGATTTTCCTGAGGCAGGGACAGGAAGCCTTAGAACCGAGTAGAGGTGCCGTTTTGGTTTTCGACTTGCAAGGGGAAGGAGATTCAACGCTGTAGCCGCTGGTGAGGATACTCCGAGCGTTTCTTCGGAATTTTCGCATCCGGACGTGACAATCGGCTGCGGCCTTGGGCTGCAGGGTGCTTTTGGAGGGCTTCCCGGCGCACCGCTTTCCTGGTGAGGGTATCCGAATGTTGGTATGAACTGTAACTTGATTGTTCGCCTGAGTGCGGACAAATTGGTTGTTCCAGTTCTGCTTTGGTCACATACTGCGTTGGCTGGGCTACTTAGAATTATACGCATGATGACTGACATAGTGACAAGTCGGAGTCGAACTCCAAGCAACTCCTATTGCAAGAATGTCCCCAGGGCCACCAGGGGACTCTGAAGAACAGGCTTCACCATTCTGGCTTACCGCTTGAATGGGCTTCGAGAGCGAGATGTCGGTACCTGAGCCCCCCAACGCAGCAATTTCACTCCCATGGACTCCAAACTGCAGCATCCAAGCGCTTCAGTTACAGAGCTCAGAAGCGCAGTGGGTCATGTTGTGGCGTTGTAGTTGTCGATGCACAATTGGGCTTACGCCAAGTAGATTCAGTTCTCAACGGCTCAAAATGCCGGCGCTTAGGTTCGGACACTTCTGAAGGTATTGCTTGATGAGATGAGGGCCGCATCTCAGCAGCAACATCGAGGGCTACAAGGAAGTATACGTTGAGCATCTAAGCAGTTCCGCCTAATCTAGCACCCCCCCTCCCCCCCCTCTGGCAATAGTACCCGGCAATAGTACAACTCCGTCCGGTGTCAAAGTCTGTAATAAGTCGTTTTCTATCTTACAGGGTATCGGATTTGGGAAGTGTGCATCATTGAGCCCCCACCTCCTCCTCCCGCCCCTAGCTTTGGCCCAGGAAGGCGCAGTGCACTTCCACCGCCGAGCAGCATGTCAGGCAAGGACCTCGCCCCGTCATCCTTGGCTCCCCAGTGGGAGTCGTACGACCTGCGCCTGCCCAGTTCCAGGAAATCTGCCGTAAAGAGGCTTGTCAGCGTTTTCTTGACACGCTTTGATGGGTGGGTCCACTACAAAAGAGCAGTTGAGAAGCCAAGAGCTGATCGGTGAGACCTCGTTAGCAAACTTGTAGCTGTGCATAGAGAGCTGTGCACTCCGAGTGTTGTGCACTGCTTTCTGGAGCGTTGCAAGAGACAGCGCTCCTCAAGAGCTTGGGAGCATGGGGGCCCCCAGAGTCGTCCTCAGCCAGCGTCTTTGCTGCCAGGCCTACGTTGCAATGATCGTACGCGCGGGTGGCAAAGTGCGTGGGTTCACCGAGGCCGGCCCGACCTGCGAACAATAAAAGGGCTGAGCCTCAAGTCTGGTCTTTAATAGGCGGTGTCTCTTCGCAGAAAGTACGATGAAGACGAAGAGAAAATGTCTTGGCAGCACCAGTACTCCTACAGTTACATGCTTCTTCTGCTATTGGATTCCGCATGCCAGGAGACCCAATATTCTAAGGCAAACCCGACCGGCTCTCCCAGGACGGCCGATGGGTCGGGGATCTGAAAGATGACGCGCATCGCCGGCGGGTGGGTTCTTTCACAAAGTCGCCCGGAACTCACAGAAGCAAAGTTCAGGGTTTGCATTTGGCGCTCGCAGTTCTTTACCGCAGTACGTTTCTCGGTAGAGAGAACCAAGCAAGGATATTGCATTCACATGGCGTTTAAGGAGACAACAACATAACTTGCTTTCTCGAGCTGAGCTTTGGTCTGGCGCGTCTCAAATCTTGGGCGAGTCAGAATCTCCACTGAGCGGCTCAGTGTGGCTGCACAGGGCACATGGAAATTCGACACATCTGCCACTGCCGCCACAGCGCAGAGGTGGCGCAACTGGCCAGAACTCCTGAATTACAAACCTACAGACACAATCCTGAAGCCCTACACCTGCAGCCTGCCTCTTAACACACCAGCCTCCACACAGCCGTCATTGCCGACTCAGGTCCCATCCTGGCATCAACTCAGGCGCCGCCACCCTAAGGTCTAGAGGGCTTAGGATTTTTGGGTGCTCAGGCTGCTCCCGTGATGCACTCACGAGCACATCCTTAGCAAGACACGCAGACTAAAGTGAGTTGTGGGTGCGTACATATACGTTGCTCACATCCCACCTACAAGGCCTGTTGATTTGATCGCTTTGAACTGCACAAGCGCAGAAGCAAGGGTCGTGTAATGTCATAAGTCAACACGGGTTACTCTCCATCAAGCTCCCCACTGTTCCCCCGAGTGCTTGGGATGCCATGGGCAGCCATGGGCAGCCATAGGCCCATCAGCATTTGCAAGTAACGGCAGCTCCGAGCCTCCTGGCCCCAGCAGAAATCTTCTGAAACGGTGATCCGACAATGAGCTTTCAGAGAGACACAACATGTCGAAATGGTCGTCTTCACGTGCAGCCAGAGCAGCGCAGGCCCTCCCAAAGCCCATTAAACTTAGAGAAGTGCCCAACATAAAGCTGAAGAGTGCTGAAGATCCCGAATATCGACTCCTCCAGCGCGAGGCGTCACCGAAGACGCGGTGGATAGGCCGGAGATGGAAGCTGCGAGCGTCGTGGGCAGGGGATGTTGGCAGCGCTGCTGCTGACATGTGACAGGAACTGACCGGAGACAAGACCCTGAAAGACATGTTGGGGACTTCAGAACTTGTGTTTTTCGTGCCCGCGCTGTAAGAACGCTGTTAGCATCAGATCTAGACTGAAGAACAACCGTACATTTCCTAGTTTTAGTAGAGTGTTTTAGAGGGTTCATTCGCCTAACCAATCACACATGAAATCCTGCTGCGTTAGTTGGCAGATCGCAAAACCTCTTAAATGAAGGGAGTTTACGTTTATCACTTGCATGTCGTACACGGCTTGCGGCTCACGAGTTGGCGTGGTTTTGGAGCTCAGAGGCTCAGATCGTCCGCAGGCGACGGAATGTGTGGCCATTGGAGCTGTTGGACATCAACGACCCAGAGCCCGGGCCTATGCTTCTCAGCCCGGTCGAAGGGCACCCTGCGCACGACTCTGCGAATTAATGCAAAGGATGACAAGCGACAGCCATGTGCCCGTTTTGGCTCTTTAAGCTGGATCGGGCTGTTCAGAGATGGACATCCAGTTTTGCCTGAGGCAAGTCCAGTTGGTGTACGATGTCTTGCGATACTCGCCCACCGCTGTCCGTCATTTGCCCGGGGCCTCGGTGAGAAAGTCATGGGGATCTCAACCATTGAAAATCAGTTGTCTGGCAGAAACAGAGAGACAGACAGGCAAAGATATCGAGAAAGAGTATATGACAAAACAGATACAACCTTTGAAAGAATAAAGCCAGAGAGAGAGAGAGAGAGAGAGAGAGAGAGAGAGAGAAAGAGAGAGAGAGAGAGAGAGTCGGGTGGTCCGGGGAAACTTTCATCGGGGCTGTATGTCTCATGCCGACAGGATCACGGACCGGGCGCGCCTCGTGCGCGGAGGGCGTGCTTGCGCGTCCTTCAAGCCCTGCAGAAGAAGAAGAACAAGAAGAACAAGAAGAAGAAGAAGAAGAAGAAGAAGAAGAAGAAGAAGAGAGAGAGAGAGAGTCAAGAGTAAACAAGGGTAGTTGTCAGGGAGTCGAAGCACCGGGGTGGAAAACCTTCCTGGCGGGGCTTACACGTCTCATGCCGACTGGACCACGGACCGGGCGTGCCTTGTGCGCCCTTCAAGCCCTGAAGAGGAGGAAGAAGAAGAAGAAGAAGACGAAGAAAAGAGCGAGAGAGGGGGCCGATAACATACTAACGAGCTGAGGGTTGGGGCTGGGGGAGGTTTTCGGACAGGTTTTGCAGGTGCGAGGCCTTTGGGGGGGAGAAGGTTGACAGTTTGAGGGGGTTTTCGCTGGAGCACGCCCCTTGGGGCGGTCCCTGCTGGGACTACGTGCGGAGGGGGAAGGGAGGAAGGGAGGAAGGGAGAGTGAACGAGCGAGCGAGCACGCACGCGACAACCCTCCAGACCACAGCATATCAGGCCCTTCAATCCCAAAAGTGGCACATGCCAAACCGAAAAGCCACGAGCGTATCTTAAGTACGAATAGCATGACACAGCCGGGTGCCACCATGGATGACTCCGATAATTACTGGCTAAAGAAGTAGAGAGCCCAAGCAACGCACACACCACGTGAGAGCCCAAGCAACGCACACACCACGTGGGGAAGGCATCTCACAGGCAACAACAGCGTTAAACTCCGATACTCGCACCGCTTGGGGCGAACACTTGGGGGATCTTCTGGGGTTGCGCGTGCTGGAAGGAAGGAGTGAAGGAAGGAAGAGACCAAGCAGGACTTGCATGCTTGCAACTTGGGCGTGTGTTGTGCGCTGCAGGCCCTCAGGTTCCCCATGAGAAGAAGAATATGCAAGAGGAGGAAGAAGCAGAAGAAGAAGAGACCGAGGAGTGGAGAATATGTGAAGACACGTGTGTGTGAAAGGCTTCAAAAGAGAGCTGGGAGCCAATAGCAGAAAGTATCTCGATTCTTGCTTCACGGCTCTCAAACCGTTTCAAGAAGAGTTTGCATGCTAAGTGGCCGAGGCTGGAGCACCATGTGTTTGTCGCACGGGCCTTGGGGCAAGCAGGTGTGGGCGATAGCCGGTAGGGAACAACCGAAGCAAGGCTTCACCCCAAAAAACATGACTCGCACCAGTGGAAGCCCAGATAGCTGGGCAAACGTACCCGGCACCTTGCGTACCCCTGCTCAAGTAACATATGACGTCTGCGCATAATATGTATGTATATATTATATATATATATAGCTATATCCATATCTATATCTATATACATAAATGGAGCACATGTTACTATACATGACACAATTTACATATGCGCATGTTCTGTATACATATGTGTCTATCTATCTATATATATATATATATCTATCTCTATCTATATCTATCTATCTCTCTGTGTGCGTGTGTGCAATTTGGCCTGCAGTCCCCACCAAACTCCGAGCCTGCCCGCGCACCCTCTTCGAGCGATTCCCAGGCTGGAACCTTGGATCGCAACGAGACCCAACTTACTGCCTGTGGCCAGGAGCCCTGCCCTACACCTCGGCGCTAATTTTTTTTAGATTCAGACTCATATGCTGCGGGACTTGGGGCGGGTGCAGGTTGAACAGAAGTTGAGCGGTGTGTATGTCAGCCTTCACGCCCTCCAGTTGGAGGGGCACCAAGACGACTCCGTGCAAAACAACCGCAGTTTTGCGCATTGTTAACAGATGGAAAATCCCTAAACCTTGCATCAGCCCAATCCTCTACTGCATTGCCAGGAGCTGGCGGGGTCGGCATCTTAGTCTCGACAGCTGGCTTGCTCAGAAGACTGACAACTCTTGAACCTGCATTGAGCCAACTTCATGTCCTGTAAGATGTCATTTCTTAACATCCAGGAGCCCTGGAAGCGCCTTCGAAGTCAAACCCCGAGCCCGCGATCCAGAGCTTGTCCAAGGCCACAGCTCTTCCAGCAATGCCTGGGTTTCAGCGGCACGCCAAACGATTTGCTGCCAGAGCCCAGGGACTTCTTGGGGTTGCTGAGAAGGACCAATCGGATTTGTGTTCGGCAGTTAAGGGTAGGGATACGGTAGAGTTCCCCATCTGGTCGCTCAGGCCAAAATCCATGGGGCGGTGCATCTACGCAGAGGGAGATGATGGGAAAGTCCTTCAGGTTGGTCCAGAGTTTTTGCGGCCACTGCTGGACCTGTGAAGATGCCACAAGTCCCCTGCACTTCTGTGTCCACAGGTCCTCAGTTCTACACAAAATGTCTCAGTCGTCGAGCGCTGAACTCAGAGGAGAAGCGGTTGTCATACTGTGCACAGCACATAAAGGGGGTGTTCGTGCCACGAGTGCCTCTTAACTCATTTGTGCTCCAGGCAAGCGCAAGGCAACGCGTCCCCAGAAGTGGAATTGCGTCTGTAGACCCAATTGTGGAGTGATGGAAGGCTTGGACGCTGGAGTCCTACACAAATCCTGGACATCGCCGGTCTCTCAGAATGTAAAGGAAACAATGACGACATCATACATGACCCACAGGCAAGTATAGTTACGTCTTGACATTGACCAGTGAGGGTAACCATCGCGGACCCAGGGCCTCGGGCTGCCCCCCAGGCCCTCTAGCATCCTCCTACGACCAGGTCGCCAAAACCCGCAGCACCCGCGGGAATAGGCCGGTCGTTGTGGGTGCCATCCCAACGTCTTTTTCTTGAGGGCGAAACATTCTTGGGGCAGTTGCTCCAAAGCGCACCCTCGCTGCGTCCCAAGTTGACAGGCTCTCTGTTGAAGTCGCACTTCGCTGGGCTGAGTGTACACCCGAAATGCCAAAACTATTAAAAGTTGCATCTTCTGGCACTCGGCAACGGATATGCCAGAAGTTCAGAAAGACTGCCTGCTGAAGCATCTGTTCTATCTATCTGAACCCCCCTTCCATCAAAAACTTGAGATGAGAAAAGCCCTGTTTAGTAAATATTCATAAGGGACGGCTGGGATCCCCCCCCCCCCTGCTTGGCCGAACAGAACCCGAAAGAGGATGCAGGTCATATGCAGCAAAAGCCTGACACGAACGACAACCGTAGATTCAATCGGGATTGATGGTGCAGGCCGAGGTACCATGCGTTGATCGACTCTGGCGCTTTAGCCAGGGCCCAAAGATTGCGAGGGTAGCGCCGATAAGGATGTGCTTGGATGCTTTTGGATTGGCGTCATCGACGAGTTGGGCGCACCACCCTTTTTTCTGACTACCCTTGCGCACTGATGCCAACTGAGGGTGCATCAGTATAGATTAAGGGGTGCATGTACAGCATGTCTGATACGGCACGGACAGTGGGGAATGTCTGGGCAGTGGTATGGGGTTAGAATTGATGTGCTTGCTGATTACTCAGCTCATGATGCCGTTCTTTTGCTTTAGAAGTAGAGCCCTCCGAACCGACTCCGGTTGCCACGAGCCTACAACTGAAAAAACCACCGTACGTAGGCCTCAAGCAATTCCGTCGCACCAAAAAGGTCACAGGGATGACGAACAGAGAAGTTGCAGAGTCGCTTGCTCAGCCTTGCTCGTAGTGATGGATCTGCATGCTTAGCCATGCATTGCTGGCACGTGAGCCTGTGAACATCGAGACGCTTATGGTGTCCAACATGACTCCAGTGGAGCATTTGTCAGTTTTTTTTCTGCAGCTTTTGAGTGAATATTTCTGCTCGTGATATGAGAAGCTGAACTCTGGCTGGGATCTTGCTAAGAGGTGAAAGAATGGTCCACAACAGAACATTTATCCCCGCATGATTCCTCATCATCAGCATCATCCTCATCAAATCTCATCATCATCGGCATGGCTGCAATTCTGGAATGGCATCGTAGGATGGCATTGCTGGAATGTCAGACTCTACTCCTTTGCCCACGGCATCTGGTGGAGCTGTGTAGGACGCCTTATGAAAATTTACTCGGCAATTTGCATCGTATGAGTCAAGGGCAGGCGAGCATCAATGGATGCCGAAAGCAGTGTCTGCATTTGCATGGAGTTCAAGGTACCTCCTGGAAAATGGGCTTGAGGGTCTCGATGGTGTGCTTTTCCTGGACGAGCGCGATGAGCGGGCCGGCCGCTGATAGCTTTGGGTCATTTTGGGTCTGAAATTAGAAGTGTGGAGTGCGGCAGGATCGCGGCTGCTTATAGTGTGTGTTTCTTGTGGTCTATGTGAATGGGTTGAGGTCTGAAGTTGGAGCGGGGTAGTCCCCCGTCACGCCCCTTCAGTTGCAGAACCTTTTTGACCTGAAACGTGAGGCCTTCAAGCCCTGCGGCCAGGTCGTGTTGGAACGTGACAGCCGCCGGGTTGTCGAGTTAGTCCGGATCTCAGTGGGAGGCTGCACTTTCAGCTTTGCGCACATCCGTGCCGAAGGGTGCGCGGGTCGTCGTTGAGGTTCCTCCTGCCCATAGTTATAGCAACGCCGTCAACCAGCCGTCAACACCAAGCTCTATGGCATTCAAGAATAGGGGCGCGCCGGGTTTGGCTCCGAGGACGTGCCCGCCCCGGAACCAAACTGAGATCTCAGCAGGTCCGACCGCAGAGCAGATACACCCACGCATGTTAGAGTCTGTTAGAGCCCCTAAATTGCGGAGTTCTGGCGTCGTGCCATCCTGCAGCCATGGGAGTGTGCGGCTCCTGGTGCATGCGAAAACCGCGGCACCAGGTGTCCAAAGCCACTTTCGCCAAGTCCAAGGCAGAGCCCTTTTCAGGTGTAATTAATCGTAGGCCTGTTTCGACCGTCTTGGGGTCTCCTTGTACACCCCTGCCATCCCACGGAAGGTGGATCTGGTCAATGCCTGCCGCCACATGATTGACTTTCTGCGGGAGGTTGACACTCTAAGCAGCACTGGCAAAGCTTCGGATTTCGACTCGGGGAAAGGCTCCGCTGTGGTGTTGGTGGCGTTGCCCATGCAGTTAGGAGCCCTCTTGAATTACCATGGCTTGTCACGGGATCCACGCAGCAGACGTTGTGCAGCGATTTTCTGCTCAGGACCGGTATCCCTGCCTGTACGTAAACGAACAGGCGCTTGCAAGCCCAAATGTTTCCCTAAACCCTGCTCGGAAGGTAGGCACTGCAGCCAAGCAGGGCAATCAGAGGGTTCCATTGCTGCAGGTGCTTCGGGAGGCCATCCAACGCTACGAAAACGTTTGGCTGCCCCTTCTGGCCAACAATGGCAATGGCTCCAACCCTCTCCTGGTTCCGCCTATCGATGTCGAGTGGGTGTGGCACTGCCATATGCTCCTCGGACCCACTGGTTCCAGTTTCCTTCACCTCTTAACTGACTTTCTGTACTGTGGCTTGTTTTTGGGTTGCATCAGCCATGCAACCTGATCTTGAGGCTTTGCCCCAGGGCGTACCGAGAGGATGTCGCAGCCATCACGGGCCTTTCGGATGCTGGGCTGTAGAAAATGGCTGAATCAAGGGAAATCTAGGCCGTAGGCCCTGCTTTGCACGCCTTTGCTGTAAGGGATGCGGCCCTGCCCGATTCGTGTCTGATGGCTTCGTGTGTCGCACCTCGAGCTTGGCACTTTGCCTTCCGCTGGCACTTCGTGGTTCCGCAACACGCGCAGCAGACCGTTTCGGCAGGCACGACGATACGGCCTTCGAGATTCGATTCGGTTCCTGAATCTTGAAGTGGACGATTCGGCAAAGATGCGAGGGCACCAACGTCTACCCTCCCGAGTGGCACCCACCAGATCTAGATACGTAGTCATACATGTTCGGTTCGTGTTCATACTCGTTCTGTCATGTTGCTCCACTGACAATTAAAATGGCATCTAGCCATTAGCCCGAAAAAAGAGCTTCAACGCAGTCTCGATTCAGGTGCTCATATTTTGTTGAATGTCGATTGAGACATATACATACATGTTTTGTGTTTAGGCCTCGGCATCAGCATCCAGACTGATCGCATCGTAAACTTGTACTTGAAGATGCTTCTGCCCATCAATGTCGAAGCATGTTAGCAATCAGGAGCCGCCCGACCACCGCTTGGTACCGCGCGTTGGGAAGGAGTTGAGATGAGTTGAGAGTCCGGGAGAAATATGCCGGAAAGCCAATTCCAAGAGTTTGCCCCGCTCCCGCATTTTATCACAGCACTGGCCCCATGCAATGCACTATGGATCGTTGGAGTGCCAAGACCGTGACATGAGGCATGAAAAGAAAGAACCTGTAGTACCCAGAACCCATCAAATCCCAAAGCCTTTACAGCGACAGGCTCCAGGCAGAGTCCCTGCATATCTGTTTGCAGTCTTAGGCCTTCCTGTCGGAATTCCGAAGTTTCAGAGCGTCCAGGAGTTCGCATCCGCCCGATCCCGCGCCATCTCTCTTTGGGACAAGGTGCCTGCCTTTTTGTAGTCAAGGTGGGTTGGGGTTTCAGAACGTCGGCCCGAAAGATAAGCAGAATGATCCGCCTTGTCAATTTACTTCCCAGAGTTCAAAGAGACTGTTTTTGGGGGAGTCCCAGTTCAGGGGTCAAAATGCGCTTGAGCCCATCCCGGGCCAGCCTCGAGGCTTGTGGACAGCTCAGAGGTACCGTGGTGTCTTCTTTCGCGACACTTCGTGGGATAACTGGCGTTTACCTTTCATCGTGGGACGGTTTGGCTACTCTGACATGTTGTGTTAATGTGCTTGCCTCAAACAATCTGGTACACCTCTTCACTGTTGCTCGCGTGAGATATGCAGTCCTTAGTGCCGCCCTTGGCATTCAACTTCTCATGTACAGCATCATTCAGGAGACGTACATGCACGAAGCAGTCTTGCTCCTGCAGGCCATATAATATAGTTGCCCTGAATCTCGTGCTGCATGTTGACATCGTTTGCTGGCTGAGTCTTGGTTTAGACGCGTGGAGCGTGCCGGGCAGTAGTGCGTGTGCCGTCGTCTGCACCTTCCACTCATCGACAAGTCAGTTATTCCTTGACATTGAGAGAGAGATCAGGTTATTTCCTTTCAGGCTTCTTGTATGCAACAAAAATCAGTTGCATGGTGATGAGGGGGGTGTTGATGCTCTGAAGTTGGTAGGACAGGGGCGGCGACTACGACATCACGCAGGGCCTGCAAAATGCACCGCTGCTGGCAGGTTACGAGGGCAATGCAGCTGGGCTTGATCCGAGAATTTGAAGTTTGTTCTTGTGTTTCAGCACGGGACTGTATGCCTGGTGTCGCTGTGTCTTCATGGAGGGCTGTGATGCAATGTGGTGGTGGTTGTGGTCGCGTGGTTCGGTGGTGTCAGTCATCGTTTGGATTGCGGTTGTGACGTGTGGTGGTGGCACCTGTTTGCGCACGAACACGTGACAATCCACCGTTGGCACCTAGACGAAGAACTTCACCAACTTGAAGAGGAAGTTCAGAACTTCCGGGACACCTGGGTCATTGTCAGGTTGTCCTCAGTTCGGCACTTCCAACTGCCAACTCGTGCCTTGGTTCCCTTGCCTTCGTTCCCTTAGGCCGCACAGAAGAGCAAGTATGACATCGTGGCAGCGTGTGAGAGGCAAACTACCTTAGCATGCTGCCTATGGGTAGAGGGCTTTCTGGCTTTCTCGGTGCGGTTCGAGGTCAACGGGTTTACCCGCATGGACTTCAAGTGTATTGGAGACAAGGTGACGGATCGGACTGCAACGCAGGTTATTCTGCCGTCTGTAGGTCAGGGTATCAGGGGATGTCCGGGGCAGAGCCCGTGTTCAAGCTTCCGACCTTGAGGCTTGTGACATCCCACCTGAACTTGCTGAGCTTCATGCAGCACATGCTGCAGCCCCAAACCATAGCAGAACTGCCACATGTGCCCTGTGGGATTAGATGGACTAGCCCCAAGGATCTGAAGACCTGACAAACCTCGTCGCACTCAACTGATGTCAGGCAAATGGCCTTTCACTACCAGGCGGCCCTTTTCGGTGCTCAAAGCCATAGTTGCCATAGTTGATGGTCCTGCACAGGGTCAATTTCGTGTGACTGTCTTGTGCGATGAGGGTATATGAGGGTGCAAGCGGACGCAGGGAGGTTTCACTTGCGCTGGAACCAGCTGCTACGGTGGGCCTGTTTCGGATGTAATCGACTTGCAAGGTGGCGGTGATGCCTCATTATCGGGACCGCTATTACTTGGAGCTCGCTGTCGAGAGAGTCTCAGAAGCGATGCAGGATTCATATTCTGGAGTTGCTTGTTTAGTTCTGTTTCTGATAGAACTGTCTGGCGCCACGGATGGAAAACGCGGCTCGGACGGTCTGCAATCTCGGGCCAACCAAGCAAGGGACCATCCTGATGCCGACATTGCAGTGTGATTTCCCAGAGGAAGGGCTCAACGAAAGTAAAGACCCTGCAGGGGTGTCGCAGTATGCAGGAGCAAGCAGAACTCAACAACAAGGTCGCCATTGTTGGGTACGTTTGCATCTCCACGCAAAGGATACTTGGACAAGTTCCTTGAGCTGAAGCGGCGGCGGCCAAATGCCTCTCGGAATGTCTTTCAGGCATCCTAACCATGTTAGGAGTAGTCCTGGTGGTGGTCCCGAGAGGTTCAGGCGCAGCAGCCTCAAATTACTTGTTTGTTTTTGGTTTTTTGCTCTTTGTTGACAATCCTGCGCACCAGAGTCTCCTGATGTCTCCTGCAGGGTGTTCTAGAGAATCGGGGTCCATAGGGGGCGGGAGAGGATTGGAGGCGATGAAACGGGGATTCTGCATGGGAACCGTTGGGAACCTTCACCCATGGCCAGGGCGAGGCGAATTAAGCTCATGTGTGCTCGCACGCCAATTGCTCAGAGGTTCGGCAGATCCAGCCCTTTGGGTGTTGCTCGAGGCCCCCCTGAGCCTTCCTAACTACACACGCTCCTGACCTTAACATAACCTTAGCTTTCCTCCGGCGGAAGTGACTCTGGGACACTTCCAGCGCTAAGGAAGGATACAGTGGCCCCGCCCACCGTGCCCCCTTATCCCATCGTGCCGCAAGCTCCCCTGCAAGGGCTCCCATGAAGCATCTGTCGCGAGAATGCCAACTAAGCTAGTCATGCAAACCCTGTACGGAACTGGTGCGCCTCATGATTGGATGGCTCCCAAGGATTTCTGGGTGCCAACCTACGACATCGACTGCGCGTGGCATGCTCACCAGTTGCATCCAAGGTGCTACTACGAGGAGACTCGGGTGTTTATTGAGATTTGAGAAAGATTCGACTCTTTGCAACGGCAGCTTGGGTTTCTGATCCTTACAAGGGCCAACAAACGTTTAACCCGCTTCTTGCAGATTGAAGGCCTTAGTGTAGTGGAACTTTGGAGGAGACCACACGACTGTGTGGTGCCATGCTGCCGCATGACGATAGCGGCCTGCCAGCAGTTGAGCGGTGGCCTTGCGGGAGCGAAGTACCGTTTGCTGTTGGCTCATAAGAAGGTCATCCTGTCTGGCCGAGTCTTAATATTCGTGTGCCAGTCACGACAAGTCACAAGTCGCAAGACGTCGTAGCACGGGCAGGTGTCAATGACCGCTCCGAGGGCTCTCGTCTCAACAGCCGTTGGGAGGACAGTGCCTCCGATGTCTCCGTTTCCCAAAATTTAGCCTTCGCCACACGGTGGAGAAGAGTTTGGCAGTGCAATTAGAATGGGGCAATGGTCCGAAGTGCTTTTGACCCCTCCACATTCTGATGGAGGCTTCCAATCACTTCGTTGTGTCGGCACACGGACGCGCGCAGCCATCCTGAAGTCCTAGCAGTACAGCAGGGGCGAAAGTGGTAGTAACTGGTAGTATAAGCGGCATCAGTTGCGACACGGTGCTGAGCCTGAACAGGAAACGAAGAGCGCGTGGATGCAGGAGTTTCACGACGGTGGCCCAGCAACGGCTGGCGGGATGTACCGAGGCGAGACTTGACGTTGCCGCAGACTTCAATCTCGGGTTCGAAAGATTCGAAAGTGTGACTGTTTCCATGGTCTTTCGTTGAGCAGGCCTGGCAATCAAGGAGCCGACACAACTGACATAGGTGTGTGTGTGTGTGTGCACAGGTCTCGTGACCATCGAAGAGAGGCAGTACCGAGATCGACAATGGAGCTTGCTTCGACAATCTCTAGAAACTTGGGCGAGCTTTGGACCCCTGAAGAATCACCAACATCCAGAAACACTTCTTGTTTGTTCTCCCAGAGCAGTAAGCCCCTAACCCCTCATGAAAGCATGAAGAGAGCCATAAATGAAATCACTTCGGCGTCCAGACCTTTTAACTGCCGCTGAACACCCCCGAACACTTCTGATTAATCACGACAACGCAACACGTTGGGTCAGCGCCAGTGACTTGTGGGTTCTTTCTGAAGTTGCTTTGAACCGACCATGGCAGAAGTCCGGCTCGGGCTCGACTAATGTATCTTCCTGCCAGTATCGGCTACAGTGATTGTTGTTGGCCGACGTGGCTGATTTGTGGGACAGGTTCAGGCCCCGGGCGCCACCCTGCCAATGTGACCCGAGCAGGGAGAGATAAGAGAGCAGATGAGAGCAGGGGGTTCGTCCCCTTATATAAATTGTATATAGGCTCTACAAAAAGAAATGGAGATGCGATCGAAGAAGGTTATTCACCGAGGTGGGAGGGAGGGAGGGAAAGAAAGAACGCAAGCACAATAAGTCTGACAGAAAGAAGCATCCCAAGACGGGGTATGTCGCTCTGGACGGAAATTGCTTGCGCGGCCGAGGTCCTTCAAGGGACCTCTAAGCGTGCACCAGCAGACGACGAAGAGGATTTCGGAGAGAGAGAGAGAGAGCGAGACAGACAGGCGATGCGGCCTTTTCGGGGGCTATGCTTGAGGCAGAGGGAGAGAGAGAGCGAGGGAGAGGCGGAGCCCACTGAGCCGACTGAACCAACTACACTACTCTACACTACTCTACACTACACCACACTACACATCACTACACTATACACACGCACGAACACAAAGACAATCAAGCATGTAATGAATCTTGACGTGGCAGGCTCCAGAGAGCCGACAAGGTGAACAGGTGCCCACAATGTGTAAAATTTGGGGAGTTTAGGGTTCAGGGGTTTATGACCATATGTTGCTTCGTGTTAGCGGGATCATCTGAGATCTCGGGGAGTTGCCGGAGAGTCTTAGCGGGCACAGCCACTCTCGCCCTCGTACACCCTGTCCCCGTTTACGGTTGTTATTATCGGGTTCGGTGACCAGTTCGGCGAGTGGTTTAGAACAGGTCTAAGCCATTCGAGCAGAGGCTATGCCCGGATCCCACATGCATCTTCTCAGGCCGCTGCCCAGATACCACAGACGGTTTCCCTCGAAGCGCCATGGCCCGCCAGAGGTGGACCAGAGGCCCAGAGGGCTGCAGCATGCGAGTCTTGTGAAGGGGGCAGTGTGGAGGACTGAAGCGGGCAAGAGCCTTTGGGGACTTTGTTGAGATCTCCGAGGTCCCCGAAGAACCTTAAGGACCTTAGCCACTTAAACCTCCGGACCTCATATTTTTCAACTTCAAGCTATCCAGGCAAGAGTTCCTTGGGTGCATCGCAAGGACCGACGCTTACTGTACCTGTACAGAACTTCGCCTCAGGGCTGTAGTTGAGCCGCACGATCCAGCAGAGGTGAATGCCGGCATGTCTCCCAAGTCGTTTGCTTTTGTTTATATCAAATGACGTGCATTCAGAACAGCAAGCTGTCCGGCAATAGATGCACAACAATGTTTCGTAGATTGCCATGGTAAAGCTCCACGACCAAAGCGCGCAGCCCCAAAGAGCTCCAGGACGCTCAGAGCCCGCAGCTCTCCGGCCTAAAGCGCTTCTCGCGCCTGGGCATAATCCGCCACAGATCACCAAAGCCAAGTGCGCAGTGCACGATTTCGTGATGACTGCTGCAGTGCTGCAGCTGAGTGCCAATAGTAAACGCCATATTACGGGCGTCAGGTTTCATGAAGGTCTGCAGGCAGTACGGGGTCCTCTGGATGAAATGGGGTCGCCTTGTGGACAAGGTGATTTATATAGGGCTCCAGGACTACGGAGATTTTGGTTCTAGCAGCTATTTTCATGGTCGAGACCATTAGCGCCTGCCGACCGAGGAAGCTTGGCAGCCTGCAAGCACAGGTCGTCCATGGGCGCGCTGGAGAAAGGCCATGGGGACTGCTGCCTAGCTAAGGCTGTCCAAGGACTTCTCAGTCTCAATCACGATATCCACCGAAGCCCAACGGAAGCTACGAAAATCCGTAAACATCGGGCCAGGCCTATTCACAGACCAAGTTGTGTTTGTTCATCTCAAGGCCGGACCTCACCCCAGGCTGCAGGATGCGCTGAGTATCACTGTAAGCAGGAAAGCTACATGTGTTCCCTGAACCACAGGTACCTCAGCTATCTGGAGGTGAGCTCGGCTGAAATTGGGAAAGAAGAAGGGAGACAAAGGTGAGATACGGGAGGAGAGGAGGTGTGAGTAAGCCTACTGGACTAGTTTGTGTGTGTGTGTGTGAACATCCACAATGGCCGTGTCCTCGGACAAGGGGCTTCCCGTCTCATTTACTCGAAGTGCTCGTGGCCCCTGGGCATAGGAATTTGAAGTTGAAGAAATGTTATTAAGGTGGCTCGTGCTGAATCAAATGTTGTTGGCTAGGGGCTTCCTCCCTGCATGAAGCATCACAGAACGGCTGTGCAGCTGTGCAGGTTGTCGACTTAGCTTTCTGTGCTACGACCCGTCCACCGCTGAAATGCATTCTAGCATAGGCTACGCCTGCAAAGTCGTATGTGGAGCTAAGGCAGCTAAGAGCTCCTGGCGGGTTTTTTTGCATGATTCACGAGCTCCTTCACGAGCCGGAATTATTTGCAGCAGCGATACTAGAGACGAATGCATGTCTTTTGGACATCTTCATGTCCTGAACGCTTTGACCCGTCTTACTTCTGGTAATTGACACGAACCTTTGGATTCGAGAAGGGGATCTAGGAGAAACCTGAAAACCAAGCGGCCCAGCAGGTGGTTGCAGACCCTGAGACGCCTGTGCCCCTCGTGACTGCACATTCTGCAGAGGACCAACTGCCAGGTTCGATCGGCCTGGGGAATTTTGGTTAGGCTGGGCAATCAGGGCAGCAGCCGAGTCCCTTGGGAAAAAACACGGTTAGGATGGTTTCGGGTAGGTTGTCAGGTTGGTTACCCCAAAACAAAGCTTGCACTACGTGAGGTTCTTGGCTCCTGACTTTTCAACTGTCAGTGGCAGGTGCAGGGCAACTCAGCTACGGATCCAAATGTGCCTCAATGAAGCTTGGCTGCTAATGATTGCTGCTGACAATTTAAACCTTCAAAGTTCAATTCGTCAGGTCGCTTGATCAGGCAGTGAGTGTGGGGTCTGCTCCATACAGGCGTGAAAGGGTGGATTGTTTGTTTGTTTGTTCGAGACATGGGGCGAAAGTGCGAAAGGGGCAACAAAGCACCTCCCACACTTCGTCCTCTGCTCTGCGCGAGCTGGCTGAGGAAGCCCACGCAAATGGCGTACCTTCTTCGTGTGGCCGGTGAGGATGTGGCAGTGGTTGTGGGCGAATGGGCCCCATGACAACAATGCAGTCTTCGGAACCTCTTGACAGAAGAGGAAGAGTAAAGAGAGAGAGAGAGAGAGAGAGAGAACAAAAACGAGAGAGAGAGAGAGAGTTGGGGTGACAAGAGCGGGCCAGTCCATGGTCCCAATGCCCAAATTTTTCCATAAAGAGGCGCACGAACCATCATCTGTATCGACTTATGTCTTTGTTATAAGGCGGCCTCCCAAGTACAGCTCCTTAAACACCAATGTGGGGCTAATATAGCGCTAGCTTCGCGCTGGAACTCAGTCTATCAAGTGTATAAGTTTCAGCATGCTTGAACCGAAAGAAAGGTAAGCATGCAGGCATCTGACCGAGCCACGGTCGTCCAGATAACCTATGTTGAAACGAATCCAAGAAACAGGGCGGGATCTGCTCAAAAACAGGGGCTGGATCTGCTCAAGCAAGGACAAAGCATTATTCCCAACCACCCTTTCGAGCCGAGAACGAGGGGTTGGGATCATGCTTTTGGCATGTTCGGGGGCTGGAAAGTACCTCGCCAGCCAAGCGCGGTGTTGGCGGGTTTGGGGCTGGTGAAACAGTGTGGCGTGGCTGGCGCTGGCACGGCGCTGAGCAGATTGTGCACGAACTTGAGTTTTCCAGGCAGTTGGTCGCAAGACACACTGGGGTGGATGTAAATGCTGTCGTTAGCTGCGTGACTGTTGGGACCGTCAACCTCTATACGTCTGTTGCAGATCCCTCAGCCCTATATTGCTTTGAAGTGGTGCGCTACAGTAGTGCGTTTGACACGAAAGCTGGGTTTTAGATGCGAACACAGTACTTGCCCATCAAATCCCACAGGAAACAGCCCCTGCCACAGTCATGATCATGATTCTGTTGGGCTCCGCGAAGCCGAGGGCTACACTCCACGGAAGCCCTAATCATGTTCTCAATGCGCATCTCAAGAGCAGGATTTTGCATGAGGGCTGGCATGTCGGCTGTACTGTTGAATCGGATAAGGGGGGCTTAAACCAGCAGATTCAAGGTGGGCTTCAAGCTGCCCGTGCGCGGCGTTCCTGGAAGGCCTGGGCAAGCTGGAGACCGCTCTGTTGGTCGACGAGGCCATATCCCCGTAAACCCCAAATCTTCATGGACCTCCGGGTCCATGGGACCAGAACACATACCGTACCATGACGTACAAAAGATGCACAGATCCCGCTCTTAAATGTCACGAGAGGAGACGGCGCAAGTCTTTGTTTTACACACCCGAGGATACTACGCCGATATTATGCGACGCCTCAAGTATATAAGTCCCACGTAGGTCCTAAGCCGAAGCTTCTGTACCCAGATGCGATGGACCGACAAGACGTGGGGAGTCGTTGGACCGACGTGACAAGTTCAGTCCTCCAAAAGAGTTGTTGGGGGTCCCCACCTTCCGAGTCGGTTCAGCGTGGCGACTGCATACTGCAATCCACTGTATATTTCTCCTAGCAGATCCGCCTTGTCAGGCACTCCGGGCACGCGAGGCATCAAGGGAAAGCAGGGGAAGGCTGGCCACCTCCAGCGTCTTGGCCACTCTAGAGGTTGTGCAAGACAGGAGTTTGAGGCTTCAGGTGGGAGTTTGGCTCTTGGTCGTGCCTGCGAGTTTTGTACCCGCCCAAACGGTGATGGAAATAGACGCTGCAGCAAAGGTTGCGCTATAGTCGAAAGTGTCAACAGTTCGGAGATCTATACCATTGTTATGGATGATGGTTTCTGATGGGCGTCATGGCTGGCTTGACTCCGGGCTTGACCAAAAACCCTGCGATAGCCGAAGCCTGGTAAGGTCAGCTCCCCATTCTGCTGCTCTACCGTAAAGAAGTCCCCGAAGCTGGGATCTGGGACCTGAAACATGCGATATGATACCTGGCAGATTCTTGCATCTATCTCACTGAAGCTTTACGACTTTACGACTGCATCTTGAAAGCGTGACTGCTGATAAAACCACATTCTGAAAGTGCCCATAGAATCGCCGAGCCATTGCTCGACAACTGTCAACCCTGAATCCGGATACCAGCAATTCCCAGGATCACTATCTTCGCACTCCGGACCGGCACCGAATGCAAGGCGCGCAATTGCAGGGGTATAAAAAGGGCACATGGCGAAATTAACTTGTTGAGGTTCGATTCTCGGCACATGTCAGCTGATGCAGAATAGTTGGTGGTTGCTTCTCGCACAAGAATCTACGCTCATCTACGCGATGTTTAGCATGTAGATGTAAGATGTGTGCTGGGCAGCCAACTTAATCTTCAAGAGCGCTGAATCTCTAGAGTCTTCATTGGCATGCTGCATATCAGGCACATCCATCCCTCTTTGCTGGAATTGAATCCAGCGCAGCCTTTGGGGCTGGGTGATGTGTTCTCTCGCGGCTTGATGCCGAAAGATCGCGTGTCCACCGGTCGAACAGCGAAAAGAGTGGACTGAGTTCGAGACAGGCGGTGCTTGTGCCGCAACCAAAAGACACATTAATCATCAAACCATGGAACCGTGATCCTGAAGCTCCATTGAAGTCAACCTTCTGGCTGCACCCAGGGAGCAGTGAAACTCAGGTCAAGGCCACTTACTTCAAGCCAACCTCTCCCGCTCAGTCCCCTGGCGGCCCTGGCTCACCTGGTGTTCGAGCTGGTTGGGTTTAAGATCGGCAGGGCTGTGAATTGCAGGTATGTTGCATTCCCCAGGTCACACCAGATGTTCGGGTGGAGCACAAAAAACCTGAAACCCTCCAGCTGGCGATTTGATTGCACAAGCTTCTTCTCCGCGTGGCACGTAATTATGCTTTTCGTGTGCTACTCTCATCTCTTCCACTGCAGAATGCCCCACAGCGTGTGGCCTTGTGGGGTCGATGCCGACATCATGTGCTGGACCCGTGATGGCGGCGGTTGCAGGGGGTCAACCCTTCACAGTCGTGAAGATGAGTTGTCTCGAAACTTAGGTACTCTATTGGGCTCGCAGACCTCGGCATACCGGGCTGCACAGACACGATGCAGGTAGCTTCTTATCTCAATATGCAAAAGCCTTAGACCCTGAACCTAAGCAAAAACTTGTTTTTTTCTCCGCATGTGTCAGAAGTCTCTTGGTCGTCAAACCCGAAAGAACCCCAAGTCCTCAGACCCAGAAGCCCGAAAAACGTCCACCAAGCCACCACCGCATTCCTAACCTTGTGGCAGGGTCCAGGGTTCGAACCCTGGACCCTCACCCCCCAAACCTTGCACAACCTAGCTGGACTGCTGGAATGCCATGTGGGGTCCGCCTCGCCGAACGACCGAGATGATCCGAGATGTCGTAGGCCGCAGGCTTGTTTTCGCCACAAGGCTTGCTGCACGGTCCCACCCCCAGCGCCGAGGATCTGGGCACCGCCCGCATCTCCGGCCACTCGAGCACCCTCTCCATGGCAGTGGCTTATGGAGTGGGCATGTCCATCGCTTCTCTGCACAGCGACTGCATCGTGGAGAGCTTCCTGCATGTGGACGTCGATGGATGTGTGCGAATGTTGGGCAAGATATCCTCTTTTAGCGGGCTCCCCGAGGCCCAGCAACGGCTTTTAACCGCCCCAGCTGGACTAAAGCTCTTGGGTACCGACCGTGCGGTCGGCCCACCAGCTACGATTGTTTCTGTGGAGTGGTTCGTCCAGCTATGTGGGTGGCAAAGACCCCGAAGACCCTACAGCCCTATACTCCCAATGACTCCCGACGCCGAAGTTCAAAAATCTTAGGCATGTGACCTTGCAGCCGCGAATGAAGCCCTTGCAGACCAGCGGGGCTGTGATGAGTGCCTCTCTGCTCAAAATTCTGAGATATCTGTCGTTACTGGTAAGGCGTTTCAACTTCGTACTGCAGCAATACAAAGGGCACAGACATGGCAGTAAGAGTACTTTAGGGCTCCGGGTCGTTGCATAATAGGGGCCATAACGAACGACAAGCTGAGCAGTTGAGTAGAACAATTCAACAGAAGTCCCCTGTTGGTGCAATAAATTAATCCGATGCAACCTGCCAGCTCTGTTCACACAAAGTAGTTGCATTCCAAGTTACTCATGTCCTGAAGCCCTGAACTGTGGCGGTCCCACGGTGCGTTCCGATCCGGGCTGTGACAAGACTCAAGCTTTCAGCAGCGCTAAGTTCTGCAGTTCTGTATGTTTGATATGCTCGTAGAAAAATGTAGACATGGCATTGAAGACGCTGCGCGTCTGAAATGGAAGGTGGCTCCGGGCTCCAAGCTGAAGCCGCCTGAGGCCCATGTTTTGACACACCTGGCAAATCCAAATCCCTCGTCCCAAAATCCTGATGAAACTCGAACACCCGAAATTAGCCTTGATCACCCATCACACCTTAGGACCCAGCCTTTGTTTCCAAGCCGTGCATCATTACGCTTATAATACACATTGAGTAGTACCAAAAGCCTGTTGAACAAGCCTGTGAAACATAAGGCAAAGGCACCTTGAGACATTATATATATATATATATATGTATATATGACCTGCACATGAAACCCTCGATCCTGTGGTTAATCCTAGTGTTCACAAGCTCAGGGTCAGAAGATAAAAGTAAACGTTAACCGCTCTCTGAATCTTGTATCACTTGGTTTAGAAAGGTTGTTCAGGGTCTTTGCGCCATCACCACCAACAAGAAACCCACTAAGAAGAGAATGACACTTTGAGATGTGAAGCAAGAACGCTTGGAACTAGGAACTAGTGCACAGGTGTCTTGGACATCTTTCATGGGTGTTGTTTCCGTGAGTTTGGGTCTTTAAGCAAACGGTCTAAGAATCTAGAGGATGTTGGCATTCCAAAGGGGCTTTGTAGACCACACAGAAAACTAAATCATGGTTGCCGGTCCCTGACACCTTGTATGCTGTTGTGGTCAGTTGCCTTTGGAGAGCGTCTAAAGAGATCGGGTCGAAATGGCAAAGCTCCCTCTGCCTGCACTACTCGTAATAGTGACGAGGACGGCGCATCCCTGTATCCACCGTGGACTGTGGAGCAGCGCAAGTATCCGATCCTCATCGCAGCTGGAGGACAGATGTCAGCTTGAACACGTCGAAGACCTGCCACATGCATGTGGCTACAAGGGATCCTGTGCATGACTTGTGACACCTTGTGACAGAGTTCTGCATGTTCAGAGTTCTTTGGGCCCTTGGCAGGAGAGCTCAGCCCTGCTGAGACCGTTGTCGGGGTTCCTCTTCGTGGGGATGACACGCAGGCTGAAAGGGATGTGCCTCGGCCACTGCATGGATGGACACCGAGTCATTATGGAGCAACTGCTACACTTGGGTTTGTTTTTTTTGGGGGGCTCAGGTTTAAGAAGGGCACACGGGTTGCACACCCGCGAAACATACCCCGTAACATACCCCGAAACATACCCCCCGAAACATACCCCCGAAATTGCAGGTAAAGTAGCTCCTGATGCCGCGAAACATACCCGAAACATACCCGAAACATACCCCGAAACATACCCGCGAAACATACCCCGACCCCAACACCTGTCGCGCGCCTCCTCATTAAAATACAAACCCACTTGACGGTCATCCCGACAACCTTGAAGAAACCTGATAGCTCCAGAAGGCAAGTTCATTGTCTTCAAGGTTCACGCTTTGTTCCAGGATCAAAATTTGGGGGAATCAGTGACAGAACATTTGGATCTAGAAATGCGCGGGGTGTTTTGGGCACCGTGCCTTGGGCTTGCAGAGTCAAGGGTAGCCGCTCTGGAGTGCGAGATGCTTGGCGTGCCAGTTGCCCAAGCTGTGCAAAATACAGGAGAGGTCTCCAGTCTTGAGGGTTGCAGTGGCAGATCCACGCAGCCCCTGCGTCCCAGGGTTGAAGGTCGAAGGACTTCGACAGAATTTGCTGCCTGTGGAATCGTGGCCAGCCAGTCCGCAATTGCTGTAGACTCGAAGCTCCAAATTCTGACCCACGTGTCAGGGATTCAGCTGTGCAAGACTTGTCTCTGTCCATGACAGTCTTCTCCGATCTAGAGTTCATGAGCAGGTATGAAACGCAACAAACAGAACGACATGCATGCCCCCCACTGCATGAGAACTGCTTGGACATGTATCCAAACAAGCAAAGCGAAGCTTGCAACTTCCACCACACTTCTTTGTGCCGGGACTAGCTGGTGCTGGTGTGGTCGCTGCTTTAGTTCTAGCAAGCATGCCCCCACGGAAGCCCATGACGAAGCCTTGCCATCCTTGAGAACAAGGCGTACGAGGACGATGGCTTCCTCTTCTGGGGTGCCGGGATGCTTTACGTCTGGGATGGCGGCTATGCAGGAAACCAGGTGGGCAGCAGAGTACCGTGCTCTCCTTTCAAGTGGGGAGGGTGTTGTCCGAGGTTTGGGCGGTCCTGGGCAACGACCTGGGCCGTGATTCACAAGAAAGGAAGCAGGTAGGGTTGCTAAAGGAACCTGGGCTTTAGAGAAGCCTGCCAGACAAATCGTAGTCTCAAGTGCTATTATATACAATAGTATTTATATGCTTTATATTATTTCTGCATGCAATCGGGGAGTTAAAAGCTGCGTGAACTGAGGCCTTCTACCCTCCCCCTCCCGTTCCGCTCAGATGAAAACAGCACATGAAGCCCTGCCTATACTTCTTGAGGCACAAGCAACAAGCATGTACGAAGTTTCAACGACTCAACACACAGTCAAGCCAGGCCGATTTCGCGGTCCACGGCCTGTCTGGAGGCTGCGGAGGCTGCGGTGGTTGTGGCGGCTGTGGTGGTTGTGGTGGCTGTGGCGGCTGTGGAGGCTGAACCTGACTGTGAGCTGGCAGTGGTTTTGGGATCGTGATGGATCGTGTATGAGAGTCCACAGCATTGTGTGAAAGAGTTTCCTGGGTTTTGCTGCATCACTGCTGCCACCTTGCCATTGTGCCCTGACTTGCACGGCCTGCTGACACTCGGCCTGCAACGCCAGACTGGGTGTTTCGTTGCGACCTACCTGGAGTTTCACGCGCATTTACACGATGTGACCACGATAGTCGCAGATTGGAGCATGTCAAACTTACCCCAAAACATCCAGGTGGGGTGTTTGGGACTCGGAGGCAACTCCACGTGGTGGATGTACCATTTGAATGTTTCTAGTTGAAGCACGCTTGGACCTGTTTCAGTCGTGAGAGCCGCAGCAGAAAAGGGTGCAGAGCCGCACGAATGTGCAAATGACAACTGCATGATGGGCCCTGATATATCCTGATATATAGCCGGCCCTCGCTCCCATGATGCAGTCAAGACATTCAATTCCCGAGGCCTGTGATCCCAACACTTTAATTTGCCACAACCCCCAAGCGCCCAGCCCTTCTGAGCGCTTGTTGGTCCTGGTGCCTTCAGCCCCTTGCCCACAAAGTTGAATACCGAACGCCTTCGATTGCAATGATTGCAGCAACAAGCTGGTGTGTTTGCTTGAGGGTCTTTTGTTGAGCAAGCCGTGGCCAAGAGCCACACGCTACCCCAGAGTTTGTGCTAAATCTGAACCATCTTAAGCTTTAGGTTCTGAGCAAGCCCCTTGCATAAGCAGACGCCCTATACAGTTTTAGTTCCGGAACCCCTAGCTTCGCAGCCAAGAAGAAATGATATAGTGGGATGCCAAAGCACCCAAAGGCCCAATGCGGCTTGGTCCCTGACCAGCGCTTCAGCTTCTACGACCACGTGCATACCACAGGCGACGAACTTGGCCAAAGGGGGAGACTATCTAAGTAAGACCTTGATTGGCGAAGTTGAGAGATTAGGTCTGATTCAGTTGCAGTCATGCAACATACCTGCGTGGCCTACTTTGCTTGCGTCCGGTTTTGGCTGTGCATGGTTTGACGGCTTAACCGCCATCGGATCAACTTCCCAAATGCGTACATGCACACGGCAACGTGGCGGATATGTACGTCTGCTGACTTTGGCGTGACAGGCATAGGCCCACCACTCTCTCCGCGCGGGGGGGGGAAAGCCATGAAATCTTCGGCCGTTTGTTTGTTGTTCCATCGGTTGCAAAGTGCGCGCTGGTGTGTTCAGACTGACGAAAGCCTTTTCTGCGAAAGATGTCAGAGTTTCTGTCCATCAACCGAGGAAATGTATGCGACCACAGAACTAAGACCAAGCAAGTGGCCAAGAGCAGTTATGAAGAAGCTGCATGTGACCCAGGTATGGATGTCAAGCAGCCGCTCCTTTGCATGGCAGCCTTGACCTTGAGCAAGGCTGGTGGGGAGGGTTGCCCTTCCCCATCTTTTCCTGGCTATTCCTCGCCGGGAAGGCTGCCTACTGCCCTGCACAACAAGGACCCCGGCCTCGTACCCCTAGGACTTGGACTTGCGCCAGGACATGACACTACGGGACTACGCACAGGGTGCTTATCGAATGCGCGGCATAGGCAGGATGCTGCTGGCAGTGTTTAGGCTTGTGGTGGCATCAGGGACGAGGCTGGGCGCAAGAAGGGTTTGGGATATCGGCAGCCCTTTCACACTTGCAATCGGGAGCAAATTCGTTGCGTCGCTTGGAGCGAGTGCAACATAAGCAACTAGAAGGCTGGAAGTCCGTGTGCCGAAGGTGGCGATTAACCCCGGGCCAGGGGTTGTAGTTGGTAGCTGCATTTTATGTTCCCAGGCACCACCCTGCCGACACCCCTTCCCCGTGCCTGGCTCATGGACTCCAACACCCGCTGCACAACGGCAGGGCGCGGCCAGCGCATCGACCTCCTCGTGACGCCCGAGGTCAGCGCACTGATGAACAAGCCTGGCAGCCAAGCTTCTTCGAGGGGTTTGTGGGTCTGGATTTGTGTTGCTACCTTGTGTACCGTTGCCTGATAGAGTGGAGATGGGCCCCGTGGCAATCACTGGGGCAGTTGGTTTTGCAACATCTGAGTTCTAGGGGGGCCATGATGGCTCCCCTCCTGTTTCGTCAAAAGCGCGCAATCACTGGGGCAGTTGGTTTTTGCAACATCTGGAGTCCAAAGGGCCATGTGGCCGGAAGTATACCCAGCTGATGCTCATGATGCTCCCCTCCTGCCTCGTCAAATGCGTGCAGTCACTGGGGCAGTTGGTTTTTGCAACATCGGGCCATGTGGCCGGAAGGATGACCAGCTGATGCTCATGCTGCTCCCCTCCTGCCTCATCAAATGCGCAATCACTGGGGCAGTTGGTTTTGCAGCAGAACACACTGCGTGCATTGTGGTAGTGACATGTGCCGAACGTGGTAGGAGGGTACTGCCACGGTGGCCATTTTGGGCCAAGTGTGGCGGCCTTCCTGCTTTTTTGCCGGGAGTCGCTCACAGGTGGGGGGGTGGTGCATGGACTTGACTGTCGTTCCCGACTCTTGCTTAGAGTCCCTTCCTACGTGGAGGACACTGGCAGAGATTGGGAGGCAGTTAAGACTTCGTGCACCTGGCCGTCTGCCCTTTACTTGCGTCGGCTTCTGCGCCCTTTGCCTTCGCCACAAGTAATATGGATCCCACTGCAGCAGAGCTCGCAGCCATCACGAACCTCAACGAGGCTTTGGCCTGGGCAGGCGCAGAGCTGGAACTTGAAGCAAGCTTGCGGTCGGCCCTTGGCCAGCCAGCTAGGGTTCGCGAAGTAGCCCTCATCCCTCGCAGTGGATGGGACACTGCAGTGATTGCGTTGCAGGTTCCTTCCGGTGCGGCCCCTGGACCAGGCGAACCGAGGCCAACACGGAACCTTACTCTGGTGGAGGGTGCCAGGGTGGAATCGTTCAGGCGAGTCTGTCTGCTCTTGATGGGCCGGTCCCCAGCTGACGACATTCCTGGCACAGGTTCCGTCGCGCCCGTCCCGGTCCCACCTCCAGGCCCTCCAACTGGAGGTTCACGCAAACTCAAACTTGCCTCCATCTTGGACCCAACTCTGGATGCAGAGGTCCTTCCGATACCACAGTCGGAGCTTCAGGCAATGTACACCGACTACAAAGCGAAGTTTGGCGATTTCCCAGGTCCCGACGTTGATCCTTCACCGGATCAGTTAGCGGCTTTGAAACAAGTCCTGGCAGCGGGCAGCCCGCCATATGCTGATCTCAGCATTTTCGGTCCCTACGGGCTCCGCCTACTGCGTAAGCAGTCATTCACCAGCTACACGCTCAACGTGGCCACCGGGGAATGGAGCAAGAGAGAACAGCCCGGTCCCTCCACCTTCCATGCGTGGTATCAAGCCTTCAAGGTGTTTAGGGCTGCTTTACTCCTTCTGGATGCCGTGGATGCGGAGAGGCTGGATGCCTACAGTGAGCTGGTGCGTGGCTTCGTCCAGCAGTTTGGGGATGATGCTTGGTGGATTATCTACCGTGCCGAGTCCCGCATGAGGTCTGAGCATCTTGAGCGCATCAGGCGTCTGCTTGCTGGAGACCCAGCCTTTGGCTTCACAGCAGCCAGGCCGTGGAACGCGTCCTTCGCTGGCGCCATCAAAGAGCAGGACTTCTGGACGCGGGAACTGGTGACACCAGCCACCCTCTGGTTGGCTCAGCACAAATCATCCGCTGCAAAGACCCCAGGAGGCAGCGGGAGCACGGGCGGACCCGGCGTTCCACCACCTGAGCCGGCCGAAGCGAAGCGCAGGGCCAGGGCAAAACGTAAGTTTCAGGGCGAGGACCTTTCGCGGAAAGAGGGCGACGTCTATGTCCTTAACCGCAAAGGCGTCGAGATCTGCAAGAACTACAACCAGGGGAAGTGTGGCACGGCTGCGGCGCAGGGAAGGTGTGAACACAAGAGGTCTCACCAGTGCAACATCTGTTTGGGCCCGCATCAAGCCATTTCCTGCCCAAAAGCCAAGGCCAACTGAATGCACACTTCACCTGCTGAGTCACGTCCGGTGCATAAACCGCCAACACCTCCGCCTGGAAAGAGGAGGAAGGTGGCACAGGTCATGATGCTCCCCTCCTGCCTCGTCAAATGCGCGCAGTCTCTGGGGCAGTTGGTTTTTGCAATATTTGGAGTCTAGGGGGCCATGTGGCCGGAAGAATACCCAGCTGATGCTCATGATGCTCCTCCTGCCTCGTCAAATGCGCGCAGTCACTGGGGCAGTTGGTTTTTGCAACATCTGGAGGCTAGGGGGCCATGTGGCCGGAAGTATACCCAGCTGATGCTCATGATGCTCTCCTGCCTCGTCAAATGCGTGCAGTCACTGGGGCAGTTGGTTTTTGCAACATCTGGAGTCTAGGGGGCCATGTGGCCGGAAGTATACCCAGCTGATGCTCATGATGCCCCCCTCCTGCCTCGTCAAATGCGTGCAGTCACTGGGGCAGTTGGTTGTTGCAACATCTTGTTTCTAGGGGGCCATGTGGCCGAAAGTATACCCAGCTGATGCTCATGATGCTCCCCTCCTGCCTCGTCACGTCAAATCCACGCAGTCACTGGGGCAGTTGGTTTTTACAACATCTGGAGTCTCGGGGGCCATGTGGCCGGAAGTATACCCAGCTGATGCTCATGATGCTCCCCTCCTGCCTCGTCAAATGCGCGCAGTCACTGGGGCAGTTGGTTTTTGCAACATCTGGAGTCTAGGGGGCCATGTGGACGGAAGAATACCCAGCTGATGCTCATAATGCTCCCCTCCTGCCTCGTCAAATGCGCGCAGTCACTGGGGCAGTTGGTTTTTGGAGTCTTGGGGGTCATGTGGCCGAAAGTATACCCAGCTGATGCTCATGATGCTCCCCTCCTGGCTCGTCAAATGCGCGCAGTCACTGGGGTAGTTGGTTTTTGCAACATCTGGAGTCTAGGGGGCCATGTGGGCGGAAGTATACCCAGCTGATGCTCATGATGCTCCTGCCTCGTCAAA